TTATGTCATGATTGGAAATAAAACGGGCTTTTTTATTATTATTACATTGGGTATTTTAGGGATTTCCCTAAACAAAGATTCAATATTATTACACCGATATAATTTATTAATTTCATTACAAATGTTCGTACAACACAGATACAATTACTCAATTTGACTTAAAAACTATGAGTAAAAATAACAGCCGTATTGTCTTAATTAGATTCCTCATCAGAAAACAAAGCCTTATCTGCTATCATGATGAATGTCAATGCTTACGAGGTGTTAAAAACTTAAATAATTATCGTATTGACGTTCGATTAGTTTATGAAACTATCGTAAAGTTAGGGCTATGGAATCGTACAACTTAACGCCAGTAATCATAATGTAAGGGAAATTGGTTTTTTATATAACACACCACAGGGCTATAAGAAAAGAACTATTGATTGGAAAAACTCGAAGAGAAAAGTTTAAAATCTAAGTTTCCCATGGACGAACCAACTTTCAACCGAGTTCATTTGAAATTCATTTTTAATATAAAAGCAAGAAGGCTTGTTTATATGTGAAGTGTACTAGAAACTTTGCACCGCACTTGAGCAAATGTTTTAAGAAACTTTACTAGAAGCCTTCTAATTCTTCAAACTCTAATACTAGATAGCGATTTGTCCCAGCTTCACACGGCAGGGTATTTTTACAAACATTTTGGAAATAAACCTTTGTTACGTAACGTATGAGAGTAAAATTTTTACGGAACGTCACGAAGATGTGCAGCGTTTTTGTCGAAGAAAAGGGAAAGAGCGATTGAGACCGATTGAGAGAGAGAGAGAGAGAAGGGTTGATTACCTTATAGAAATGTTATTTTTAAAATTAAAATATCGTAAAGAGAATTTATAAAATATTAGTATTTTATATTTTATGCAAAATAATTTATTGAAATCTCAAATGACGGGTTGTAAATTAAAATGCCACGTGTTTTTATTATCGAATAAATTAACTTAAAAAATTAAATTTATTATTTGTATTAATTTTCGACACTTTTAATATTTTAATGACAATTAAATTCATGAAATTCGTAACATATCTTCCTTTTTCCCTCCCTCTAAGTCTCAGAAATGTAAAGTTTTAGATTTGTATGAACATGAACAAGAGTTAAAAATTAATTTGCCAAAGAAGTTTCACTTCTGACATGTGTACTTTGTACGCACGCCCTTTTTTATATAATAGGGTGTCAAACTAGCGTACAGGACGCCCATAAAGGGCAGTCATCGCAACCCACATCCATAAACTAAGGAATAATGTAGCACACTGTTAAAATAATTTTTTGAAAGCGGTCCTTGATTATTTTTGTTATTTGTTACCGAAACACAAAAAATTCTAAATATTTTCTTTTCTCCTAGCAATACTCATGTTAATATATTACTATATTAGCATTGCAAAACGAGTGATATATTATTTAAAAGCTTTTAATGGTATTTGTTATAGTTACCCCAGTCTTTATCAACGTGGACTTTATCCTTCTTTCACGGCTTTTGACAAAATTAGTTCTACAAATTATTTATTAACAACTCATCTTAATTAAGCCTAACACTTTTAAAACTTTAGATAGTTTAATCTACTAAGAAATAGATACACAGATGTAAGGGGGTTTGATTATAAACATATGAATTACCTCAAAATACTATATGCAATAAACAACAAGTCAAAAATAGAAAATGGTATTGTTCAAAATTCTAACCTTTTGTTCTTTGAACATCGTAGCTTTGTGGATCCGGTAACATACGTCGCTACCTTACAAAAGATATAGTTTATGAAGCCTCAAAGAGCACTGTAGATATCAAACATATATAAAACTCTTTCTGTATGATATTTTATTTCTTTACTATGCGTTTAATGTATTGTAAAAAATGCAAATGAAACGTAACAACAAGAACATTTTTTTTACTATTTCTCGCTTTTGTGCTACCTAAATATAATGTTTACTTACTCATAGACGAAAACAATAAATTCCCAAAGGCAAAGGTTCTTTAAAAATTTGAATGTTTTAGTATAAAAATTTTCGAAACGTTACTAATACAACGCGTGATTCGTATACGTAAATGAAATGCAAGTCATGAACACATTTATTGAATATTACAAATGCAATATACACTTGAATTAATGGCCAGAGAGCGCCGTACAACCATAAGCTAAAAACAACAATAGAATTCGAATAATCAATAAAGATATCTTTCATAAGATAAAAAATTTATATTAAAAGCTAGACATTAATTAGACTTAGAAACGCAATTCATACTTTGCGTCTCACAATTTAATCAGTACCTATAACTTAGACTTAAAGTCGCAAATCCGAAAAGAGCCGCAGCTGTTGAAAAAATCACTGTAATTTCTCTTTACGAGCTGAGATCTGGAACAAACTATAAAACATCGATTTATTTTTCACCAGTATAATACGCGAAATAGAACTAATTTGAGTGTACGACCAACCATGCTCCAAAAGATAAACCACTCCTTATATGGAAATTGTATTCGTTTTTACAACAAACTCCCAAGCGAAATGAGAGAATTATCACTAAATAAATTCAAAGCCCTCGTTAAACGAAAATTAATCAATAAAGCTTTTTATAAATTTGAGGAATACTTAAATGATCCTAATCCTTGGGATTGATTTGCTCCAGTTCAAATAATTTGTATGACAATACTTGGCGAATAAAAAGAGTGGCGGAAAGTTTCTTGCCAGTTCTTCTTACCCGCTCTACGCCTTTGACTTGCGAACTGGTAGTAAATGTAAATTTACAACTAATTTAACTTGACAATTCGTAAGTGTAATTGTTTACCTACACGAATAAAGATATTTTGAGTTGAGTTGAGTTAAACATCCGAACGGTGACGCACTTAATGCTATTTGCTGGTACCTGATACATCAACTTTCCAGTCTGGCTTCAACTTTCTCGGGTGAAAAGTTTATTACAACGAAGTGTGGAAATACGAAAAACAACTTCATTCTTGCTATTTATATGTTATAGTAAATAGTATATGAGACTCGCTCGTACGAAGGTAAATAGTGAGGAAACCGGCACGTTTTAGATTCCATAAATCGACTTGTGTCAGGCACAGAAGGCAGTCATTAAACAAAGATATTGCTCCTTCAAGAAAAGAGCCTACAATTTCTTAGAAGGCCGGCAGCGCGCTTGCGAGCCTTCTGGCAGTGCGAGTATCCATGGGTGCGGTATCACTTAACATCAGGTGAGCCTCCTGCCCGTCTGCCTCCTGTAACATTTAAAAAAAAGATATATACAGAGACAGTGAACCTAGTCGGGATGTCCCAGATTTAGGATATTGGAAACAGAAAACAAATAAAAAAAAATATTATCAAGACGAAGCAAGGAATCTTTATCAGGATTATTAGTGTTAGTCTATTCCGACATTTTTTATAAAAAAATCTTCATGAAATGGTAGAAATGAAAATTTATATTTTTGTAATCATTTCTTGACATTTCCACAGACTCGATTACGGTAATGACACATTTAATCGTATAAGCTATGGACAAATACGTTACAAAACAACCGACACAGAATCAATATTGTAAATGGAGTTGCCAAATACAGGTGCTCACGTGGAGTTGGGCCAAGTTAAAGAATACAACGGAAGAACATTATTAATAATAAACAGAATATTTTTGTTCCATATTTTATATTTCGCATTCTTGCAATGAAAACTTCTTTTGTTTAGAACTATTTAATAAAATCTGTTCAATAATTATTACCTAAATATATACCCTATGACGTTTAAAGAGTGTAAAAAAACAGTAACTACGTGGCTAAAAAACATTAAATTATCAACAAACTGAAGATCTATTTGTAGAAGTTGAATAAATAGATATATATCAAAAATCAATCCAAATTACAAGATGATTTAAAAAAAAAAAAAGCGTGTGCTAATTATTCGTTCTTACATATTATTGTGTATATTGTTCATACCTTATTTTATTAGGTATATTGTTCAATATTAATTCGGTCTTATGTAGTATTATAATATCGTAGCCATTCGATTCAGTTAGGTTACTTCCCGCATAAAAATATTATAATTATTTAAAGTATTCCATACTTTATGTGGTCGCATCATCCTGCTGATAAGAGACATGCTACGCTGTACTAACCTGCACTGGTCACGACATACGGACTACACTCGTCTGAGTTGCACTACAGTTACACTCATGTCTCACTCACACAATTAAAAGAAAGACGATGGTGTGATTGATTTCAATCTACCTCACTTGTTTAGTTATTACGATTTAATATCAACAATCGCCAGTAATTTGGTTTTTCAAGTATGTAATATAATTAATTAACCATTTAAGTACCTTTACTGTTTTGCTTTATTAAGTAGATTAAGTATTAACATATAGGAAAGAGCGTTCATCCCTAACACAGGTTCTTGAACCTAAAGGGATGTACTAAAATATAGATTTAAGACTATTTACTTAATAAAGAAAATTTTTGTTTTTTGTTTTTGTAAATATTACAAAAACAATTCCATTTAAATATTATAGAGACGTACATTATTGGAATACGTATAAAACTGTTTGAATAGTAAATAAAATTCTATTATATGAGGGATACAAAGTCATCAGTATACATAACCCATAAATCAAACATAGAAGAATATCTTTCACTCGAAACATCCACCAAATAGCAATATTATTCGAGGGCAATATTAGGTCATTCTAACGCAAAATAACATGGTATTATGCGGGTCCGTTCCGGTGGCTATATTATTTGGAGCCAGGTGCAATTTATCGGACCGATCCCGTTTGTTTTTTCATCTGTCAGGTGCTGAAAGGCTTTTGGGCATGTTCAAAATGACGGCTCTGAAAACACTGACATTGCAAAATTGTTTTTGTATTGAATTATTGTTTCATGACTGCACAGATAAACAATATTAAGTGTATATTAAAAAGGTATATAGTAATTTTGGCTCGTTAGAAAGCTGTTTTTAGTTTCTGGAATATTCTAAATTTGAAATGAGGTAGGTACGTCTATCCAAACTGCGCAGTTAGTTGTAGCGGATAATTTTAAAATTTTGCGTTCGTTTAGTTGCAGCTACGACTTTTTGGAGATCTTAGAGCCGAATATAGACAACATCACAGAACATGAAGATTGGTTGGGAACAGAAAATCACTCTTACAGCTCGGAAAATGAGGTAATTATAATGTTTTGTTATTCAAATTTCCATTTTCAGTGGCCATTTTATTTAATGAAGGCTTTGTTTTCATTTCTTGAAAATCGTTATGAAAACAGACGTAACAACCTATTAAGGAAAATTAATTACATCTCATAAATAAAAAAATAAAAATTAATCAGTGGCACTACAACCTCTTTAGGCCTAGGCCTCACATTTCTAAATCTGCTTCATGATCATTTTTCAATCTAATAGGCAAGTAGGTGATCAGCCTCCTGTGCCTGACATATGCCGTCGACTTTTTGGGTCTAAGACATGTTGGTTTCTCACGATGTTTTCCTTCACTGTTTAAGCGAATGTTAACTGCGCACATCGAAAGAAAATCTATTGGTGCACAGCCGGGGATCGAATCTACGACCTCAGGGATGAGAGTCGCACGCTGAAGCCACTAGGCCAACACTGTTTATCGCAAATATCAAGAACAAAATTTATACGTAAAATAATTCAATTAAACTCAAAATATAAAGTATTTACAATTTTCTAAACCTACATAGAAATAATTAAAACTTAATAAATAGAATCAAAACAAATTTAAAAAGTTTGGTCTCCGTGGCAGTGTGCCTTCAACGTTTCCAGCATTTCGCTGTATTGCTATACTTAGATATTGAGCGAGGAAAGCACCAGCTCTGGGGTCACCGGTTCTATCTACTAGGCGCCAACTAAAAACTTAAAAGAAAAAAAAAATTATATATGTTAAATTTTAATATTGAATTTAATGTATTAGATATGTTGTCTTGGTTATCTTAAATTCCAATGTCATATAAACATAATCAAATATGTTTACCGCGTTTTCTCACTATGCTTTTCTTCTCCGTATTACCTAGTGCTAAGCATCACCATTTTTAAAAAGATAACATCTAAACTAATATTGCTAGACTAAAAGTTTCTTTGCAATATGTCTATCGACGTACAATATCGAAACAACCAATCTTTCGTACTAAAGTTGTTCTTTGATATAATTTCAAATCTTAAGAACTCTTTTAAGATAGCCTTTTTACAAATTGAATGGCGATCAAAGTCCGCTAATATTTCCCAAGAGCAACCCCGGGGACGATTTATGAAATTCAGTACTTTAATGTGTAATTGACCTGTCAGAACCACGCCTGTTATTAGTTTCGGCCTTTATACTCTCTTATTACCATAATATTAAAAGGCTGTATGTGTATTAAATTCTAGTAAAAGCCTGGGAAATTGTCTAGGTTTAAAATATAGTTTTTAAAACTGAGCAGGGTTGCCTAGCTAGTGATTTTCAACCCTCAATTCGTGTGTTCCACCCCTAATTTATTTATGAAAACATATTAAAATGTATTATCTTCTATCTCTCTATAATTTAATAATAATAATAAATCCCGTTTATTTCCGATTTTTACAAATGTTGAATAATATACAGTTTAGATTTGTTACACATTTTTTTTCTTGTTAGTGGATATCCTAACTTCCGTCTGTTCTACGTATTCGCTTCCTGCTAACTCTTCTATCCATCTTTTTGGGCATCTTTTTCTCCTTCTTCGCCTTGCTCCTTTCCAAGTATATATTTTTACTAAGTGGAATATTTTAAACTCTAGGTGTTTGAAGAACTAGAGACGCTGATCCCAGAATCGGACTCAATTAGCGCTGGCTGGTCACGTGATTCAGCAGTTCGCCGGCGCCGCCTCTGCGGGGACTGGGGTGGAAAACTGAAACTCTTGCGCTATCAGTCAAGAGGCCATATTTTACGAATTCGCTTTAGATCTGATCATTCAAGACACTACGCTGGATACCGGGCTAAAGCGACGTTAGCAGACTGTGAGTAATTGTCATTTATTTACTTCAACCAATACTTATTTTCTAAGACTATGGTATCTGACTGCCGTTTGTTCAAATACAAAACGTTTTGACGTATGTGAGTCATACTTAATTACTTAGTCTTGAATTTGAGTGTTATGTTAAGAATAGTTATGTATATTACACTTTACGATAGTGTCGAATAAAAAAAAGTAATTTTAATTTAATTAGGATTGAACCTAATTAAATATAATGACAGTTTTACGGTTCACACAAGATGATGACGATCTATAGCACAAATATAACCTTTTTATTAAAACGATGTGATCTGTGTCTGTATCGGGGTTAAAATGGTTTTATAAAACTTATCTATATATACATCAAAATTAATTGATGTTCGTTTGCCTCGCTAAAACTGGAGAATGGCTGGACCGACATAAATAATAAGTAAAGAAAAATACTAAATCTGACAATTGAATTTTCCAATTAAAACTATTACTAGCTGGAAAATAGTTGATGACTTTTGTCTTTTTAGAAATAAAAATTATCACTTGGTTTTCATATATTTATAGATGCTATAAAAAAATATGTATTATTTTTTGAGACAAATATTCTTACAATCGTTCTGATTTTCTTAATTTAAATATACGAGATTTTAAAAAGAACTCTTATCCAGAACATAAAGACGCTGATGTGGACTAGCTCTTTGAACATATTGACTGCGCTTGAGACAGCATTTAGAAGATGTTGTTGTCTCATCAAAAAAACTATCCGATAACAACCCGCAATGCTGTACGTAACTGAATATTTTGACGTTTCTTAACGAAATAATACAGTTTATCTTTTCAAATATTATGTACGTGTTCTGAGAACTATAGAAGTTGCGCTGACCATTCAAAGTGGCGTCTTTGTGTTTGCAGTTGTAACACGTACTCTATTGTAACTAAGTTTATTTTATCATCGAGCTCGTCCTAGTTTTAATTAAATTTAAACTTTTTGAATATTCACGCTCCAACTCGCGCGCGAGTCAGTATTTCGGAGATACGGTATATTTATTCATGTGGAACTAATGTGTAACTAACTACTAAAGCTTGGTTTTGTGGTGGAAGGATGGTGTACTGCTTCTCCAACCAAAAGGGAAGATCTTTGACCAGTCAAACCACTGACTGTCTCGAAGTCCCAAGTGGTTGAGGTCCAGAAATTCTATATATCCATAGCGGCCGGAATAACTCAGTTAGCGTGTTTCAGAGTATAACGTCATCGTAGAGATTTGAAAGCGCAGCCTTGCGATTCTGTAACTCACTTTTCGAACTCACACAGCGGTTTTCACAGCGGTGAAATAATAAACAATAAACTACAAGCTCCCTCCTTATCAGAATACCAAATCATATAATGACTGCTTTACGACTGATTTAAGCGCGACCGCCGCTGCGGTGATTTCCAATTTTATTTATTATTATAATAAATTCAAATTCGACAGTGATGTGGATCCCGACGTTTTTGTATGCAAGTTAAATGTAGTTCTTTTAACATAGCATTGATGTCGCAAAACTCATTGAGGTCGGTATATCACTATTGGAAGTTACAGAGAAAGGGTTCGAGACCTAACGCAACGAATCACAGACCTTTTTTTATTTTTTTTTGCTGACAAAAAGATAAGACCTGTTTATCTGTAAAAATACCAATATGGTATTTGGTTGAGAATGGAACCTTATAGGCGATACAGCAAATCGAGTGAGTATTGCCAAACAAACCTGATCCGTGATATGGGCTCAAATAAAAGCATAATAATATTCCCCGGTAGAACTTCACTTCGAAATGTAATTATAAAGAACATGGTTGTGAAGTGAATTTGTAGTGCTTGTTAGCCCGTTTCATTCATTCGAGCATGTTATGTGTGCATCCGAATTTGCAGAGTTTTCTTGCTAAAATTCAATTTATACTGTTTCGTATATTTGCTATTGATGACATGATGGCATTTCCAAATTTACGTGGTGTTTGCGAAGTTGACTACTAATTTAATCTTTATTAGCTAGTACTAGTTACAACTAAAGAGGAAATGGGCCGGTCACATTGCTCGCGATTGTGGTGACAGATAAAAAAGACACTTGGAATGTCCCAGTTGGAAGAAAAAGAGAGGACGCCCGCCAGAAACCTGGGAAGATGAAGTGAAAGAGACAGTGGGGAAATGGTTGCGAAGATGAGAGTGAGAGAAGATGAGAGAAATGGAAAAAATTGGAAGCCTTGACTCCGTCGGAGGTCATGTACTAATATTAAATACCTATAATCCTTATGTTTGTCGAATACATGCTAGTTTTATTTTTCATTCACATGTTACAACAAGTACACTTTACAAAGTTCAAATAATCTTTTGTGTATATGGAAAAAAGTAAAATAATATTTTATTTGCGATACTAATATCGTATATTACATTATTTATTGACAAGAGTATATGATGGGCGATTATCAGATAATTAAAAACATAATTACAAAACTATAAACATACTGAGTTTAATGTTTCTGTGTCGCTCATTAATTTATTTTTACTTAATTAAAGTACAACACATGAATACCTTTTTACAGTATAAGTTACAATCGATCTATTCTAAAATATATGACGTAGGAAAGCATATTTGCTGTAAGTAGACAAAATACCTAAAGTGACTTTTTCCTGCCATTAGAATCAGAAAAAAAGCCGCATCGAATGACCTGGGTCCTGTGTCTCTACGATGAAAAAAAATTACATACGCCGTTGAAAACGCCCGTACTTATATTATTTTTAGCAAGATTAAATGCTGTATGTAGACCAAAATCTAGTCATTTCAGACATTTTGCACTTACAGCAAAAGAAAATCTGCATTTTTTTCTTTACAAATACTTACTTCTTCCCATTTAAAAACTTAACGCTACTTACAGCATTTCAGCGGCGTGTGATTTTTACATTCATTTACTTACAGCAAGCTTAGGGAACCTACAGTTTTAGTGTTTTTTACCATTTACGACATTTTATTTCAACCGAACATTACATTACCAAATGACCCACTGCATTTCTAGATCTAATCATAATTATAAACTAATCTTACATCTTGAATTGCAATTGAAAGTACCCAAATACATAAATTTACTGCATACAGCATATTTACCGCCTGTAATTTGATAATATTTCCGCGCGTACATTTTTCTTCCTTAGTTACAGCGTTTTAAAGGTTTGTGATTTAAAAAACTGTTTGCTGTAACTAGCCAAACACGTACTTATAGTAACTTTGGATAAAAAGTTTACATTGCAAATGGTGACTGGCAGTTAAATAAATATATGTTTCAAAAATGGTAGCAATATCATGGATAGGTCAGACACTATTAATTTTTTTCCGAAATTAATAAAGTTTTTTGGCTCTGGTGAACAATTGCAATATGTCTACTTACAGCAAATGTGCTTTCCTACGTCGATATGACGATTACAGTGAACATAAAATTCGCAAGAAAGTGTGCGACTTTACATGAGTCTATACAATAATTATGGCTAATAGGTAATATTATGTTAACTTAATTTTCTAGAATACTAATGAATAGCTTAACCTAAGGTAATGTTCATTGACAGTCTTAGTCAAAGGGGGAACTGCTGCCACTTACTGCCAGTATCTTCGGAACCTTGCCTAAAGGGACTCCTTTTAATAATATATCTTAGTTTATGTTAAGGTTAGTTATTTATTTCAATGTATATTATTTTATTATTATGTTTTTTATGTTTAAAATTATATCATTACGTATAATATTAGCTTCTTAATTATATTGATGTTTTTGTCTTAGTGTTATATAATGTTTTGATACCATGTTCGTGTTGCTAAGTGCAAGTGCGGTATGTCGGACACTACACTAGTTTTAGTAACTCAAAAGGTGTAGTTCTCTTTAGGCGTCTTGTTCGTGTTGAGTCAAAAATTTTAATTGTCTCAGCATTTACACGGCTATGTAGCGTGTTTAAGTGAGCTAAGACAAAGCGTTTCGCCGTTTATTTAGGGCTTAATTCACATTAAGATCCTTATGGACTTTCATTTTTAATATACCATGGTGCATTGTCAACCACTTTCAGTAACATACGAATTACGACGAATAATTTGCAGTAAAAACAGACAATATATTTTATGCAAACGTGATGTAGTCATAAAGCCATTAAAATTCTCTTTTTCATGCAAATACAAACCAAGCCCGAATGGAAAATATTAATTGACAAATGTGATTTATGAATTTTCAATCAGTGATATTTTATTAAGTCAATGTGTTTTATAGGAATTACGATATAAAAGGAATCGATCGACGTGATGTAATAAATCTTGCAAAATGTATTTGCGTGAGTTTTTCCTTTGAGGAAAATGGTTTAGTGCCCGATAATCCGAAAAAGGGAATGTTTTTACACATTAGTTAAATCACGATTGTAATGGATTTATGTGAATCTGTTAGCTAAAAACTGTAGATATACTTATACTGTCGAGGTATATATTTAACAACTTACTAAAAATAATACAGTTTTTTTTAATCAAATCGCCAATTACGGTATACAGACTAAACAACAATATTACAGAGCATTTGCGTTTAGAGTATGGGTGTGTATTTGTGTGTGTAACTAAAACGGGTTTGTTAAAATCGGCTTGATTCAGTGACATTACATGTCTGCTTAGTATCCTAACCACACATTTAATGTCACAGGTATCCCTTTAAAAGAGCCGAAACTTTCAATATAGAAAATCATTGAACAAATTTAACGATTCTTAATAAAAAGTACTACTACTGCTATCGTTTACTTTATTTGCATAGAATTAAGATGAAAATTATCTTTTTTCGTCTTATATTTCTCTTATATCTTTTTAATTAAAGCGGTCATAAGTCTCTTCCTATCAAATTCTGTTTCCGTTTTGTTCTGTGAAATTAAAAGAGAAAAATTATTAACTCTTTAGTCAATACGGTGCAAATAGACTTATTTAGTTTGAATGAATATGGGATATAATGATGAAAAATACTATACATACTTTCATTAAAATATAAACAACCACTTTAAACTCTTAAGAGGATATAAAATCGATGGTCAAAGTTTAGAAAAATATTTTTTATCAATTGTCAATCTCAGGAGATAAATGCTTGTTTTTTGAACTGCCGTGACCCAAAAGTTTCGGTTTTGTTCCACAGAACATAATGTTTTCCTTATAGCAGGCACAAAAGATTGATCTTACTCACAACTCATACCATTCTCCAACTTCAAAAATGTTGCGTTACATCCAAAACCTATCTTAAAATACTGGACAAAATGCCATTAATTAGTCATACAGTGTAGGGCTATTGAGTGGATGGTTCTCACTTCAACATCGCTCGACTTATCTTCAAGTAATCTTCTTATGATCCCACTTCACCAAAATGCTTTTATCAAAAATAACATTTCATTCATATCGTTTTCTTTGACGAACTGTTAACTATGTCTTACCTTTGCAACTTTAATTAAGTATTTTGAAGTTATACCTCTTTTGGCGCGTTAGGGAAAAATTATGAGAGTAAATTTTTACAATGCGCCCGCACAGTCACAAAAAACCGACACCCTGAAGTTAGCTATAGTCAACACTATTTTTTTCTATTGTTAGTGTCGTTTTTTCTACAAACGTAGAATAAGGCGAAAAATTAAGTGTTTGAAACTATTTTTATCTTCTAACGCGTGTACGTAAGTACACGTACGTTTTATTACTGCCCTGCGATTCTGTAACTCACTTTTCGAACTCACACAGCGGTTTTCGCATCGGCGGTCGCTCTCAAATCAGTCGTGAAGCAGTCATTTTATGATTTGGCATTCTGATACACTACAAGCTCCCACCTCTTCAGAATGCCAAATCATAAAATGACTGCTTCACGACTGATTTGAGAGCGACCGCCGATGCGAAAACCGCTGTGTGAGTTCGAAAAGTGAGTTACAGAATCGCAGGGCTGTCCTAATCCATAATTAAATAGAGAAGTATAATTAAATAATACTTATTTAACAGATATAAAGCGAGAGACACTGCCAGCCCGCAATGCTGAAAGGCACATACAACGTTAAGTTTATTATGATGTAAATAATGTATTTAATTCGCGTTTAAATTGAAGTTTACAAAACTTGTAATGTTCTCTTTTTAATTATCATTTTGTCAACAGCACAGTCATGTATGGACTCGAAGCAAATCCTCTTCAATGGCTACTGTTACCTGTTCTCCGGATACCCACGGGCCTCTTGGACTACAGCCAAACAGGTGAGTTCGTATAGTTAAAGCTTTGCAGTTCCACAAGATTTATGCGGTTTCTGAATAGTCGCGCGAAGACACAATACTTACATATTGATACACAAAATCTAACTTATTGACAATTTTTAGACGTACCGACGTTACCGTTCGAATGAACGGATAATTTGTCTGTTTAAATTATATTAAACAATAGTAATAAATTTAAAGCCGTTATTTTGTTAAATGTGCTACAGGATCTATTAAGATCTCGTCCATATTTTTGATAATATGTGACTATTTATTGATAATAACTTAATACATACAAATATTAACAATTTTTAAATTTATGATATAGATAAAACGGATAACACCACACACGTACTAAGAATTGGACTTTTGAGGTGTGTTTGGAATGTGTGGGATGGTGTGTATGCGATTTATATAGTCTTAAAAATTCATACAATTTGCATTTTTCTTTCGAAAAACATCAATACTCCTGAGATTCTTGTTTAAATTAATCATATTATCTAAACTCGTCTTCTCCAAAATTTTAATAATATGTTTCGGAATTATACAAGTCTCATCTGCAGAATACCAGATAACTTGCGGATGACTTAAGTTCAGCAATAAACATAAATAATTACCAGGCTTAACACAGTAGCTTAATTTGCTGCTAATTAACTAAGTACGCAAGGTTCACGAACAGTGCAGGTTCATGGCAATCCTGACCTAAGGTTGAAAACTGTATACCTATTATATATTATAGCTTCTACTACATCTTTACTACTACTGAAACTGTCAGGATTCCAATAATTTAAACAAACACATTATAGACATTTAGACAAAATTTCTAATATCTGAGAATATTTAGGTATAGATACTAGATATATCATATATATATTTATTTGTATGAAAATATAAAAATACCTATTATTCATAATCGTATTTTTATTATTTATTTAATACACGTAGTTTTATGTTTTTGCAACCAAAATATTAAGCAAACTCAGATTTTTCAATGACTTTTGCTCTATTTCTTGCTTGATATGCAACTGTATTGTATTTATAAAACATCTTTGTGAACTGATATTATGACTGACTTCATAATATTAAATGCATCTAAATTTGTGTAACATATACATCGCAATTAAAAATATAAAAATCTGGGCCTCCGATATCTGTATCTGTTTCATTTGCCAATCTTATAGGCAAGTAGGTGATCAGCCAACTGTGCCAGACACAAGCCGTCAACTTTTTGGGTCTAAGGCCAGAATTCTTTTGGTCAGAAATTCGTGAACTCTCTTAAAAACTATTAAACCTTATCTTACCAAACCTTATTTAAATCATAATCAGACACCTTGTCATATATATTATCTAATAAGCTGTTCCTCTAGAACTTCTCCTTATCACTCTGAATAATATATGAACAAAACAAAACATACACACAAACAGGACAAACAACGTTTGTTTAATAAAAAGACCGAAATTTTAAAACCACTTTTGTTACTTCATCTTAAGAAAACAAAACTCGTATTGAAATTCAACGTGAAAACAATTCAAAAGGTCACCTAATAAAGTACTTTGGAAGCAATCTCGAAGATATGAAGCGAAGTGTGAAATGGTGTTGCCAAATTTTTTGGTCCATTTCGCCCGAGCCGGGTGAAGTTAGGGAATCAATTCGATCCGCTAACGAGCTTTGGGGAACTTCGGCTGATTTACTAAATCTACTGTTGATTATAGGATTTTGATTTGAGTTACTCGAAGTTTCAGTAATGGGAAATGTAAGTAGTAAATAACATCCAACTTTCGCCATTTTTCTTCAATGTTTAATTGTTTTGCTAGTTTCAAGCTGAATTGAGAAAGCTTTCAGAAAACTATTTAATTGAATTCAAATTATACTAAATTATGGGAGTTAAATAATCTGTTTTTAATATTATTTAATATGTTTACGAATACGTAATACTATTAAATTAGAGAATTATCACTAAATAAATTCCCTCGTTAAACGTAATTTAATTAATAAAGCTTTTTATATATTTGACGAATACTTAAATGATCCTAATCTTTGGGATTGATTTGCTCCGGTTCAAACAATTTGTATGACTCAAAACTTAGCGATTAAAAAGAGTGGCGGAAAGTTGCTTGCCAGTTCTTTTTGCCCGCTCTACGCCCTTGACTTGCGAACTGGTAATAAATGTAAATTTACAATTAATTTAACTTTTTTTTTTGACGTTCATAAGTGTACTTAGATATTTTGGAGTTTGAGTTTAACTTTTAAAACATCAAGTTATAGAAGAATAAACAATGAATAATTTAAAAAAAAGCCTGTTTGAACTTGTTTGATTACTTATTCTCTTTACGAAAACAAAGCCGAATGAAACAAATTTTAAAACAGTTAAAATACCCATTTAGGGGAAAACAAAAGCGATTCCTTTTTTTACATTAACCAAAGCAAAGCTAGCCAATTAATTAGAAATATAACCCGACATACTCCACTGAACACAAAACACAAAAGTTGTCGAGTTTATTTCACTAATGTAAATGTTATTCACACGAGACGAAGCTATTTCTAAAGATATCCCCTTTATACAATACCCGTCGTGTTCTCTTATTTTGACTGAATGCCTCCCTAAGGACAACTCGTTCTTATTGTGTTTTCTAGGAACGGTAGTATGGTTCCTTTTCCAACAAATTTTGCTGTAATAGCTTAGAGGATATGTAGTACAGTGGTGGTCTAGTGGTTAAGAGTACGACTCTCAACACTGAGATCATGCGTTCAAAAGTAATTTTTTGTCTATGCTTATTAACCACATAAAGAAATAAACATCGAGAGAAAAGTAGCAATTATTATTTATTTATCAATAAGGAAATATGACACATTACAAATACAAGGTATGTGAAAATATAAATGTCCTTAGATCGGGGGCACGAAAATTTAAACAGTAGGTATATTACATACACAAAAGACAAAACAATGACAACAACGACTTTAGAAGAATGCAAGACTCATACTACTGCTTAAAAGCAGTATGTTTTACGTTTAAAGAAGTTTATTTCTCATACCAAAAAATGTAATCTTTTTACATGAGAAACTTAATATATAAGAACGAGATACATGTCGCCATCTGACTAAAATTAGTCTACTAGGCTCATTCTGATATGTTTCTTAATGCCCTTTTGAATTGTTTGAACGCGCTTTACGAATTTTAGACGGTAATTGATTAAATAATAATTGTAATTATTACACTAAAAATCATAAAAAAAAATATCAAGTAACAATGCAATATGAGGCCCATTAAATATAAGTTGTCTAGTTCAACTCGCTCGTTTTAAACTCTAAGGCTATGTTCAGATGGCAAAAACTTGACGCGCGTTTTCAAATCTCGCGACTAGAGATTATGGTATTTTTCATACAACTGTTCACATGTACGCGCGTTAACGCGCGTTAACGCGCGTCAACGCGGCGCTCAGAGAAAAAGTCTCTAGACGCAGGTGATCGCGCGTTGACGCGCGCTTTGATATTAATGTAATGTCCGTTTGCTGTTCAGATGAGCGCGCGCTTTCATCGCGATCGCATGTAATTTTATTAATTTTCGTAATTATATTTTGTTCTCGCTTTTAAAATGAGTGAAATTGAAGATATTGACATCGACTTACTAATCGATGAAGTAGAAAAAAGGTCAGCAAGTTGGAATATAGCAAATTTGTATAAAAAATATAATATAAATTGTATTTTTTTTTCAAAATTGGATAAACCCAATGTGTACGTTTTCTTTTTCTATATTTTTCTTTATAATATAACCACAAAATAATAGCCTCTTCCACGTCCATTTTCTACGTTCTACCGAACTAGACTGACGAGTACTCTCGCAACGCGCGTTAGCGCTCATCATCTGAACGCTCTTCAAATTTGATCGCGCGTTGACGCGCGTTAACGCGCGTTACATGTGAACATAGCCTAATACTTCACCGGGCACTAGAGTAATATTAAGATAATAGTAACATTTACATTCTGTATATTTTACTGAGAACAAATCACTTATAAACCCACGATATGTTCGAGTAATATAGGGATGTTTCGAGACTTGTTTTCCTTGGAATGTCTAAAAATAACAAATTTCGTTTCTATAAATTGTAACAATCGAAGATCGACACTATAACTAATTTCCTATCTTTCTTTAAATCTCTCATGTACATACATTATGTCCACTCTAACTTTTGTACTAACTGCCCTGCGATTCTGTAACTCACTTTTCGAACTCACACAGCGGTTTTCGCATCGGCGGCTGATAAACAATAAACTACAAGCTCCCACCTTTTCAGAATGCCAAATCATAAAATGACTGCTTCACGACTGATTTGAGAGCGACCGCCGATGCGAATACCGCTGTGTGAGTTCGAAAAGTGAGTTATGTCAATTGTATAATATTTATGTATGCAACGAAGTGTTAATAAATAAATAACTTAGCTAAGAATGACTGTTAGTAATTCCTCTTTATAAAAGATATTTGTTACAATTTTAAGTAGCTTAATACGATTCTAGGTTTGCGAAGGCTTAAACATGCATTTAGCCTCCGTCCATACGTCAGATGAAGAACGATTCCTTGTGTCAGGCATCCGACAAAGCAGCGATTACAGCGCTGGAGCAATCTACTGGCTCGGCGGTAATCTAGCTAATGAAGAACTCAGCTGGGTAGACGGCAGCGCTTTAGGATACCAAGCATGGCCACCTTACAACGATACGGAGGAGTTCGATGAAGCTTGCTTAGCTGTGCAGGTACTTATCTAATTTTAGTTTTTTTTTATATAACAGGAGGCAAATGGGCAGGAGGCTCACCTGATGTTAAGTGGTACCGCCGCCCATGGACACTCTCATTGCCTGCACGCAAGTGCGTTGCCGCCTTTTCAAATGTCGAATTGGTACGGAAATACTGGGCAACAAACGCTTTTCAATTCAATTTTACCAAACCATTCAAACCGTTATATGCAAGCAAAATATAGTATCCTAGTGTTTGAGTTATAAAAAATCTATTCTTATACGAAACATTTGGTAGCCCGTTATTTCAACAAATATATTAAGGCATAATTAAATATTCCTAAAATCACGATTTCAAAAATATAAACAAAATTATTATTCTACATAACTTTCATCTGATCAATGTTCTAATGATGTCACTAAGGCGTTGGTACGCTGTCCTTGCCCAATCATAGGCACCTTATTTTCTAACAAAGAAAATAAACAAATAAAATGCAACCAATAATAACACTAAGACTTGGTAACCAATTTAAATATATATATGAAAGGTATGAAATAAATTAGCATTTTTATTACATGTTACAAATCATATAATCATCCTCATACGGATACAACAATCACAGACATAAATTAAGTAAATAATATTATTTTTATTTAGTGGAAAACATCTCCAGTGCCATCACAGCCCAGCGGGTTGTACTGGTCGCTTCACAAATGTTCAGTGACTGGAGGTTACGTGTGCAAACGACGTCTTAAACCGGAGTACTTAGTCAAGAATGAAACGGTTGAAGGAGCTTCTGGTAGGTTGAGTTTGTTGGCTTTATCCTTCTATTTCTTTACTACGACTTATGTAGTTTATTTCATGAGATTCAAAGCACACAACTTTCTTTGGGGTTCTTTGTCAAAACAGGTGTAGAAATATGTCTGTCTCACATGATTAAATTTCTAATATTCCTAAACCCAACTATTTATAACATTATATTTAGTAATAAATAAAACAAAATATTTTCTACAAATGGATATCTATATTTAATGTAATTGAACCGTTCCATGAAATTATGAATTTTACTATGGGGTCAAGACGCATAAATATTAGACTGTGCCGAGTTTAATAGGCACGTATAATCTAATTGGTAATAGCCCAATTGCAGCAGTGGCTTCAGCGAGCGACTCTCATCCCTGAGGTCGTAGGTTCGAACCCGGACCGTGCACCATTGGCTTTCTACGAGTATGTGCGCATTTAACATTCGCTCGAACGGTGAAGGAAAACATCATGAAACTTGCCTTAGACCCAAAAAGTCTACGGCGTGTGTCAGGCATAGGACGTTGATCATCTACTTATCTGTTAGATTGATTGATTTTTTATTTATTTAGAATACAATACTGTTCGTATTAATAACGAGCGCCTAGGTAATACGTCATTCTTATCAATTTCAACATGATCATAACCATAAAATAGATTAAACCAGTAGACAATAATAATAATATCAAAGCTGGTATCAGGTGTAATAAGCAGTCCACACCACCCGGCGCTGTACGACACAGACTTGGACCACTTCACCTTGATACGAGGACCTCCAGCCACGCGGTTGGTCTTCATCTTCCAAACTATTGATTTGGAGTACCAGGGCGATTGTCTATACGACTATATTGAGGTGATTTAAGTTTAGTTTAAACTAAAATGTATAATACTAACTAATTTAAGAGCGGGCACTAACCAAAATCACTCATTGTAGATTTGATTTTATCTAAGTATGTGATGCTTGAATGAAAAATAATAAATATGTATTGAGCCTTCACTATAATTCCAATCGTTGACTCTAATTAAAAGCACAATACAATATAAATTCCTCGATCCAAAAAAAATACAATGTCACCTCTAGCCTAATTTCGTTTTTATTCAATCACGGCGAGTATAGGATAAGCTAATGGAGCCCAAAAAAATTAATGAATTATAGAACATTAGTTTTGCCCAGAGCTGTTTTATTATATATACTAGCGATTTTATTAAATAATATATGTTATGTTGGTTTGCGTACGCTTCAAAAACTCAAAAAGTTCAATTCAAAGAGAAATTTTAGCATGATATATAATCACCATCGAGGATAGTTTTTATATATTTTTTTTTTCATTTTTTTTCCACAAGTATTGCAAAATTAAACTTATATGAAATGTTTTCTTTGTTTTGTTTCTCATTTCTCAACCATTCAATCACAATATGCTACAGCGAAGCGTGGCAGGGATTAGTATTGTATATTTTACAAGTTATTTAAATAAAACCATTTATTAAAATTATAACTGTATCTTCCGTCTCATCTCACGAGAACTTCAGGCATGGATTTGTTTCACTAGTCACTAGAGCGGGCGAAGGGAAAGGCGGAGGTGAAATCATGGATTTTTCTTTGCCTAATGCGCTCCTTAACTTATTTATGTTGTATAAGTAAGAAAAGAATTTGCTGACATATATATGATGATTTGACTACGTTTTTTAGTAACTGACCTTGCAATAAAAATCTCTTGTAGGTCTTAGTTATACATACGTATAACTTGAACATTTAAGTTAAAAATTAAGAAATTTGTTTTTTGCATGAAAGAAAATTAGAATTTAGTATTTATTACAGTCTAAATTACCAATCTTAATTGAAATTTTTGCAGCTACGAGATACAATTAGTATGAAATCATCAAGATACTGCGGAACAGTGGAAGACGTTAGATGGGTCTCCTCAAAGAATGAGGCGCTTTTGCATTTTCATTCGGATTATAGGTAAACGAAAATATTAATTTTATTTAATAAATATAATGTATTTCAAATATACGTATCCTCACAATCAGAGCTAGGATTAATATTCTTTAACACTATACAAGTAAATAAAAGTTAGAAACCTTTTTAACATACTGTTAAAATGTTACAATTATTGATGTTTAATTTCAGCGTTCAAGGTTCGGGGTTTCTTGTTAAGTGGCACGCGGTAGAGTTGTCAGGTTGTCCTTCAAAAACATTCACTTCTAAAGAAGGGGTAATCACAAGCCCAAACTACCCTCATTTTCTTTTACCTGATCTAGACTGTACTATGGATATTCTTGCTCCTACAGGTAAGATCAAAAACAATAAAGTATTAGAAAACAAATTTTGCACCGCTTTTATTTATTTAGAATAATTACATCGTTACGCAATTTTTGTCACGCTTAATGTAAAGAAGGTATTTGCAAAAATTTTAAGAATATTTAACACTAAAATTTAATAATTTTTGAAGTAATGTCAGAAATTAAGAATATATAACATTTACGTTACAGGAAAGCGCGTATTTCTTAATATCAGTTACTTCGATTTCGGCTACGGATCGTTTTTAAATGGAATTCCTCTGAACGTAACAAATCTTGTCCCAAAAGACAATTATCTGGAGATCCAAGTTGACCCACAAATAGACCCCATTCGCCCATTTCTGGACCCAAATGTTTTGACCAATGGATTGTTTGTTTCCACCTCGGAGGTGATCCGATTGAGGCTGAAAACTGGAGGAAATGTTACTGGAGTTGGCTTTCGGGCACATTTTAAAACTGGTGACTATTAATTGAAATTATTCCTTTATTTGCCGCCTACGTGACTTGAGGTTTTACGTGCTTGGCATGTTAAGTTCGATGCCCGATATTATGTGTGTTGGAAGTGTTAATATATAGGGCATATACACTGTTATATACACATTAACATTCTTCATCCTAGCAAACTTTTTTTTGTTTAATATGCGCGGCCTAATCGCTTTCGAGTGATTTCTTCCAGTCAACCACTACAAACAATAAATTAAATAAGGTAGGCGCAAGAAGTTCAAAACTACATAAGATATACAATTACTTACACATAAACAATGGAAGAAAACAAAGCAATAAAAACATTTGTAGACAATTAAAAGGCTATCTTTTTTCAAATCCAAACTGAAGGATGACACACAAAATAATTGTTCTTATGTTATGTCTTTTAATAAAAAGGTTTAAATAGAAGGGTTTTGAAGAATATTTTAAGGAGGAAGTTATTTTAAAGTACCTATAGCTTCCTTGTTGGTTAAAAATTCCTACTATATCACCTATACGTTTTCCTACAGTTAGCTTCCTCAATATATCCAACGTGGTGGAATTGGGTGGCGTCCGTTCTGGCAAGATCTCGTCTCCCAATTGGCCAAGCGCTGGTCCTTCGCGCGCCAGAGTCCAGACTAGAATAATCGCTCCACACGGATTTATTCTTTCTGTGTTCTTTGCAAGTACTGTACTCGTGCCTTACACTGGTGTATGGCCGTGTGGTGATGGCAAAGGGTGGATTGAGGTATGTTTTCTTAATTTAACTGAATTTTATTGTTTATTAATGAGAAAAAGACCTGTGAGAAGCTTTTAAGGCTTTTAGTGTCATTATTAGTAAAAGTTGGAATGTTCATTGTTAGTTGAATTGACTTCAGCGTGCGACTCTCATACCTGAGGTCGTAGGTTCGATCCCCGGCTGTGCACCAATGGACTTTCATTATATGTGCGCATTTAACATTCGCTCGGTGAAGGAAATCATCGTGAGAAAACCGCCTTGCCAACCCACACCCTTGACCCAAAAAGTCGACGGTGTGCGTCAAGCACAGGAGGCTGCTCACCTACTTGCCTATTAGATTGACAAATGATTATGAAGCAGATACAGAAGAGATAAGATACAGACATAAAAAGGCTGCAGCGCCACTGTTCTATTTTTATTGGTATAAATTAAATGAGTTCTATGTGTGATTTAATATTACAGTAAATGCTACGCATATTTCTGTATAGTATATATTAACTTTTGAAAATAAGAGATTATACGAACACATTTTATTAGGTACAAGATAGTTACACAGACAACAATGGGACCACGTGGATGTTATGCGAGAACAATCGACTCACGCGTAGTTCAGAAGCTACCGTTCCTCTCGTTATCAACTCATATCTCCATACACTTGTAGTCACGCAGCATTCTGCCGACCGACCTGTTAACATTGATGTTTCTTTGATTGTTAAAAATGGTAAGTGTAGAATCAGCTACCTTATATCTTTCAAATCCCTAAGTGATAAGGGGTGTCTACCCAAAAAAAAACCTTTTCACCTCTCTACGAACAACCTCTATTTTTTATTATAGTAGATAGTTATTTTTATTTGAACTAAAAAATGTGTCCTAGAGATAATATACATGGCAAAATAACGTTTGCCGGGTCAGCTAGTAATTAAAAAATTCCTAATCCAAAACTAGTACTTTTCTTGTGACGTGTCTGTGTTTAGGTATCACAACATCAGTAGAGTTATATAAGCAAAACATAAACTTCATAACTGCTTGTCCATCGAGATCGAGCTATAATATCTACCCCAAGTCAACAATATATGTTTTTTTTAATATTAAGTTAATTCAAAAATAAAATAATAATTATAATAAAATAAACAATAAACATAATTTAACACAATTTTATTTATTTTTCAGATCCAGAATACCACAGTAAAATTCTCCTTCTCCCAGATGAGACAAGTATAGAGTCATGTTACCCAAACCCTTGTTTGCACGGAGCTCGCTGCGCAATCGATGACACCAAGAACTTCTGCCAATGCTCTGGATATTATACCGGTAAGTAACTAATCAATATTACCTAGTCACGACTTTATATTATCTTCAAACGGATATTCATTCGCTATAGAAATAACAAGTTAAATGCATTTTAATACTACATAAACTGCAGACACACCCTGACACACACACACACACACACGGCACACTATATAAAAAATCATTGACTCGAGTTAAGATAAATGAAACACTTTGTTTGAAGCTGGGTGTCAACCGTTTAATGCATAAACTTACATAAAATTAGGGGTTGACTAAATCTAAGTGACACTTCTCTTACCTATAAAGAATATAAGTGTAGTCGACCTATTGGACATTATGGGCAATGAGAATACAATTCACGAGTGTGGGAAAACCCTAAAAGGCCCATTTATTCCTATCAAAACTAACATTTTAAATTATTGACTAACATATATATGTAACTTAATTAAAGTTTATATAACTCCCGCAATAGCTTACTTTCTTCTTCCATATTGTGACCTAATAAAGATCTTTAATAATCACAAGATATTTAATTTAAAATAAATACACGATTTATTTTTCAAATTTACCTGCAAAACCATAAATTATCTCAATTTCTATTGAATAATATAGTGTACTTCTTTTCCTCTACTCAAATTAAAAATCTTTGAGAGAAAGTTCATATTTTTCCGCATCTTTCACTTTCGCAGGTGTATTCTGTTTGATAACTGCCTGCGAGCGATCGCCTTGCGTGTTCGGAAACTGCTCTCTATCTGAAGACCCCGACGATGTCGGTTTCAAATGCGCTTGCGCACGTGGCTACAAAGGAAAAAGATGCTCAGAACGAATACGTCCCTGTGCATCTAAACCTTGCAATCATAGAGGCGCTTGCCTGGAAAAGGATGGAACGTTTCTCTGTCAGTGCAATCCTTCTTGGAAAGGAAAACGGTAAGTACCTCCCACCCAGAACAGAAACAGGGGCACAGAAATTCACAGGATTCAGAAACCCCTCTGAATCTTCCAATTCAAGCCAACATTCTATATTTATGACCGGGTTTTATCACAGAATTTACTTTTGACATTGTGTTGTCGGTTTAAAGTGAAGATATTGGACATTATCGGAAACGAGAATGTTATATTACAATTTACGAGTGTGAAAAACTAAAGGGCTTATCCCTTTAGTTTTTCACACTCGTAAATTGTCGTAAATTTGGATTCAATGGTGCGATGATTTGGTTTGGTTTACTCTTCTAAATATTAACTAAAATATATGTAACTTAACTAATGTTAGGTTACATAACTCACGTCAAAAGATTTTTTTCTGTTATCTGATATTTATGAGGAAATTCGCAAAAGCGACGCTTAATATCCTATTTTACGGTAATTAAGTTACACAACTATCGCATTGGCTATTAGCTGTTAGGGAACTTGTATAGTTAAAAATAAATAAAAATTAGCTTTGTCCAGCATTAACATGCTCCCATTCCCCGCTTTCTCTCGCAGCTTAATAGTTTTCTTCGCCGGAGAGTCCTATTTGAGTAGGTATTATACTATGATTTAAAAATGTACTTAATGATTAATGAACACCAAATGGTTTTCTGTTAAATTTATATAAATAACTTAATTGTATATTAGTTTGCTAGGCTGAAAATAAATACATTTTATAAACCATTTCACAAATATCCAATTTTTTGTCTTTTTTTATTATAATATTATTTGCATTGTGTAATTTTCAGTTGCGAAATGCCAAATCCAACACCGAACATCATCGGATTGGGAGCTAGAATGATGCAGGAGCCATTTTGGCTCGGCCTCTTCGCCGTATTCTCTGTCTTAGGAATGGTTGGTTTGATTTGGTGTGCGAAACGGCATTTCCCTGAGAAAATTGAAAAATTGCTAGCGGAAGAGGCGGACAGGTGTGCAAGACGTAAGTGAACATTCTAAGTTTTTGTTTCCAAAAGAGGTCAGCACTAATTAGCTTGCTACTTAAGTATTTCAGCAAATTTTAAAAATAGCACGAGTTCGTAGCTTCGTTTTACTCAGTGCGTGTTTTGGAATTTTGAGCTACATGCACACGAATTCACTCTGCAGTTTTTTGATATTTAAATACATAGTAAATTTTATGTAACGATTCATAGCTTATATTTAGAGTTGTTATGATCGAATATATTTGTTTTGAAAGTTTATGGAGGGAAAAACTTATGGGAAATTTGGAACTTTTAATTGCTATAGGTGTAATTTTTATATTGGTGTTAAATGTTGTATTGGAAATATGAAGGTTAAATGTTATTTAACGCTTAACGGAAAAACTAATGCGATCAGCCGCATAGCGAATAGTGAATGTAGTCGAATAAGTATCTTCTTTCATTATCCACAATTGTTTGAATACGAAACATACTTTATACCTACCGAGATTGTCGTAAAAGGGTAAATAGTACAATGATAGTTGGACTACTGGTTGCATTAGTGTTTCTGTGAAACAGCGTCGAGAGGCGAAAGGCAGCGGTACGCCGCGGTGCCCCAGAAGGAGCCCTAGGGGTTAGACTAGGCGGTAGTTGAGAGGTAGGTCCCAGAATAGAAGAGCCTGGCCGTCCATCAAATACCTCACAGACTAATCTTAAATGGGCTAATTTCGCACCACTTGGTCCATTAAAGGAAGTCAGAAATAACTTTCGTAATAAATCCATCGTCTTTGAAATTCACTGTTATATTAAACTTTACTTAAAAGTTAAGGTTTTAAAATTTAAGTTACATTTAAATATATTGGACACAAGGAGGATATCACAGTACAAGAGATAGTTAGTTAAGTATGCAATTGAATTCGGAAATCGGTCAGTACTTGGATGTGTAGGAAAACATAGAGAGTAATTGGGTATCGGATGGACGGCGAGGTGACGGGCGGTTTGTCCACAGCGGCTGGCGTGGCGCGGGGCGGGCGCGGCACCGGCGAGGCCCGCACTCTGCTCACGCGGCTCGGTATCCGCAAGCCCTCCATTTCCGGCCTCGCCCAACCGCGGGCCGCGCGCACCTTTAGTTTGGACGATCTCTTAAAGCCGCCGCCCGGACGTAAGGACTGGAGCGGATCCGCGCACTCCGCACTCATCTCATTGGCTATCATCGTCATTGGACTACTTATCCGATGCTTGCCAATTGAAAAAACAAAATCAAATCACCCCAAAGGCCCCATGCCAATCATATTAACTAAAATTTGATAAATACAGAAAATCTGTGGTCTAATGGCGACTCTAAATTATAAAGACAATAAGAAAAATAAAATAATATTTTGTACGACAATCGTTTAATCATTGAAAATAACAAACACTTGTATAATCCGTTACATCAGATGCACACGTATCAAATGCATTACGTACATTGCAAGTATTCACCAAATCTTGCTTTTCTCCATTCACTTCATTCAAAAATAGTCTTAAGTAATGCGGAGCGCGCGGTGTAAATAGCTTTATTGGATGTTCACTTGCAACCTGAATGACACCTTGGAATGCCAAATTATACTCAGAGAAATTTTTGATGTTTGCACTTTTGACTTACTACACGCATTTCTTGTGTAGACGCTCCTTCCTTCGTTAGCACCTTTTTAGATCGTCCAAAAATTCTTCAGATTTTCCATTGTTAACTAATTCTTTAACCTTCTTTGATCTTTGCTTTTTAATCTGCTTTAACTCTATTCTGAAGCATAGTCCTCTTGGCAATGTTAAATCTGAACTCATTTAGATTTAATTTAGCTTTCATGCATGTGGACACTGTTCTTTGCCAATAAAAAAGTTTACCAATATATTTTGTTTCAATTACTGCAAATATTAGTTTGTTTTAATTTAATAAAAAGATGACATTAAGCATTGTCCCACGGTAGTCGTACGTCATATACGTGCCCCATTTTAGTATTAGTAATTAATGAAATAGCAGTTTTATGTAGTTAAGTAATAATACAAGCGAAAAGAAAATTTATCGCATACTAAATTATTTGAGAAAAAATCACTTTAAAATCCTTTAATTGGCCTCCATGCGCATCATTACGAAATGAGAGTGCGATATGCATGTATTACCTGACAAACAACTTTATTTTGCTTCTGTAGTACAACATTTATTTTGAATTCGAACATTACATTGAACTTTTATATCCAGGATCACCATCACCTCGTAAAAAACGCAACAATTCAACACCAACTAAGAAAAATGCAGCTGAAAAGAAGCAAATTTTACAGCAGCTTATAAGTCCCGCGGCTGCCAACGAACATTCAAAAAAAATTACAATGTGCGAGTTAATCCAGATGTCTGAAAAGAAAACTTTAAGCACAGTAGAGAGTGCTCCTGCTTTTGTACAATACGGCATAGAAAATAAGGATACGTCATTTGCAAGTGAAGGCTCCTCTCCTTCTACATCACCGTCAATGCGCCAAATATCGGATCCAAAATTAGAAAAAAAAGTTACTTTCGCTAGATTACTAAATAAGGTTTCAGCTGAAATGAGTTCCAGTTCTGACGCAGACATGGTGAATACAATAGCTATACCAATGGCCGTTATTTCTAATAGAACTCTAAAAGCTAAGGCATCCAGTACGCCTCCATCTCCGGGAGTTGAAATGAGGTCACCGCATAGCACATCAAGCAATCAAGGAAGTGACTCTATGTCCAGTTTAGATTTAACTGCTCACTCCACGCTGAAGAAGTATTCCAGGTATCTAACATTGACACGTTGCTAGGGAATATAATATTGTGTGTAAAAAAATAGTTTTCTGACAATATTTAACCGCACTTAAAACATATTTGCAGGACGCCGAAAATCTCAAGTGCAGACTCAATATTAGCGATGTTTCGAAACTTTTCATCATCAGCAGCTCTGACATCTCGTGCTTCGTCCGGTGGAATATCCATATCCAGTACACCAACCGCCTCATCTCCACAAGATGATACCATGGATGCTGATGATGTATCGATTAGTTCTTGTCACATACCTTCCTTAGCGCCTGACTCACCTATTGCTAGACCTCATAACACTATTGAAATTCAGGTAGTTTTATCATTTATTTGAACTTGATATTCCTTTTTACTCTTATATTATTGACTTCGTTGTTACTAACTTTATAATTGTTACTTTATAGGTTGTCGATCCTCTAAATGCTCACAAGCCATCATCATCCAGCAATTTGCTACATCCTCCGTCCATCCTCCTTGAGGTTCCGAGTTCTATTAACAAGTGCCTATCTCCAATACGAGAGTTACCTACCCCTCTTCCTACTCCCTTACCCACCCCCCTTCCCACTCCACTGCCATCTCCAAGGATGGCAAGAGCCAAAGTAGAACCAGATCGTAAAAGCGAATCAACGTTAACGTGTATCTCACCTAGCGAAGACGAACTGGAGGAGATTAAAACGGAAAAATTGAGGCCATATCCTGATTTGCGTTTGAAGGTATGTACATATGAATCTTTCTTTCAAAGCCTTATACTTCATTGTATATAATTTTAAAACGATGCTAAAAATCATATTATGTTTCAGCTTCGTCGTCCAGAAATATATTCAGACACGCCAACTTCATCTACATTAATCACAGACTCTCCAAGTCCGAGTGTAACGCACAGTCAAGATTCTGAGCATGAGATGTCTTCTCCGTCTCCCGCCACAACATCTCTTCGAGTTCCGGTTCTTACAATAGAGAGACCTTCCCCGGGTTCACCTCCACCGAGAAGAACCCCACCACATCTAGAGTTTCAACCGCCGCCCTTAATAACGGTTACGTACAACGCAAGCGAAGAATCTGATGAACCACTATCTCCTAGACCTCCACCATCATCGTCAAATATGTGTTATTTGAGTCCTTTCTCGATGGCCGTGCGGGGCGAGCGAGCCCCATCCGAATCAAATCTGTCCTCGTCGGGCTACAGTTCCATGGCCAGCCCCGGTCCGTCCCGATGTGGTTCCAGCAACCCCTTATGTCCTTCGGAAATGGAGGATCCGGGCTCCGGTGGCGGTCCTTCGTGCTTTCAATCTAGACGGCGACCACTAATGAAAACCAACTCTAGTCCGGCGACATCCAATGAAGGCAGTGATGATAGGCGGAGAGGTAGATCCGATTCTGAAACGTTATCTGATGATCCGTTATTGGAATCGAATGATGAAGGTATCGGGACCGATGAGAGAGTAGATGACGTGCCTTCGAGTGCGAAAGAAATGGAGACGCTTGTAGTTTTAAAAGAAACCTTAGATATTGCGTTACCGCCCTTGTGTCCGCTTGGTGTAACAAAGTGTACTATAGTTAAATGTATTAGTGTGGAACGTGGCTTAGACGAGAAGGCGTGTCTTCGACCCCCTACGTTATTTTCTGACTGTAGTCGTCCGTTAAGCCCAGTTAGCTCTAGAAGTGAGAGTCCTCTAAGTGATAAGACAGGTATGGGAAGGTTTTCTCCTCAGTTCGGGCGACCATTACCGTTAACTGATTCCGATGGCTTTTATGACTTTCCCAGTACAGAGAGTGTAAAGGGAAATACTTGTAAAAGTAGTGGCAGTTCACACAGAAAGGCAGGAAGAAGAAAAGATAAGAAAACTTCGAGGACAGTGTCGCATGAAGTGACGGGAACAACGAAATCTACGCTACCTCATATGCCACATTCCATGCATAATTTGTTGGAGGTGAGTTAGTGACTTATCAAAGTTAAAGGTACCAACAAGTTCAAGAAATAAAATAGAACTTATCTTATAAGGTACCCTGTTACAACCGAGGCCGCAAGGTCGGCAGAAGACGCTCCCGTTCACAAGTGCCAGCACTTGCTTCTTCGTCATCATCAGAGGAATCTGTCTCCAACGCCTCAGTGGCATCTATTGCATCGGCGAGGGAGCTGAGGCTTCCAGACTTGGACATGCAGGTCTACATGCAAATATCGCGACCTATTGCTTTACACGTAATGAGTTGCTGAATTGTACTTAGAATTGTGATAGCTAGAAAAGGAGAAGGTTTATAGACTGCTTTAAATTAGCTATAACAGAAATAACTTTCAATTATTAAGTTTTAATTACACCTTTTTATGTTCTGTGATAAAATTCTTATCAGTCTATATCAAGAAAGGTACCTTTTAAATATTCTTATTTATTTCCTATTTTTTTCAGTAACTTAATACTATTGGAAAACATAAATTAATCCAAAAAAACAAAAATCAAAAACCTAAACATATTTATAATTAATGCAATTCTTGTGTTCAGCCAGTGTGCAACTAAAATAGATACTCGTATCCGTCTCACATGCAATGATATTCAAGGTGCGTAAGGCACGCGTAAATGGCGCTACTCGGAGTAAATTTGAACGCGCTCGAGGCACTCCAAGCAAGTGCGACGGCTTACCACGTGATTATTTGGCCCCAGTCTCTCCAATATATAAAATATACTAGCTGACCCGGCAAACGTTTGTTTTGCCATGTATATTATTTCTAGGAAACATTTTTTTAGTTCAATAAAAATAACTATCTACAATAATAAAAATAGGGGTTGATCTTAGACGGGTGAAAATTAGGGGTTGTATGTATTTTGGTATGCTGTATCATAAAAAAAATAAAAACAAACTCACTTACGGTTGAAAGATTGATAGTAGCCGATTCTCAGACTTACTGAATATGAATATAAAATTTCATAAGAATCGGTCGAGCCGTTTCGGAGGAGTATTGGAACGAATATTGTGACACGAGAATTTTATATAATAGATTAAAGATTATTTTCATTTGACATTTTTCTTTATTTGTTCCCATTTTCCTATAATCCATATTTTATCTTATGGTGTTTAAGTTCGCTTTTCATTTAACCCTAACGCGTTTTGAACCTTCTCCTTGAATATAAAATTTTATTATTTAAGTAATGTTAAACATGTACATAACTTTATTTAATATTTAACTATTTCGATATAAAATGCATGAAATAATAACACCCAAATAAACAATTAAGACACGCACATTTATCACAATTTTGTATCATTGTTCACTATTTTATATTACTTTTAAAAAGAAATTGGACATAGCTATCTATTATATTTAATTTTTTACCTGAGATACAATTTAATATTGTTAATTCTGACTTCTAAACGTAAGCCTATGTCCATTTTTAATCGTTATTAATTTAGTTTGCTTGTTTGTTTATTTGTGGCTCCCGCACTAATTGTTTACAGTCAGAGCCGACACGTCTGAAGAAACCGCTCCGACGACAGAAATGCCGAAGTTCAGAGGTGATTTGTTTCTTAGATGATTTTGTTTTTCAATATTTCTAATTTTAACACTCAACCAACAACGTGCTCTATGACCTAATTAGCTTATTGTAATCAATAGTTTCCTGTCTCATACTAATAATAATATTTCTATTAAAAATTATATATAGCAGCAGTTTTGGCTTTGGCTTCAGCGGCCGTAGGTTAGATCCCCGGCTGTGCAACAATAAACTTTCTTTCTATGTGCGCATTTTACATTCGCTCGAACGGTGAAGGAAAAAATCGTGAGGAACCTGGCTTACCTTAGACCCAAAAAGTCGACGGTGGCAAGCACAGGAGACTGATACTTGCCTATTAAAAATGATCGCAGGCGCAGACCTGAAAAAGTTTTCTTTAATAATTATATTAGAATTAAATATTTAAATGGAATTAGAACATAAATAACAAATTAAAATGTAAATCTTATGTCTGTTTATCACAGGACACCACTTCAAAGATATCGTCTAGTTTAGATTTAACTGAGGGATCTCGGAGACCCGTGAAGGTGAACAAGTTGAGGACCATTAGTAATCAGATAAGGTAATTTATTAAATGAAATATTCTCAATATGAATACTAATATTTTTCAGTTCAGTTCAGGACAGTTCTAATCACTGTACAACTGTGCCTGGGACGGCGTATTAGGGCAAGAAGGTGATTCTTCTTCTGTGCTTACCAACCCAAAAATCGAAGAACTCACGACTTCATTATAAAAAAAATATCAAGCAATTTCTTCTGCCTTCGTTCGTATTTATCTTTGAATACAAAGTTTTTAGGAAATGCACTGGTGAACTTAAATAAAAAGCGTTTTTATTTGTGGATTTTATCAATTAAACAAAATATATTTAAACAACAAATTTTACTCTGTTACTAACAAGATCGAGCTTAAAAATTATGACGGCCAAAAATTTCAGATTTCTCCGTCGCCTAGAAAGAAGTTTAAAAATGAAGGAATGCTATCCTGTAATATCTGATGATGAAGGGGACGAGTCCTCGAGTGTCACGTCGCCCTTACTCCAGGGCCGGAAAGACCACAACCGAATGCCGTGTCACGCGATATCAGCTCCTCTGTTAAGTGCCGCAAGACCCAAAATCACGAGACAAAGACGTTACGATAAGTCGTTCGTTCACGATGAAACGAGAACGTTAAGTGCTGCTCCTGATAATTCAGACTAATCATAATATTATTCGTTTTTTATTCAAACATTTACATTAGCATCTGAATCCTTTAGATCCCAATCAGCTGGTTGAAAGCAGATATTTAAGTCCGCGGCTCATAAGACGGCAAGTCTAATAAAAAAAACTGATTGAAATGAGAATTCATAAGATTATTTACTTGAGTACTATAAGTATATGTATTAATTTTAATAAATCCCTAAAATATGTTTTGGAGAGTATGTAGATGCGGTTTCTCTTACTAAAAGCAAATACATTCCCTTACCATGCAATGTCGCCAAGTCACCTCACAGCAAAATAACTCCTCTCCTCGGTCCCCAAATGTCATTGAAATCCATCCATATTTTCTCGTCTGTAATCTGTGTTATGGGTCGTAACTTAAGGAGTTACGGCAAAACATTTAAATCGTACAATTTTTATATCAACTATACTTTGACAAGTCGCATTTGAAATTTTACAATATTCTAAGCTAATGTGATATGTAGTAAGTGACATGGAATTGTAGTGTTGTTAATGTAGACTATAGTGCCATTATCTTTATTTCGGCGTGTTCTTAGTGACTTTATCTAGTGAAATAACATTGTAAATAATTTTCTCATAGCAATAACTTGTTTTATAGATTGTACGAAGTATTGTAAGTTGAATAATAGGACATAGCCCATCTTATGAAACGTAACTGTCATTGCATCAATTTGTTCTTTAATTTTCGCACTCCGCTATTTTATTAATACTATCTATTGTTACAAATGTTTTTGTAAATATTTTTTAAACATATTGCTCAAATGCATATTTTGTGAAGTTGTCTTTTGCGCACTTTTTGCTACTTTGTAAATAATTTACTTTATAATGTACTTACCGGGATATGAGAGAATTTTTCTTTCTTCGTGTATTTATGAGAAGACTTGTAAATTTTTAGAGTAAGTTGAAAAAACGAAAGGCCCAAAAAAATCTGTATACCAAATGCACAATTACTATATTTATCTAGGCACCATTAAGGACCGTAGTTACCTTGCATTAAAAAATAACGATATTTACGCACCAATATTAGATAAATGCATAACTTCATACCCTTATCTTCATACTCAATTAAATTAGCCATTACCTTTTAAATTGTGTTATTCTAATGTAAAGTACACAATTGTATCGAATACGTTAAATACATTGGTTGCCTACTTTTGACTTGTATTGATAATAAAATCCAGCAATACCTACTTAGATGTGATGATCATAATAAGACTGAAGTTCTTGATGTGCGTATTTCATGTGAAGCATTGATGTATCCGAAATTATTGCAACTTTTTAATGTACTTTCCTTTAAATCCAATTTATTCGTATTTATACATGTATTAAATAGCTCCTAGTACCTTATACGCCAGCATATTACTAACAATTATAGTAGTACAAAAGTCTATCATAAATTGTTTGCATTGCTCGATGTATTTATACATTTTTACATTTGCAATGTCCACTAGTTGTTCTTTAAAATGACCAAGTTTACAAAAACCTGTAACTTCTAGGGACGTGGCTGCTTGTAGTTTATTAGTTTTTACTATTTACTTTAGCTTAAACGTGTTAAAATAGAATAACTAAAAAATATAAAAAATAATGGCCTGTTGTTGAGACTGATTTTCTTAAACTTATTCTTAATGTAACTTCTTTTCCGTTAAGCGTGATAGTTCTTCGCATTCTTTAGACGTAAGAGAAGCACATACATTTTGTTAAAACTAACGTGTTCGTTGCCATACAATTATATATAAGAGATACATTTATAATGGGCTGTCGCTGGTACGTGAATTTTTGTGATCTGATATTCAACGCATTTATATTTTCAAATATATAAGTACAATTGTATGAACGATAAAACAATTTTAAAAGGGAAACAAAAGGGGTTTTGAATTTGTTACTAACCAATTTAAAAGATATTGAAACCTGTTCTCGTTGTAGCAGATTTTCAACAAGTCACGTACCCAAGACATAAAATACTATATGTAGATGACTTAGTGATTCATATAAAACGCAATAAAGTGAGTGCACTTAATATAAGCAATATTTTATAATAAGTCACAAAATTATAAAAGTATAAAATGCTGTGATCATAACATTATTGGTGCAGCTCAATTCAAATTAATTTCACGTAATTTTCAATCTCGAATTTATTCGAAGTAAATCTAATTTAGGACCATTGTATAAACACCTACTAATTTACTAAGTGCACCTTCGTAGCTATAAGAATATATATTAAATAGCTGTATCAATTTGGAATTCAATTTCAATATATATACGGTCGCCATCTTGCGAGTAGACTCGTGGCAGAGCGCATCATGATGATAATTAAAAAGGAATACACACAATTCCTAAATAAATTTACAATTTATTTTGTGAGCTTCCTCAAATTATAACTAAAATCGTTTCATACGTTTTCAAATTATCTTCCATATATCAATTGAACGATTCTTATCTACCTGTCAAAACAATAAAACATATGACAGTCACAAGCAGTGTGTTCTTTTCTAACATCAAAACACGCATACATACGCTCATTGTATTGTAGTTATGCAATTAGCAAAAGTCGCCTGTGAACTGTGAATGCTTGAGAAAGGCCCAGATTTGCATGAATTCTTAGAGTAACATATAGATAAGTCAAAAACGTATAGAATTTGACATATTGCTTGCCCGGGGAACAAAGTCGTAAAAGCAAAATTCATTTTTCTCAGGAAAAAAAAATGACGTTAGTGCTATTATTACTAGTATCTATCAAATCAAAGCTAAGCTAGCTTTTTTGAAGTTATACTTCTTTAGGCGCGTTATGAAAAATTTATGAGAGTGAAATTTTACGATGCGCGCGCACCTGTGACACAAAATTGGGAGTGTGATTATAGCGTGCGCGAGCGAGATAGGAATAAGACAATCTACAAGTAAAAAGAAATAGAATATGCGTGAAGTTCGTATGCCAAGAATTTTGAATGACCATAATGACATTTGTCATTTACCTTTTAAACAAATAAAGGAGTTTTGATTAATTTTTCAAAGAAATTTATTAATTTTATATTGTGCAATACTGCCAAAGCTACAACATACTTCTTAGTGTTTGGTAGAGATGTTCTAAATATATAATTATATATACTTTTAACTAAATAGAATTTATGTTACACTTAATGTAAGAGAATAATAATAAATAATTATTTATTTAATTTTTCAAATGTAAACTGAACTTAATTGACTATAATGACTCCTTTTCCAGTCTATGATTATTTAATTGTAATTAATTATTTGCATGCAATCAAAAACTATTTTTAATAATGCCAAAGAAGTATAACTTCTTACGCGCGTACATAAGTACACGCACCCTTTTTTTTTTCTTATTCGACGATTTTAACATCGTTGTTAAGAATTTAGTAATTTATCTTGGTAAGTAGAATGAAGAGCAAAAGCATTTACGATTGTTTCACTGTTTAAACATAATTACGCACACATTTTGACGTATATCTAGAACGTAATAATTGATTACCGCTCTTTTGGAGGAAATATTATAACCTTGGTGAAACAGACATATATTATTACCACTCTATTTGTTTCTTAACTGTCGCATTAACTTTATAGAATTACAATGTTTAGATCTATTTCAGAAAAGTAAAATTAGGTAAACGAGTATTATAACATTGTGCACAAAATAATTTCCGTAGAATAGACGTCAATTACGTGAGTGACGTACATTCCGTAGAAAATCCGCGTGTTTTTTTATAATAAAAAATCTGTAAAAATAACAGTTGTAGTACATGACCCAAGAAAGTGAAAAATTAGAAAACATTCAAACAGTCGTTAATAGTGCTTTACGACTTTGTTACTCGGGGCAAGCGATATGAGCGTTCATACTTATCTCAGCGCCGAGTCTCGACTCGTGACTTACCCGAGAACGATGTATCCCACACCTCACGCTACTCGCCTCAATATTTAATCCTCGCTAGTAAAACCTCTAGTGATTAAAATTTAAAACGTTATTGCTATATGGAAAATTTTACGAAGATCTATGAGAAGGACATTTTGTTCCTACCAAGAGTCATATACATCTATTTATTACAGTTATGTCACAGTATGCAACATTTCGCATTTCACTGATAGATTATTCACTAAAGTCCTGCGTTATATTTTCTATTCAAAACGCCATCACTTATTGTATTTGTTATTTAGAGCAAAATATTGTAAATAAACAAATTTTACACTACACATGTAACGTATATGTATAAGTCATTATTCACGAACAAAATAAGAAATAAAATTTTGCTTGTTTGATGTATTTTATTTTAATCTCGATTCAAATACTATTTAGAGAAAAAAATGCAGTTATTATTCATTTGTTTTTTTAAGCTACCTTTGATACTATGTTGTTTTTCTAATATATTTTCAAATGCAACAATCAGCCTGTGTCTACGATCCAGAAACTATAATGGTTTAGCCAGGAATCAAACACAAACCGTCAGTCAAAACGAAGTGCCTTGAAGGATTATGGCCGTCGGAAGGATTTCTTTGGGTAATAAAAATCGCTTAAAATCAAAATCACAGTGTTTATTAAAATAACATCATAACTGATTTACGTAGAATTGTACATTACCAAATTGCACTTGCAAATTTACAAAAGACTTAAATGTAATCACAAAATATTTTCATAAAATAGCATTACATTAATATCACAAAACAATCATTTGAGGTTTATCTGCATTCAATACAAAAGTACAAAATTATACAAATAAACCGGTTCAAAGCCAAAAACTATACAAAATAAAATCACACCTTTTGTTCGAGTTAAAACTAATATATTAATACTATGTCGCCGTATTATGCATTGATATATTATGAATATAAAGGAAAGTCATTTAAAAATGTTTATACATATAACTGCTGTTGCAACGGTGCTGTGGAAATTTGAACTCTATCAAATGGACTTAAGAGCTAATTTAAAGGAGAATTATACTACGCGTAATAAGCGAATTGAGATCATACTACACAAAGGTCTAATATTGTAATTCAGGATTTTCCATTAAAAAATACTTTACGTTATTCTTGTTAGTACTTAGTACGTAGCTACAAGAGACAGAATAAAAATCTGGCCAATCATAATCGCACTGGTAAGTCTTCCTTATAGAAGCACAGTTTAAGGATAATATTCAGAGTACATACTTAGAGCTAAGTCCCGAAAATCGTACCCTTACACCTGTGCCTGTGCTATATATTAACTTTTTAGCAAGAGTTAAAACCCTCACAAAAAATTGTGTGACTACAAACTTTTAACTCGCAGACACTAGCGTAAACAAAATTTGAGACAAAGATATGATTATGCTTTAAAACAGTGTAATAAAACTGTATTTTTTAAAACGGAGGGTAGACTACAACTATGAGATATTAAAAATTTTAACATTTAAAAGAGTAGAAATTTGTTCAACTTTTACTAAATAAAAATAAAAATAATTTTAATTATTGTGACGCTAAATATTTAATGTACTACTGGGACATCATAGAAATGCAAAACTATACAATCTTTACGCCAAATCTATTAAAAAAAATTAACCAAAAAAACTCCATCAAACATTTCCACTTATCAAAACATACCATCATGTATTCCAATCGGAACTAAAATCGCTAAAAATATTGCAAAATTCCTCAAAACCAGCCTCCAATCATCCGGCACAGCGTACGGCAGTATAATACCCGTCAACTTGTGTATTTCGTGAGCCGTAAATATAAATATGTACGAGGTTAGGATTAAATTAAGTATCGGCGCACCAGGTATCAACACTAACACTCCGTGCGTGTCAGCCGCGAGCCAAATATGACTCTGGCTCGCGAACAACTCCAGTGTTATACATCCGAACCACGCGAACAGACTAGAGTGACGCGTTCGAAGCGCGCCAGAGACGTTCCTAAGCAAAATATAACTAACTATTGGCAGAAAAGTTACGTAACTATGGATTTCGTTACAATCGAATGTGTTTGTGCAGAAAAATGTAAATGTTATATAACTACCGAGGCCTATGAACGCTAGAAGTGTCGCTGAAAGAGATATGCCGGGCGTAAACAAGTTGCTATGATTGTTGTCGTCTAGGAGATTGTATCTTTGTGCGAGGAGGTACGCTATTGCAAATATTATACCGTAGGCCAAGGAGTACCTACAACAAAGGAAATTTCGTAAAAAAAACATGTGTGTGTACTTATGTACACGCGTTAGAAGTTTTACTTCTTTGGCGTAACAAGAAAAAAAATTTTTTTTTTTTTTTTAAATTCTATATTTGAAGAAAAAACGACACAAACAATAGAAAAAAGGTATTTAACACATTGAATGTTTTATTATAACGCATTACCTAGTTAAATAAAGTTTATTTAAATATCAAGCAAAAAATATTTGTACATAATTAAAGAAATGTTCTTTTTCTTTTTTTTTTCTTTTTTTTTTTAATTTTGACTACTATATGAGTGCCTGACTAAAAGAATCTATTTGAAATTAAAAAAAAAGTTTTAAATATAAATTTTTATAATATATCAATTTTTTTTTAAATCTTAACATTTTGTTTTGCATTATGTCATAGTATAGATATTCTTTTATTAATGTTATTTGTACAAAGTAACGTGGTGAAGCTTGTACCAGATGTCTCGCTTCGGCGTCACAATTTTTTGTTTAAAATTAAAATACAAACTTTATACTTTGAGTAAATAATATTTTTTAAACAATATTAAGCAAACGCGCTGCATCTGTACATGTTGTGTGCATGTTGCATTGACGGCCTATCAAGAATTGTTACAGTTATTAAATTACAACATTTTACTAAATAATTCGTTTTTACACATCTTTATATTTTATTCGCAATATTTTTAAGGTTGTATCGACAAAACTCACCTATCCTGCTTCCAGTCCAGCCACCATTGATGAATATCATCATCAGAGTTGACGAAAAGCGCTTTCCACGGTCTCATTACAAAGATCTTCTGGAAGAAGACCTCACTGAGGAATAGAACTGTAACCACCGAGAGCAGACCCACCACCTTCATCCCGATGATGATGTACTGGTACGGCTTGGACTCCGCCGTGTGGGTCGATAATGGCGCAATATGAGGTGGCAGGGCTAATATTGCATACATCTGAAATTTATGTTTTTCATTTAAAACCCATAGTGCAAAATACATTAAAATTATTCATTAAATCGAAATAAATCACTATTTATTCCAAAACTTTTTACACAATGTCTATATAATTTTTTTCAAAGTTGGATAAGCGATATTGGTCTCTTACCAATGTATACCAGAAAGAAACCAGTGGAATGAAGCTGTAGAACTGGTAGGGTCGGTTCATTGTCAAACAAAGCACTATTGTGAAGAAATTCAGACGAAATATCACGCGAAAGTACCTGCAATTCAAGTAATACATAGTTAAGTGTATTTTCGACACGATACTATTTAGAAAACGTGTTCTTTAATTCTTTTTTTTTAATTTATTATAAGTTTCTCAGACTTTTAATTTTCTGTTTTGTATACAAAATTTAAGTAAAGCATTTATAGAAAGTATATGCTTGAAAGAGTTCAAAGAACAACCCCGAATATGGTCAAAGCACTTAGGAAAAAAAACCTTAAAATAAGAATCTTAAAGCACTTGATATTACTGATTTAGGAAGTAGGCGATTAAGAGGAAATCTCATTGAAACATAAGGTATGTTTCACTGGCCACAATAATGTTCCAGAAATTGAGAAGCACTTTATTTTAAATGAGAACAACATTTGAGGGGTAGTTCTTTAAAACTAAAGACCACTCAACATAATACAAATTCCCAAAATTGGTAGACTTGAATAAGCTTCCGGAAAGTGTAATTAGTAAACCCTCTTTTGAACTCTTTTAAACATAGGTTGGACAATTTCCCCTGTCTTCCTTTTTTCTTTTTGTATTGTAATTTTTTTATAGAACAGGGGGCAAACGGGCAGGAGGCTCATCTGATGTTAAGTGATACCGCCGCCCGTGGATACTCTCAAAGCCAGGCCTTTAATAATTGGTACGCTCTTTTCTTGAAGTAACCTAAGTCGAATTGGTTCGGAAATACTTCAGTGGGCAGCTGGTTCCACATTGCGGTGGTTCGCGGTAAAAATGCCTTGAAAAACGCTCAGTTGTGGAACGACGGACGTCGAGGTGATACGGGTTGAATTTCGTATTCTGCCTCGACGTCCGATGATGAAACTCAGCTGCAGGTGTTAATCCGAACCACTCCTCTGGAACACTCTCCATTGTAAATACGGTAGAAGATGCAGGGTGTGATGCAGTTTATCTACATATTAATAATAATAAATACATATAATGCTATAATCATTTTAAACTTTTCATAGCCAAAACTCACCTAACCAATCCCGTGTCCCCAGTCTTCCACGTGTAATAAAAATGCCCGTAACCCGTCAAGAAGAGATAAGAGGAGACCAGAGCCCTCACCATCATGTAAATGGGTAGGACTTTACTCGCCCCAGTGACCTGATAGACCAGGATCACCAGCTGCATCCATCCCTTCCACTCGTCTGTCTGCTCCCGGTGCAACACTCGGGAATGGCTGAAGCGTTTGTGTCTGTTTAAAATGTGGGACTGCCCTTAAATACTATGTATGTCTCAAGACCCCACAATGGTATATGTCCCATGGGGCTTAATTGAGCGTTATGGCCAGCAACGTCTATAACAAACCAGTTTCCTCACAATGTTCTTTGACATGCGGTAAAAATAGCGGCACTTAGCTACAACTGCTTGGTGTATGCTTTTTGCCCGGATTTTTGCAGAGATAAGTAACCCAACCGTCAGAACAATTTTGATTTATGTACATTGTAAAATTAAATTTAACACAAATCAATAAGAACGATTATAAAATACACGAGCATTCATGACAGATGCAGAAATATCCCTCAAGTGAAGCACTATTAATTAAGTGAAAATTGTTGGTGCAAACGAATAAAAATGCTCAATAATTTTACTCTAGCTAATGAGCTGAAATATCTGTATTATTTTTTATTTTTTTAAAGGGGGCAAAGAATCCTTCGCGACCCATTCTAGTGGGTGCGTTGCCGGCCGTTGTGTGTAGTCTTAAAGATTTTATATTAAATAAGTTTCTTCCAACATTCCCCAAACCACATCCCGTACCTGGTAGATTTAGATTCATCCGTGAAGAACAATCCCAAAGCGAACACATATCCCACGGGTAACCAAAAACTCCACTCCGAGTAATACTTATTCTCCTTCATGAAGAAATTCGTTCTATCGCACAAATAGAAATATGCCATTATCATTCCGAGCTTCGCCAGAGCCACCATTGGAGACGGTTTGGTAATTGCCGGCTGATTCACAAGCGAGTATCCTTCGATTTTCTGTTTTATTGTCTGTGACCATTTCCATATTGATCGCATCAGCACTAACACTGCGCTAGAAAGATATGGTATGTTAAGTTGCTATTTTTTTTAATGTAAAAATATCAATCACAGAAATGAACACTGTGTTACAGTAATGAAATGAAGATAACATAATTTGTAACTAATGTCACAATCTAATATATAAAATTCTCGTGTCACAATGTTCGTTCCCATACTCCTCCGAAACGGCTCGACTGATCCTTATGAAATTTTTTATGCATATTCAGTAAGTCTGATTTTTCAACCTCCTTAATGTTAAGGGTGGCCCTACCCCTAAATTTTTATTTATTAAACAAAACTTTTTGTTTTTATTTTTTTATGGTATAAAATACATACCTTAATTGTCACCCCTCTACAATCAACCCCTTTTTTATTATAGTAGATAGTTATTTTTATTGAACTAAAAAAATGTTTCCTAGAAATAATATACATGGCAAAACCACGTTTGCCGGGTCAGCTAGTTCGTGTATAATAATTTGAAAAAAAAAAATTAATTGCACCGTACTCTTTTCATTACAGCAAAAACACAATTTGTCCGAAAGAGACGAAAGAGTACTTTAGTTGAAATGCACTGATTCCGTATTTATAACTACAGGAATCCTATAATTACTTATAATTGCATTTTAAAATGTGGACTTAACACAGATCAATAATATTATACGTTAATGAATGCTCATTAATATTCGAATAATTCTTACTAGTAGAATTCAAAGTACGGTCCAAAAAATTGACAAGAGAGAATATTTTTACTACATTAATCTCGATATGAAATTTCTAATTTAAATTAACTTATTTGCGGTTTCTTCTTTTATATGTAAAAATTATTGCTGACTTTAAATTTGAATAAACAGTCAAACAACGTTAACAAGGTTATAATTAATATACTTATTTATTATTAATTATTTAAATATTAATTTATAGGTTCCTGGATCAAATAGAATAATGCAATTAATAGGAAGTTAATTTAAAAAAATTGTCAGTTCCATCATTAATTGATCCAAAATTAAGATTATGCCTCAAATAAAACCTAAAACCTTTAAAAATAGAAAAAAATTACTTTACACTTGTAATTTTCCATAAAAATTTGGCTGGAACTCACCATAGCAAGAAAAGAGCGAAGGTCATCAGCTGCAACTGAGTACAGGGCTCCGGCTGAGCACAGCAAGTGCCATCGTTGAAGTTCATGTGGTCATTGCAGAACATGTTGAGTAGTATTTGAGTGGAGTGCCGTAGGGCTGTGGCACTTAGGGACATGCCGTCTGGGGACGTCGCCCCTGATGCTGCCAGACGTGGGGAGTTCCACATTTTAGTGGCACTGTGTTGGAGTATCTAAAATTAATATGATTATTAAATTTTGTTGTATTATTTATAATGGAATCATTCAAAAGTAGAAACTTCAAAATTAACACCATGGCTTTACTGAGCTAAAGCCGCTTGAAAATTAGTTTAAAAATATTTTCACAACACAGGTACTGTACTTAAAAACTATACAATATTGTTTTTGTAAAAAAAAATCAGTGGCGCTACAAGTCAGATTTCTGAATCTGTTTCATGATAATTTTTCAGTCTAATAGGCAAGTAGGTGATCAGCCTCCTGTGCCTGACACACGCAGTCGACTGTTGGGATCTAAGGCAAGCCGGTTTCCTCGCGATGTTTTCCTTCACCGATCGAGCGAATGTTAAATGCGCATAAAGAAAGAAAGTCCATTGGTACACAGTCGGGGATCGAACCTACGAACTTAGGGATGAGAGTCACACGTAGAAGCCACTAGGCCAACACTGCTCAATGTTTTCTAATACTTTATAGAGATATTTAGATAATTTTTAATTCAAACCCAGACTACTAAATACCTCAACAGCTGCCCGATTATATGCATCAATATCATTGTTATTAATCTTGACATCATTATTTAGCTTTGCAATGTCAACACTTTCCAACAACTTCCAAAGAACCTGTGTTCCCCGCAGTGCTAATGCATCAATCGGTTGAACTAAACGTGTCAAGTTTCTCTTGTATTCTTCTAGATTCGCCTCAGTTATGTTTCGATTGAGGATGAGTTTAAGACCACTACTTGCGACAATTACTGATGGTGGTCTGTCAGAAATTTGCCTGAAAAAATTAATTTTATCATGCGAAGAGCTTGCTCTTATGCCGTAAGACATACTTTTGGTTTATTGAATTTAGTTTTTTTAATTTGGGTTTAATGATAAGAATAACAATACAGTTTAAATTATATAATCAGTCACCACATAAACTACTAGACAAGTTATTTTCTGTTATAAAATAAAGAATAAACCATTTAAAAAAAACGTACCACATCCTAAACTTTTCCACCATAGTTTTAGATATGTCGTCACTCCATATAAAAGTAACAGATAATCTCAATTTGTTATCAACATATGTATAATTGGGTGTGTGATGGTCTATTGTTGAGTATGATGTATCTATATCTAGACGAGTTTTTAGGCCACCTGGAAAATTTTAATTAATTAACTGGATCCTAGCTCATAGCGACAAAGTAGTTTTTAACACTATACAACTTTTTGGTGTCTCTAGTGTGATTATTCTCAAGACTTAGCTTTTGTTTAGCATCTACCACAATTCTAAGATTTCTGGTTTATATCTATGTATAAAGTTCTTCTTTAAACTTGGCTTAAAAAATATATGCTTTTTCCTTAGATAATTGTATACTATTTTCTGCATAATATATTTAAATTAATTTTAGAGTGTCATAAAGAACATTCATTCCTAAGTATGACCTTTAAACATAATGACTTGTTGAACGCATAATTAGCAGATTAGACATTGATATACAAAAAACCCAAGATGCACAGTCTCGAATAAAAGTAACACTCGAAAGTGTCCCGAAACACTATTTCTGTCCATAACAGTATATGTTACAAGCATATATTATTGCAAAATCAACCTTACGCAAATTGCTTAAAGTTGTTATTACAACGCAGTGTATACGTACTTAAAGCAATAAAATTTTACGACCGACCGTGGTCGGTAGGACAAGGTATTGAGTGGAGTCGAACATGACTTTTTTATTTACAACTATTTAACATAATTTTAAATTTATCCGACTTTTCGGGTGCTTTACAGCGTGAGTGGTCACGGTGACTGAAGACAAAAGGTGTAGGATGTTAAATAGTTGTAAATTTATAATAATACATAACATTAATCCGGTTAAAAAGTTTTTTCTTTAAATTAAAAAAAAATGTTAAATTGGCTACCTCCTGACCCACACTTTATATAGCGTAAATATATTTGTCAAAAACTACACACAAAAAAGTTCAAGAGTACATAAATTTATTTATAAAAAAAACACAAATAAATAACATCGACTCCACTTATAGACGCGAGACTATTTGAAATGAGCGCACAATTTAGAATGTTGCGCTCATTTTTTGAGGACGTTTTTTAGACGTTGATTGTGCATCTTGGGTTTTTGTATATCAATGAGATTAGACTATTGTAACACTTACTGATAAAATGCTCGTACAATTGTTCAAGCCTTGAGTCACCGATAAATGCAAAGCTATTGTATTTGCCCCAGAATGCTAAGTATCGTAAACATCTTCTTGCATCTCTGAAATGTTTTTTTTTTTAACTTAATCGTTAGTAAAAAATAGTTTTAGCATAAAATATTTATTATATGTTTAACAGTAACAGTTTGTGTTTATTTATTTTCATGAGAATTTTGTTAAACTTAGAAAATTAAAGGAAATATAAAAAGGAGAATAGGGTAAATATTACTACATAGTTTAGATAATTGTATTATTGATTACTGTGTCACTTAGAAGATATTTTAATTGACTTAGCTATATTATGACTATTGTACCAATAATCATGTTGCACCTAGTAATAGTCCAAAAACCTATAGACAATTCACAATAAGTAATAATTTCAAATCTTTCCACCAAGGGCTAAAAGAAAAATAGTAGTTATTGTTATTGAAGACATTCCAGTATGAAATGCAGAGGAAGTAAGTAAGAAGCTTAAATTTGACAACAGAAAATACTCACGTCTTGGAATATTTATGTAACATACAGCCATATGGTTGCCATTCATGATCACCCTTATATCTGCCAGATGACAGTAGCCAAGTGCATGAATCCGGGCCTGAAGTATTAAAACTTACACCTTTTATATCTTTAAAAAACTAATTTTATATCATATTTAATGTATATTTAATCCAATTTAAGGATTTATGAGAAATGTGCAGGTTTTTCAGAAGATTTGAGTAAAAATTTAAAACACTTACCGTATCTCAAGTGTAATATTCCATGATATCCTATAAAGCCTAAAACAAGAAAAAATGCTAACAATTTAGCATTATCTACGTTAAGTTTTCCAATAAACCACTCTGCCGAGTTTTTCTTTGGATGGGACCCCATTAATGCAAAGATTTTCCTTATTGATATGATAATTATTATCTATTGAAGAACCGTTGCGGTATAATATTTGTTCATGATAAACCACTATTTACTTTACGTTTTCTAAAGTAAACATATATCTCGCTGAAAAAAATAAAAACAACATCCCTGTCTTTACAAGACGTCTTTACGATACATTTACACTTTAGAAGTTAGAATGCCATAGCCGACAAATGATAGCTGACAGCGCAGTTGACATTGTATTAGACCTCTTACCACAGACTACAGATGGTGTCGAAGTGTAATGTGTTATTTAAGTAGCCTTTATCCTTCAACGTAGCGTTTATATGTTTTATAAACTGTTCGTTTGTCTACGGCATTTAATCTTTCAATTTCTTAATTTTTCGCACATGGGGAATCTTTCCATATAAAAAATATTTTGTAACTTTATAAATAATAAATGAGTCTGTAAACTGGCAAGATGCAACTGGCAACATTTATAAATTGTATTGGCAAATGGCGGCTATGTCCCCGTCTGAGGTTTGTAAAATTAATAAAAATAACGTGACACTTGTAACTTTTACCACTTATTTAATGAAATACGATCAAGCAATACGTTATCAAATAAATTGCTTTACTTTGTATTAAATTTATAACTTGTGTAATTATGTTAAATTTAAAGTTGCTTTGACAGTTCTTGTTACCACTTTCGTATTGTTGTTTTTTGTGGACGGTGTTCATCTTCGAAGTTAGATAATAATATTTATTGATCCATGTAACCTGTGTATAGAATTGCATTATAATGTTACAGAGAAGATTACAAAAGGAACTTATGTCCCTGATGAAAGAACCTCCACCAGGAGTAACGGTAGACGGTGATCAGGCCAGCCAAAATCTTACGCTGTAAGTGACCTATTTTATTATTATCAATTAAATTTTATTTATTATTTAAGTCCCACTTAGTAGCTTACAACAGTAAACAATGTAGAGTACTCTATACAATAATATCATGATTTCTGTTTAAAGGAAGAAAAGGTTGGATTGCCTTTTCTTGAACTTACATTTACCTATTTTTACTTACCTACTTAAATAATGTAAAATAACGTAAACTGATTTTTTGTTACATATCTAGGTAGATGTGAAAATTTTATCACTTTTGCAGCCACATTAACCACACCAGATACATAACATATGGTTGATCATGAATTGTCTTTAACAAATAAATGATTTATTAATGTAATAAATAAATCTTTACTTGTGCTATATAAATATTTAAATAGGAATATGTTAATAGGTGGACAATTCACATGGAAGGTGTTCCTGGTACATTATATGAAGGTGAAAAATTTGAATTGCAGTTCAAATTTACAAATAAATATCCTTTTGATTCCCCTGAGGTGAGTTTCTTATATCTAAGAGTAATTAGCACTGAGCACAAATTAAAAACCAAACCATACATACATCATTATACCTTACAAATTACTTTTTGTTGTACTGTGTTATTGTTCATTTAAAATTTCTTAGGTAGAATTTAGAAAATCATATAAGTTTAGTTTAATAATTATCTAGAGCAAATGAAAGCATAAAAACATTCAAATATAAAAAAAGAGAAAAAAATCCTTGTAGAATTTACCTAATAACAATTTTTTGTCAGAAATTACTACAATAAAAGTAAAATTTTACTATTTGTTTTTGTTTTAGTTTTTGTAGTAAACTTATCTGAAATAAGGAAGGAAAATTTCAATAAATTTAATTACTATTGTTGACATTAACAGTATTTATGACAATCTTGTGAAAATTACTTAATTAGTGAAGAAAATGTAAATTTTCTGGGAACATTAAAACCAGATTTGATAACATTGGTTATGCTAATTAAAAATATATCTTATCTGAGGGTAAGATAGAGAGGAATATATTATATATATCTGTTTTCCCATTGCCCAACCAGCAACTTTAACTAGTATATTTTGTTAGGTTCTTTAAAGCAGATAATTAATAAACTATCGTCTTGTCCTTGTCCATTATCTATTCGATCAGGCTTCCTCTAAACAAACGATTGCGTTTGTAACTGATTGTTGCAATGGAATAACAATGGATAGATAACGTCTTAGGGTAATTTTGCAACTATCATTGCTACAGCAACGCCTTTGTAATTTATATTTTTATGTGAAATAATCAATCTTCATGTACCGCCGTTTCTACGATTCGATATGATGACGTATCGTAGATGAGGAATGAAGAAAGGATTTTTTTTAAATCGTTTTGGTTTTAATACGATTCATATATGTAGCTATCAAAACTGAAAATATTTCAAGTATGTATTATTCTTATGCAAACAAAAACATTTTATATTCAAATAAAGTTTATAAATTAAATGTTATTATAATTAGGAACCAATATTTACGTACGAATGATAGAATTAATATGAAGTAGATTTACAAAATAGTTGAACAAAAGAAGACTTTTTCATTTTGATTTCGTATTTGAACGGATGTCGACTCGAGTTCACTTCAGCCGCGATGCTAGGTGAGGTGTGTTTTCGAGTGTATTTACAATCGAGATTTACAGAATACGCAAGACCGAACGAATACTTAATGGAACTGGCAAGGCCCTTTTTACCAACAACGAGATTCCGTTAAAAATTGCTCATATTAATAACAAAACCAAATCCAATTTTGGCAACAGCTGAAGGACTTCTAATCTAATCAACTTAATTAAGTTTTGCGTCATCCCGTCCGGATTTGGTGAAAATCAGGTATCATTATAATTCGTTAGAACTCAAAGCAATAACAAAACAACTCTAGCTCTGCAACCCAATGGGATATAAGACACTGTAATCAGCCTTCTGGGGCTTCCAATTCGAAACAAGACTTCCGTTTTTTGTCGTATTCTAACACAAACTACAAATATCATGATATTCTATGAATAAATTTACACACTTCAGAGCGATTTTTTCCTCTAATTAACGCTGATTACTCGTGAGGATCTAATTCTGACTGTAATTTGCGCGTTAGAGCACGAAACAAATTAACAAATACAACACTATACTGCTATTATTATACTAATATTCTTCATAAATTTAATTGCACCCTTTTAACTAAAATACTCATGTCTCTCTGCGAATAAAAGTCACATATGACTGGTTGAGTTTTTTAAAAATAACGTTTCAAATTCTCAGTGAATACCAATAAATACATAATGCCGACAAAATATGTCGGTATTTTTCAAATTTATCCTTAAATATGACTAGGATGTAAGTGTAGGTCTTGAACTATATGTGTCCATTTTCAACAGAACAGAGGTCACATCCTGTCATACTTAGTCTATTTTAATAATGAATTTATTGTTTTATTTCAACCTTATTAAAATTACCACGAACCGTGAAGGTAATCGTCCTGAGGTAACCCGCATGTCATTAGACACAAATTTACGTATGTAAGGCGGAAGGCTACCTATTTGCCTACGAAACACAGAAATGTATACGAATGGTTACGGAAATAACAACCTTATTAAAAGATATACTATGTTTCCGATGTACAAAAGTCAAATGTATACGCAACGTGATTATACGTATACAAAAACATTAACCTTATCTAGAATCAATATATTACACATACACCATTTAGATCGCAAAATATTTTATTTACAAGGCCATAACGATTACACGCAATTTCTTCTATGAGTGCAATATTATGAACGTTAATCTACGAATCTCTTAATCTGTGATAATTTATTTAAAAGTTTGAAAAGAGAATAGTTCTTTTTGAAGTTATTTTAGCCTGGTAACGAGACGTACAAAGAGAATAGTACTGGCCATCTAGAGACAATTAAAAAAAAAGGTTTGGTTGATAATAATTTCACAGATAACAAACGCAAACATGCGATTCGATTGTATGTAGGGTTCTATAGTTGTACTAAGAAGTTCAATCATGTAAATAGGTACAATTTTAAGATTAAATTAGGAATAAATTAAGGTAAAAAAAAGTATATTGGAATATATCGGCTATCAGCTAGTAGATCGATATCAAAACAATATTGCCTCTACAAATGAACTGACCACGTAATACAGCGCTTAGGAAACCTAATGTCATTATGTGGAGATTACATATTTATTAATGCAAACATTACATCACTTATCGATGCGTGCATACTAAATCATTGTATAATCTATAATTATATCATTTGATTGTTTGTGTAAAGAATTTAAGTCAAAAATATCATGTATTCTGTGAGTTAGCAAGGATGTTTTATATTTATCGTTCCACACTTCGTATTGGAAACCATGAGAGTTCATTGTATATTATTGAATCTGCTAGTAAAGCAATGCATATGCTATTTTGTATAAACCATACAAATGTACACATACAATCCGAGGCTATCACTGCGATGACGTCATACCCCTGAAACGCGCTAACGAAGTATTTTGAACTAAGCATATATACCTACGACATCTCGATCTTAATCACTGGGGCCTTCGGGCCAGTCAGTGTTTAGACTTAGGAAAGTACTAGGGCAGCACTGAAAATTTCGGGAATCAAGGAAGTGACACAACATTACTATTTAAATATGTATTTATTGCTTTTCGAAGTATTCTCCGCGAAATTTGACACATTTTTCCATACGATGGAACCAATCATTGAAGCAGGAAGCTACCATTCCATTCGGAAGTTGGGGTCTCCAAAATGTCGTTCGAGAGTTCTGACGCACCAAGTAACGCGAGCCGCTTTTTGCTCTTCACAGAGCGAATGCGGTATCCATCGAGAAAACAACTTTTTTACACCTAATTGTTAATGCAAGATTATTTGTATTTGACTCATGCCAATGTCTAAAGTTGCCTGAATTTCGCGGTATGTCACATGTCGATCTTCCTCAATCAGCTTACGCACAGCATCAACGTTTTCTTTGGTGACTGCAGTTTTTGGGCGACCTTGACGGGGATCATCACTGAGCTTGACACGTCCACGTTGAAATTCAGCAAACCAGCGATAAATTGTGGTTTTGGATGGGGATTCATCACCAAATGCAGAAATCATCCGGTCAACACACTGTTTTTGTGATAAACCACTTCGAAAGTCATAATAAATCATCGCTCTTGAATTTTCTCGAGTCAATTCCATTTTCTCAACGACTAAACAAGTTTGACAAAACTTTGTGACAAGACCGAGTTTCTTTTTTCAAATAAATAAATGGTATTCGATTTTTAAAACCAAGGAGTTTTCAATTAAAAAGATTTAAATATGACAGGAACAGTGGTATTATTCCATTCCCGATACTTTTAGTGCAGCCCTCGTATTTAAGATTAAGGATCTAATTGACTTCTTTTCTTTCAGGTAACGTTTATAGGAAATAACATCCCGGTTCACCCTCACGTATATTCCAACGGACACATCTGCCTATCTATACTCACGGACGATTGGTCGCCCGCACTTTCCGTTCAATCCGTCTGTTTGTCCATCGTCTCTATGCTTAGTAGCTGTAAAGAAAAGGTAAGCTATTTATGTATGTCATAATTATATCAGAATAAAGCTTCTTTATAACTCGACGTTTTACTGTTATAAGAATCGCGATCCAGCACGGTTCAAGATTTTCATTCTTTAGTCATGGGTTTTAAGACATTTTCTTTAGCGAACTGTGGAATCGGCTGCCTGTGTTTTAACGAACGAACGCGGAGGCCGATTGTACCTCTTTGTCGCTCGTTCCGCGCTCTCGCTTGCACTTCAAGTCTTAAATGGAACGCCTCAGAGCGAGGTAACAAGTAAAAAGGTTTTCGTGCGTGCAGCTGGCTCCAACGAATTATAAGACGTTGTCACGTCAAAAAAGCTATCCGAACCCCCTCATTAGCCCCCTATTTACTAACAATAATACATACGTCCAAAAGGGATCCTTAAATGTCAAAATCGGTCAATAAATTACGTAGTTTAATTGTTAATTAGTTGCAGAGAGAATTGTTATATATCTAAGAAATAAATGACGAATTATTTAAATACTCGATAAAATAACTATATCTACAATTCTATTTAGGGGGCGTCCATAAATTACGTGAGGTGTTTTTTATAATTTTCTGACCCTCCCTCCCCCTGGTGAGATGTCGTGAGATTTTGTTCAACCCCCCTCCCCATCCCCCAATCTCACGTGAGTTTTTCAAAATGTGGGTTTCTTACGTAAACGCGTTGGATTGTTATTGTAAAAAGAAAAAAAAGTTTGCTTCGTGCTTTTATTTAAGACTAGTAATCAATATTGCTGAGAGTTTAATTATAAGTGTAATAAAAATTTAACAATAGAATACTTAAATCGTAACTACTGTGATTAAAAAAGAATATCTACTCTAATTCAGTCCATGGATAATCATGCGCGGTCTCAAGAGAGACTATTGGAACCAACATGTCCATATGATTTTCAGTAAAATCATCTGCTCCTTCAACTTCGTTCTGATCTAGCCACTCTAAACCATTGGCACTTGCACACAGTAACTCATTAGCTCGTCTTGTGACAATCCGTGAGGGTCGGACCTTGCGGAACATACGCGCTTGCTTAGCTGGTGCAATGTGGGCTGATCGCCTGTGCTCTGTAGCTCTTTTGCTAGATGCAAAGTAAATACCGCATGTACTGCAGCATCTTTTCTCTAAATCATCACGAACACTTGGGCAATAGAGATCATAAGGCGTGCTGATGAAGGCATTCAGCGGTTGAATCGGTAGGCAGTGGCGTATTAAAAATGGAACAAATGACTTTCCGTCATGCTCTTTAAAGTCCGGAATTGTCAAATGTCCATCAACTTGAGTGATAGGGTATGGAGGCGGCAGAAAACGGTCGTGAAGAATCATATGCAGATCACTCCGGCGTGGGCTGCAGCACTTCTGGTCATCGCATTTTACAACCTAAAAAAAAAATTAATAACTCTTAATAAAAATTTGTTGATATTCGTGCTCGTTTAAAAAAAAAAATTAGGCACGTATAGAAATTTGATATGAACCAACTGCTAATGTACCTGGAGTAAATATTGGCTTTCTCTAACGTGCTCAGTGTACCATTCTTCGGCTGGCAGGTCTGGAACGCTAGAAGTTTCATTATTCGGCTCTATATATTCAGCGACTACTTCGTGTCCGTCAATGCACACTGCAGACCATATTTCAGCCAAAATATCCCCTGCCTTTTTGAAATTATCCTTTTCCAGACTTTCGTTTAATGTTCTGCCGCTGGAGTCAAGATGTGTCCCAAAAGAATCATGGGGAAGAACAACGCCTGTTAGTTCTCGACTGAGTGGAGCCATGCGTCTCTCTACTCTGTTGAATGCGCTCCGGCCAGGGGCATTAGTCACAATAAATACTGCGTCCAAATCATATAGTTTAAAATGCGCTATGGCGTGTGCGATCACTTTGTGATATCGCGGATTTTCGTCAGGCCCACCGTCGCTTGAAATTATAAGAACAGGTTTAACTTTTCTGTCTATATTTTTTGTAAATTTGGAAAAAGGCTCAATTGTTAAAAGAGTGTCCAAATCTTGAGCGTGACTAGTTGCAGTTGACGAAGAGTGCTTGCCACTTCGTATTGCTATGTAAGTTGGTCCACTATATGAAACAGCTTCTGGTCGTCCCATCTCATTGGGTCTCACTTCACACAAAGCATACACGCTTGGAATTAATTTGTGCCTCGAAGCAATCACAAAGTCGTGGTCTGGTAACGACACTTTATATGCAACGTGCATTAATAATGGCGCCTGCTTGTTTGCCGCTGTCAGGCCGATGGGGACGCGGGCTTTGTCATCCTGAGATAAAAAATTACGGAGTCAGGACCAAGTACCGAGGCTATCGTTTCCAGCGACCTTATGGAGGCCACAGAAAAGTATTGGTCTTGGTGTGCCTTATGATGGTCAGCTTCAGGACGACTCAGCTTCACCGGCACAGTCACTACATGGCGCTTAGCTTCTCGTGTATTTGCCCGTCTAGGCAACAGTCGAATATAAGTAGCACTTCGTGAAATATTAAATCCCAGCTCGCTTAGTTTATTTGTAAGTTCTGATAGCGTATGGACCGTGCGAACTATCTCACAACGACGACGCTCTTCAGCAGAAGCACCAAACAGGGCTAAATCACTTATTGTTTTTAGCAAATCAGACTGTTCTTTTTCTAAACGTGGGCGTCCAGGGCCAGCACGGGGCGTCAACGACTTAGCTGCATCGGGATTCTTTGAACATAGTTCAATTATTGCTTGTTTTCTATTTGTTCTGTGCGTCATAGAGTACACTCTTTGTTTTTCTTTAAGCTTGAGCTTCTTCTCACAAATGTCAATTTCTCGCCGCAAATTACATGCTTTATCAAATTCAGTGCCGTCAGCTACAAGAGACCTTTTGCGCCTTTCCGTTAAGTCAAGCTCCATATGCAGCTTAGTAATCTTTTTCTTCATAGTATCTTGTGCTGGAGTGGGACGTACGTTGGATGGTGTAGTGTTCGTCATAGCTTCATCCTCATCATCTCTGATCACAAGAGGCAGATTTTTCCGTTTCGAAGCGCCTGTGAAATGCAGAAAACTTTTATTTAGAATAGGACAAAATGAAGAAAACGTCACCTATAGAAAGAAAGACGACCTCCACATTCCACGTTTGGAACACTCTCAGTGCTTGTCCCAGCCTGATTCGAAGAACTGTTAGAAATCTTAGTGTTAGTCTGAAATCAAAGCATCATAATATTAAGAAATAAATCTAATAAATTATAAAGATAGATTAACACAAAATTAAGAAATATTGAATTATGTGAAAACAGTTGAAATGACCGCGCTAATATTTTGTAGTATTATGATTTTAGCATATTTTATCAAGAATTTCACTGTTTCAGTTTTTTTTAATGCTATGAAGGAGGTCCTTTCGCCATCAATGTTAAATAAAAAATATTAGATTATGCATATTAAAATTAATTTTTATCTAATAGTTAAAGTCCTAATTTATCTACTTAATGAAGTTTAATTTATTCTTCACCATGCAAATTAAAAAAAAATTAAAAATGTTAATATTTTGAGTCTTTATAAACGAGAAAGTCAGACCTAAAACAACTTTCTCGAATTATGGCATTAACCATTGATTTAAGATGGGGTAAAAAACGCAAAATAAGGTTTTCGAAATATTCAGTTTTGATTTTTTGCAATAAAATCTATAGGGAATTTATAGAGAAATTAAAATTATAAAATAACAGATTTTTTTAAAGTAATCTGCATTTAAATGGCGTCAGAACATTTGGCGACGTTGCGAAGCGCGCGAGCTTCAGACCATTCAATAAATTCAAACTAAACTTCAATGCACTAATATGTTTTTCATACATACTTATAAGTTAATTTATTGTTAACAAATTTTCATATTTCATAATTGAAAAATAAAACAATAATTAAAAATATGTACTAGCATTCCTGCCATGAGACATATTAGAATGTTATAGTTTTGTAATTTAACAGTTTTAATTAATTTATTTATTTGCATTGACAAAAACTTTACATGGTTTAGATTATATTGTGCAAATGAAAATGTAACAACCGAAATATAGCGTTGCCAAATCACGGACAGGTTACTAACAGCTGATTTAAAAGAGCCAAACTAATTTTTGTATTTAACTATTTTTTTTTTAATTTTCAAAATTTCAACTATTAATGCCTCATTTATCATAATTTTAATTTTTTAATTTTAGGAATTTGTATGGATTCTTTATTTTAATTTATCGAATATTGACTACTACAGTTGTTGTGACTCAACTGGAGCGAAAGGACTTCCTAAATATTGTAACAATTTTATATAAAAAAGTATTTAAAAAAAATATTTAACCTACTTTTTTAAGGAATGCTAAAGTAGACCGAACTTTTCTCTCAGTGGCTTCCCTGAGAAGCCGTTCAATCTCATGTTCAATGTGATGTATTAACTCTTCTTTCTTCGGGAATTTTTGCTTCGCTGTATTCCATAATTGTATCACATCGTCCTGGCAGGACTTCTTCGTCTTATAGACGTATCTTTTGACGTATGCGTTATAAAAATCTTGATAACTCATTTTAAATTAGTAAGAGAATGCACTGAGTCGAGTAAAACATTTACAAGAATAAACAAAGCATGTTGGAACATGTCCGTGTGTCGCTGCCACTGGCGCGTCGTTCGATCGATTTTTAACTTAAAAATCCGTTATGAGGTTTCAAAAACTGCGTCGAATGCCACCAATCGCGTAAAAATCGGTTCATTTATTCAAAAGTTATTGTGGTTTGAAAATTCAAAAAATACTGTTTTATCAAACTTCTATCAGACTTTCATAAATTCTTACTGACTTTCTAAATTCATTTCAAATTCGTACTTTTGAGCTCGAAGAGCTAAAAACTGAGCGTTTAGGTGTGGAGTTAGCGAGATGTTGCAGAGGTGGCATTTAGGGTCAACCGTTTTCCAAATTTTTTTTTCAATCAGAAAAAAAATTGCGTGATATTTGCCGAGACCCCCCCTCTCTCCAACGTGAGATTTAATGAGATTTGACTCGACCCCTCCCCCCTAAAACACCTCACGTAATTTATGGACGCCCCCTTATATAGACGTAGACAATTACGAAAGATTTGTATGCCGTATGATGTTAATGGTTATTGCATCTTCCATACTCATTGGTATTTGCAGCCCAAGACATCTTGAATATACAACGCTCCAACATAATTGCAGTTTAAGGGTGAGATCTATAGTGCGCACTTGGACTTTGCTCAGACTTACCTTACGAAAAACTTTGCTTAGTGTACACTAAGGTTAAACTATGATTTCGTATTTATAGACATTTTAACGGTGAGATTAAGCTAAGCCCAAGCTAAGACAGAAAATGTCAAAATACAAATTGATGTTTCATTTCATGCAATACTTTGTTTATTATCCTTTAAAAAAAGTTAACAATAACAAATATTTAAAAATCTAAAACGGTACACATATATCTTCAATTTATTGTTATTTATGTATTCATTTATTTTATTATTGCAATAACTAGAAATTCACGAGTAACCTTTAGAAAATGTATTAATTATTTAAAGATGACAATAATTTTATTACGTAGAACGGATCGCAATGTTTTGGTTAGGTTATAGTTTGAATTTCGTTGTCACTATAATATGCCAATTGCCAGGGCTGCCAGGTGACATACAAAATCACACCAGTTATTTTTAAGATTTCTCAAAAATGGGGTTTGAACAATTACATAAATAATATAAATAAACAACAATAAATACCATAATAATGTGTAATTATTTTATTTCATGCATTTCATAGGTATTTATCAAGATCATTTATAATTTCTTTGAATTCAAATTCTATTTTTCCCAAAGTCTATGGAACTCCGATACAAAATGGCAACACCGTTCATTAAAAACCGACAAAAATAAAAAGTCCAGTAAAAGATATGATGGTAAAGCAAATTTTGGGCCATTATTTTTGTTAGGCTTATAGTCAAAGTTTTTGGTAAGTCGTCGATTTCGTGGACTTGAGATTAAGCTAAGCCAACACTAGGGAGAGATTCGTAGTTTGCTCTATAAATACCGACTGTGTCTTAGCTCGATAGTTAAGTCAGAGCAAAGTCTAAGTGCGCACTATAGATCTCACCCTTAGTAACTAATCAATTAATCAGTGTTGGCCTAGTGGCTTCAGCGTGCGACCCTCATGCCTGACGTCGTAGGTTCGATCCCCGGCTGTGCACCAATGTACTTTCTTTCTATGAGCGCATTTAACATTCTCTCGGTTAAATAAAACAGGCTGAGTCAGACACAGCAGGCTGATTACCTACTTGCCTAGATTCACAAATGATCATGAAACAAATAAAGAAATCTGAGGCCTGGACCTAAACTGGTTGTAGCCACCGATGTATTCGAGAACTGGCATTAGATGTAAAAATATAATATGTTTTACTATGTTTTTGGTTTGATATTTATATTTAAGGAGCTTGATATTTGATTGTATGTGTGAATGATATCGAGGATTCTTATATTAAAACTAATTTTTTATATTTACTTAGAGTGCTCAATATAACATAAGAAAACAATAAATGGAGACCCGATTCGTAAACCAGGGTAGGTCTGTGGTCTGTGGTATTGTTTTTGGATTTACCATTAGTGCAAGGATAGCTCTGTGCGTTCGCTTAGAATAGCAATGTTACCCTTGTTTATGTAATAAAAATTTAATTTGAACTTCGCATTTTAACGAAACCATAATTAAATATGATAATACAATATTGAAAGACCGGAAAGTTCTAGAAAACCGAGGTCATTTACAACTAAAGGTCAGGAAATCGTGACCTCTTAGGTCTCAGTTAATAAACAATTATTTACGTGGCTTCTGTACGAATTTAAATTTTTGTACGTCACTCGCCTTATAGGGTAAACGTGTACTTTTTAGTCTATGATAATACCGTTTTTTTCATCGGTTTAATTTGAAAATCTTAATTTAATAACATTAGCTTAGCTTAATATTTTAGAAGTCATGCGTTATAAATAAAAGGTTTATGTTTTTCTACTACTATTAAAAATGTAGTTAAGACAAGGTTTTTATTAAAAAAAGGGTGTGTTATGTACGCGCGTAAGAAGTTATACTTCTTTGGCATTATTAAAAATAGTTTTTGATTGCGTGCAAATAATTAATTACAATTAAATAATCAAAGCCTGGAAAAGGAGTCATTATAGTCAATAAAGTTTAGTCTACATTTGTAAAATTACATAAATAAATATTATTATTCTCTTACATTAAGTGTAACATACATTCTATTATTATTCGAATGTTGTTTTTAAATTATGTCCAATGCCGTAGCATCTTCCGTGGGCAACTTCATTCTGTTAATTTTGTGTCACGGTGCGCGCGCATCGTAAAATTTCACTCTCATCAATTTTTCATAACGCGCCTAAAGAAGTATAACTTCAAAAACGCACTTAGCTATTATATGAGTCGGAACCAAGAATTGAATAAACCAAATTTATTACAATTTTCTCAAGACCACTAAAGGTTAATGTTGAGATAATTGACTATTAAATAGTGTATTTAAATAAATTTATATTATTGTGTCGTTTTATTTTATTTTGCATCACACATGATACAAGGAGAAGAATCTGATACTTATAAATATATGTTATGGAAAGGATATACATTTGTGAAAACATAAGAACTTAAGAAATATGTGTGTTATATCGATTATTTTCTTATTACAGAAACGACCGCCGGATAATTCGTTTTACGTGAAAACCTGCAATAAAAATCCTAAGAAAACAAAATGGTGGTATCATGGTATGTATGACCTTATAATTATTATTACCAATGTTGAATCAATTAATTGTTAAGTGTCGAACGCAATATTTATCCGTGGCCGTCGCTATCTATTGTATCAATTGCTGATAATTATCTAAGTGTGATTTTAAGTATCACATTATGTCTCGTGACATTTAGATGTTTCTAATTTATTCTAAAATGGATTTATTACTAATCTAAGTCAAAGGTGCGGAAACTGAAAAAGACAATATATTTCTCACCTCATCATTTACTATATTCTTGGTGATGTCGTCTCAAATCAAGCCATTTGCTTTTCATTTATCATTTAACAAAAAGAGAAAAAAAATTTAAGATAATTTTTTTTTTTCAATGTTCATACATAAGATGCTAGTTATCGTACTATAGAACTTTCAGAATTATTTTTAAATTTTGTCACAGACATACATTAAACGGACATGTGGTATCAGAGTTTAAGTTTCAGCAAAGTCTCTATAGACATTGTCTAGACTTTTTTTCTTTAATTTTGCCACAGACATACGCACAATAATCTGACTTGTGGTATCAGAGTTTAAATTTGAACAAACAAATTTAAACAATCTTACATCCCTATAGTCATTGTCTTTGATCTTCATATAACTCCCATACTCAGACAAAACTGTATTGAAATTGCTCCATTTTAAATAGTGCTTCTATATCTTTTTTCATCCCAGTGTTAACACAATTTGACAGAAAGAGACGAAATATTGATTTAGTTAAAAATGACTGGATAATATTATGCATTATAATATTTTGTTTTTCAGATGACTCAGTGTAACACCGTTTGGTTGCTATATCGAGCATGGACGATAAAACGTGAACTTGTGATAAGTGTTATCGATAAAGTTAACATATAATGTTATGTATATACGGACAGACGGTGCGATTTTATAGGCGGCTGTGCTAAATTATTTTATCTGTTTTGCCGCCATGTGAACTGTCAATGTCAGTGATGTGACGTTATCTGTGGTTCGTTGCTTGAAATTATTTTGTGTAGTTATTTTGCGACTGGATATGCTTTATAGAATTATTCGCGTGGATGGGTGAAACTGAAAATCATTATTGTTCAAAAATAATGTGAAACCGTTTTAAAATGTTGCCATTTTATAGATATCGACAACCATCTATCGAAAATTATGGAGTTTTCCTCTTATTAAAAGCTAAACAAGACCTAAAAATATGTAAAACGTGATAACAATAAATAGTATGCATAGAAAACAAGAAATACACAAATGTATTTAGTGTAATATTAGTAATAGCATTAAATATCGAGTCCATAGATAAAGTTTATTTTTAGCCGAAACACCAAAGGTATATACGTGAATTTTTTTTTATTAATTGAAAACTTCATAATCAACTTTAATAAATTATAACACGCAGGCCGAACTTGATCTTTTGGTGTCGCCCATCCTTATGAGAAAATTAAATGAAATGTATAAGTGAAGCAGTCATAATGTATTATAGGTTAAAGTTCAATAAATTATTCAATCATTTATTTCGTTTTACACTCCCCCAACGACAATCAAACACATTTCTGGAATCATGTCAGATATACCCCATACCTCCGGGTTAAATAAAGGTTTAGAATTATCTAACAAAAACAAAAAGTTTGAAATTTCTAACATCGCCCAACTACTCACACAGTGTGCATATATTTTATTCAGTTCGCAACACACGAGATAGCATCTAATGGACAGTTTTTTTTATATTACACTCGCAAATGGCTTTTGACTAAAAATATATTGAGAAATAGTAAAAAAAATTACTTCTCTCTTTCTAATCGTAATCGTTCCCTTGTTGTTTTTTTAGCATATTACTCTAGATATCTCAATATCAAATATTTTTATAACTATAAGATGCAGATTTCTATTGTATTGTCACAAATTCCAATGATGCAACATTTGGGTCCATATTCTAATAATTATAACTTGTATTTTATATGCCTTAAAATTTAATTTAAATAATTAAGATAATTAATACCTTACAGAGTTTATATAAGGAAACTCATTTTATGATAATTTTCACATTGTTTATTGATTTTTAATTATTTACATTGTTAACTTAATAGAATAACTCAAAAAACCATCACCCAAAATATAATTCAAAATAAATAAGAAAATAGCTTAAAATGTGGTTCTTTTCAAAACATTTGTATCAAAATTTAATTTGCAACATTAATAAACATTTAAATACCCCAATATTCACAAATTTAAAAAACACCAAATATTTTTCCTGAGATCTTTACTCCTAACACCTACATAAAAGTCAAACTTATCTTACAAAATATTATTATTGCATTAATAATTGCACCTTGGTTGTTAACTTGTACAAATTTATAATTGTAATAAATATTTAAACATACCTTAAGATCACTTATATGAAAATGATTGTTTAAATTTGTAATGACTACTCTTAAAATATTTTGCTTTCTTAATCCTTTTTTTCTATTATTTGTTGAGTCTTAATAATGAAAATAAACAACACAAGTCATAGCTTTACAAATAAATCTACAAATCATTCTTAATTAAATAGCATTTTTTAGTTTATTTAAATAAAATTGATGGTCATACAAAGTAGCTAATATACCATCCGAGACTACAACATTACTACCACTTGAATAGTCAATGGTCTCGCCTTTAGTTGTGGTCATAGTTCCATTATTGGTCTTTAGAATTGCATGACCAGCACATAAATCCCACTTTTTAATTGCAGTTTCATGTAAATAGACATCATTTGTGCCATTCATAATACTAATAAATTTATTTCCAGCTCCTGCTGATTTTGTAATAACTGTTTCCTCTCCAAATGCATTTTTTGCTATTTCTGCAACTTTTCCTGGATGTGACCGGGAAACAATAACTTTTGGATGGTTTTTATTATCCCCTTTCTGTAATTGAAATAATTTCATCATTTTAATTAAGTTGCCAAGTCAGTTTATTTTGTCGGATTCATTGACTAATGGAGTTAAACATTATTCACAGTTTGTAATTACTAAATATCATATTCATTTCTAAAATCAATGTATATACTTTTAATTGCTTAAGCAGATTTAGTTTGTGATTAATTTAGCTCTTAAAGTTAAAATGAAGAATTTTTATATTAAAATTGTTAATGTATAACTTACATATAAAATCTTTGGTATATTACTAGAGGTCCTTTTCATAAGCCAGCCCCAATAAGTGGTTGGTGGGAAAGGATAATGGATCACTCCAACAATTGGTACACCATTGATGGCAACACAGACCATAGTTGTGACATAGGAATATAAACCCTCTAAAACAATCACAATTTAATTAACGTAAACATGATTTTCTAACGTTTTCTTTCTTTCTTCGATAAGGTATCTTTTAAAACAAAACATTTGACTATTATGTTACACTAATAACCTATGTTTCTAAAACCGAAGGAACATTGATATAGATCTGCCACATTCTACTGGCAACTATTAGACTTCTACTGCCACTCAGAGAAAACAAATCATTGTTACTAAAATTCAATTCATAATTAATCATAACTGTAATTTAAATTTTAGTAAATAAACAAATTGGAAAGAAGTTTCAACCTGTATATTCTTGTGTTGCATCCAAAGGATCAATCCAAACTGTCACATCTTTAGCAAGAACATGTTCATCATTAATAGAATTAAGGATTCTCTGCCCTTGTGGTGTTGATTCCAAATCTATTGGATCTTGATTCTGGCAGTCTGAGTTTCCATCAGAATGCTCCTCAGACACAATAGCTAATTTAGGAAATGCATTTTTAATAGTATAATACATGGCACAATGTGATGCATAGTCTGCATCTGTTACAGGATCGTTTGCACCTTCTTTAGTTTTTCCTTTGCTATGCACTTTCAATCCTTTATTTTTACCTTCTATCACTTTCACACCACCACGTTCGGCAGCATATATTGCAGCATTTAATAGTGACTTTATACTCACAAGATCACTCACATCAGTCGGGTAACCATTTCCACCAGATCGCCAATAAATGATCAAGAATAACACGAACACTAAAGTAAAACACGCGAATTTGTTTACTCTTAATGTACCTCCAAAATTCATTTTAATGATATATTTGAATATAAAGTTTATAGGTTTATAATCCTTGTTAAAATAATGTGAAAAAACTGATAATTGATAAAACTTTGATTCATATTATTTTTCTTAAAAATAAATACATATTTACTTTCCAATTTCTATTTTGATAAGACACTTCACGTTTTGTGTCGATGTCGATTAATGCCAATTGCCAATTGCCAAATCTACAATTTGTGAGTATTTCAGTTTCACAGTTCACTGTTAGCCGAAAATGATTATGACAATACACAATAAACTGTAAGTACTTATACAAGTCTACAGTATTACTTGTATCAGCGGTCTCACAAATTACACTTTAAATAAAAACCCATAATATTTTAATATATATTTTGCAAAACTTTTAAACCTTATATTCTAGTTCAGTTTTCTATCAACTTTATGATCTATTGATCGTTAAGATACAGTTTTTATAAAGGGAGAGTGTGTATAGTATTATAAATAACACTCACCTAATATTTTCATTGTTGGATAAAAATGAATTGCGTACGCTGCAGAAAACTCTATTCTCTTTACTTACATATCTTAAACATGAATCATACTTAAATGAAAAATTGTCAGCACTGAATAAAGTAATAACAAGGTTCTTTTAACCGAAACAAAGGGAATCGATCATTAAATATTAGCTAAAAAAAATAAATATAGGCGGTTAGAGATTTTTAAATAAAGAAAAAGTTTCATGAATTAAGTCAAGTTTATTTTGCCTAATTATATAATTATTTACTATGGGATTTCTTATTTATAGTATTTTTATATTTTTATGGCAATAGTTTTAACTTTATGCCTGTTTTTATTTAAGTTTAAACTGCTGTTGACTGCATTAATTATAGCTGACACATCATTGTCAATTGTCAATGTCTTTAGTCAAATTTCTAATTTCAAATTTTTAAAATTTACTTCTCGAATTATATTCGTATCGCACGGTTGTAAGGGCGGTGTAATATGTAACTTTATCATATCAATTTAATAAGTATTCTGAAACGTAAAATAGTAAAGTGAATATCGATAATTAACTCAGAATGATTATTATGGATATGTACGAGACGGTAAGAGAAATCTTCATATTAGAAAATAAGTTTATTAACTAAATAAAGTTTATTTTTTTAATTATATTACTTTCTAGGCAAGTTGGTGGACGTTAGCTATCGCTGTTCAGATTGTTATCGGATCTATATTCTTATGGCGTAAAAAATTTAAAAAACCTGAAGTAATTTTGACTCAAGAGAAATTGTTACAATGGAAACCTTTGCCTTTAGTAGATTATGACATTTCTGTGGATGAACCTCCTGTGATGGGTAAAATTGATGAAAATGTGCTTAATGTTGGCGCTACCAGCTTTCTGTGCCTGGATAAGGAGCAGTCTATCATGGATAATGCTATTAACTCATTGCATAAATATGGAGTTGGATCCTGTGGCCCAAGAGGTTTTTATGGTACAATAGATGTGCATTTAGAGCTTGAAGAAAGATTGGCAAAGTTTTTGCAAGTAGAAGAGACTTGTGTGTACTCATATGGATTTTCTACAATTGCAAGTGCTATTCCAGCTTATGCTAAGAAGGGCGATATAATTTTTGCGTAAGTAATTATTTATAAATCAACAAACATATTGTATTATTTGTAATGAAGTATTCTGATAATTAAAAAAAAACTTTATAAAACTAGTAAGATAAATAAATTAACATATTTTTATTAATTGGGTAATAAAATTGAAGCGTGAAAAACAGCCATGTACTGTATTATTGCATATAAATGTATGCATGTTTAACTCACAAAACATGAAAAACAGGATAACTATTCAGGAAAAATAGATTTTGATTAGTTCATGTCAGTTATGAATATAATAAATACTACCACTATCCTTAATAATAATTGCGAATATTGTAAGTCGGTCTTTACAAAAGGAAATATCAATAATGCAGTAGATACAAAATTATATCCAGAGAATATAGAAAGTACTAAAACTATGTAGGTTAAGAAAATTTTATTTACTCTATATTTGATGGTTATCATTACTAATAAAGATTTTAAGACTAAAAAATTTATAAAATAAGAAAATTACAAAAAAGAAATACAGGTTTTGTATTAAGGAACAACAATTTTTAATTAATTCGTCTAGTTGTAGTAAAATGTTTGGTTTAATTTTAGTTTATTCATAAAATTTGCAGGGATGAAAAAGTGTGGTTTGCTATTCAGCAAGGTTTTGAAGCTGCCCGTAGTACTGTCAAATATTTTAAGCACAACAATATGGATGACCTAGAAAGACTATTACAAGAGGCAGCTGACAAGAAACAATTAAATCCAAAAAGGCGAGCATTCCTTGTCGCTGAAGGGATTTACTTTAACACAGGAGAGATGTGCCCACTACGACGGCTGGTTGAACTTGCTAGAAGATTTAAGTTAAGGATCATATTGGATGAAAGCTTGACAATTGGGGTAAGTTATTAGTACCTTATTTTAGTAATTAAACCTAAAAAGTGAATTCAATGATGTCTCAATAGATATTAAACATTAAATTAAAATTGTGATATGAAAACTCATTCCTGAAATTTGTATTAAAAATTCTTTTAAATTTACATGGAATACTTGTTGGTATCTTCTACACATTAAATTTTAATTTATTTATAAGCAAGATCAGTTGTGTCCTAGGTACTAAATTTAGCTTTGCATATGCTTCCTGAATCACAGTAGGTGATTTGAAATATACCTATTGAAGTTTATATATACAAGTGATGCAATAATATTTGAATTAAAAATCTCCACAAGAAAGCGAGTTTACATTAGATGCAATAAAACCCAACAAAGTGATGATTAAATTAGCACATTTATTTTCTGCTAATATAATAGCAACTGGCCTAATTTTTCTTTGTTCTAATAAGGTAAAATAATTTGGTATATGTTGGGAAAATTTTAGCATCTTTTCCATAATATTGTCTTTTGTTAATTGGTGAACATTTAAATAACTCTTATTAAAAGATGTCACTGGACTATTATCTATTCAAGTCAACAATGCTGTCTTGAAGAAGTAGTTATGGTTTTAAAAATCATAACTACAATAATTAACATTTTGACTGCTCTACATCATTTATTTCCGGAAACTCATAATTTTCTCTATGGCGATTTTAATAAAAATAATTTTGCGTCTTATGTACTTTTTCCTAGATATTGCTAACCTATGATTACAGTTAAAACCCTAAGTTATTTGTTAGTTCGTCCACTAATAATTATCTTATCATGCTTAAATTCGAAGAAACATCAAATCTTTCTTGAGAATTAAACTCTTAAGAAACGCATTTGATAACCTAATAAGTACCCAGCGATCGTCATAGCTTAGTGGTTAAGTCATGTGCTTATAATAATAATAATTTGTTTATTTAAACAGACTATCATCATAAGTCCATATGGTTTTTATTGTTAAAGTATATTCAATCATAAAATTAAAAAGTAAGCAATCCACTCTTCCCGCTATTTCAGACATACTATTATTATTATTATCCACAGATCATGCTTGTTACAAGCACATATTTAAAAAATGTATCTGCCCCTATAAGCTATAGCAGATTCCTCATTAACTCTGAATTTACAGGTTCTAGGTAAACACGGTCGTGGGTTGACGGAATATTTGAATGTGCCTCGAGATGAGATCGACCTAATTATTGGCTCTCTCGAACATTCATTTGCAACCGTTGGCGGATTCTGCGCAGGAACCCATTTCATTGTTGAACATCAGAGGTTATCTGGTTTAGGTGTGTATAAATCTTGTAGGAAACATCGCTGTTATGATTATATTAATAATATAAAGGCGAGTTTTGTAAATTTAGTCAAGAAAAAAATATAACGCCGAAATCTGATTGACGGTTATATTCCTTTAAATCTTAAATTATTTAAAAGAAATGGCTAGACCGATTTCCATGGTTTCTGATTTGTTGTATGTATTTCTTTTGTGATATCATACATAAATAAGTCGTTTATTAGCAAAGAAAGTTAATTGATAAATTATAAAACTCCTCACAATCTGCCATATAAAAATAGGCATCCAAATAATGTCATAATAATAAGTTAAGTTATTTATAATTTTTGTCAAACTCATGGTCGAAATATTCGCCCACGCTACAAAGGCACCTTGCCTTTAAAATTTTAAAGCATTACACGGCAGTGATCTATAACTTCTAGGAAGGTGATTAATAGTTTGATACCCCACATATAAATACAGTCAAAACCGTTTATAACGACATTGAAGGGACCGTATAGTTGCCGACGTTATATCCGATAGTCGTTATAAGCAATGTCATATACACAAGTACAGTACATATGTATGTACATAGTTATAATATCATAGTTATCTAGAATAGGTAGGTATGGGTTATAATATGGTATGTTAATATTATAATATGTAAAGGAGTTAAAAAAGAAACAAAAATATTTATTACGAAATAATTAGGTACAAAAGTAATCATTTTGGTCTGTTTTTTTTTTTTAGCCGTCTCAAATATTTTTTGCATTTTATCCATATGACATGAGATTTTTATTTAATAGAAAACACTTTTCTATTTTTTTGCGACATGATAACACATAAATGCACAATTGTACAGTCTAAACAACACCAACACTTTTAAATCAAACTGTTACTCACGCAGTCAATTAGCGAACTAAGCATGTCATGTGTTCGGATGAGGCGGGAGAAAGTGCGTAGGTATAGGTATATGGCTAATATTCACTCAATGCTTATAAATAAGATTTAAAATCGTTTGTATTGTTTTCTTTTGCTGAGACAAGAAGCGGTTGGTCGTTATAGCCGATGAATATCGATAAAATTTCGTCGTTGTAAGCGATATGTCGCTGTATCCGATGTTGTTATAAGCGGTTTGTTTACTGAATAGTTTACTAGGGATTCGGACGGGACCATACAATCTGGTTGTAATAACCGATAGGTCGTTGTAAACGTTAAAATAATTTTTATATATGAAAATATAAGAGACGTTTCATTTAGTAAAAGATTTTAACCTTATAGGATACTGCTTCAGTGCGTCACTCCCACCAATGCTGACGCAAGCGGCAATATCTGCCCTCGACATAATGGAAAAACAACCCAGCATTATGTCGGAACTCGATGATAACTCAAGGAAACTGAATAGGTGAGGTTTTCCTTAATATAAGTAATTTAAATTGTATGTTTACGTGAGCGTAACCAAGAAACATATAATGCAACAAATTAACTTAATATAATGTTAATTAATTAATCGTCGTAGAAATAAACGTCGCCATTTTGATTTGTCCCTCACTATTTAATACTATTCTACACTCTTACGTTGTCCTCCAACAAATTAACATATTAAAATTTAAAATATTTGTTAGGCTGTAACTGCTGTAATAACTGAAAAGGTTTGCATTTTAAATCTTAATAGAAATAATTGTGGTTTATTAAATATTTATGTATCCTATGTGATGCGGTAGATATATTTAAAATACCTTTAATATTTGGCAAAATCGTGATTGACTTTCATTTCATAAAAATCTTAATAATCTTTTGTTTTATTATTTAAAGTTGCGTAGACGCTGTGATGAGTTTAGCTTAATTGGTGGCTCTTTCTCTCTAAAATGTCTTTAAAATGACCTTTTGATAACATGCGTGTTTGGTTTGCCACAGCCCTCTAAGCATCGCTATATAGAGTTACACTGACCGTAATTAAAAATTACTTTCACGAGACAATTAAACTTACATTTTCCTTAATTTCAGAGCTTTGGAAAACCTTAAACACTACACATTCCGTGGTTCGGACGTATCGCCAATAAAGCATATTTATCTCAAAGACAATTTACCAGATACGTTAAAAACGGGATATCTCCGAAACATAACGAATTACTGCCTCAACAGAGGAATAGCGTTTGCGGTGTCAGCGTATCTGCGTGACGCGGAAGTCAGTTGTCCAGATCCATCTATTCGATTGGCCTCGAGTAGGAAGTTAAATGAGAAAAATATTGCTTCAATTTGCTCCTTACTCGATGAGGCATACGAAAAAGTTGGGCCCAAATCCGGAGAAAAACCAATGAATTAGGTAAGATCTGTGTATCAGATGCGAGACTTGCGTGATTCAAAATACAGCGTACGGAAGTAAAAGCGCGACGCGACTCTTAATTCTTTCCCTAAACACGCGTACTATACACTACTGGATGGATACTACACTTCTGGATATAAATGCGTAATTGTTATTTTATTTATTGGTCACCTTACATGTGTTATTTATAACCATTGAATTATTGCTTATTAAAAATCCAAAATAAAGTAATCAGAAATAAAAACATAATTATGTTATCGAAAATATGTATATCGAACAAGATAATGTTAAAATATAGGTAAGAATGAAGATAACCTTATAAGAGAAAATAAATTCATTAGTCATGATTCATACTAGCGGTTAAATAAAAACTAAAATATATTATATTGTTTATAAATATTTAATATATTATTTGTGCCAATTATTGACGTTAATATGGCAACATTTCAATAAACAATATCAATATGTTATGTGTAACAGCCTAACAGCCTTTGGCTGCCCACGATTGCTGGAACTTACACGAAACGTCGAGTTATGTTATTTAATAAATTTACGTATATATAACAGAAGTTAATTATATATAATAATTTAATTGCACTAAAAACTATGATAAATATCGTTTATATATTGTAACATTTAAAATGTTTCCGTGATTTTGACAAAGGAAAATTTGTCAGCGTACGTGGTAGAAAAACTTATAATGGTTGGGATTATAACACTAAAAGATTTAACAAACCGTTTATGAAATTATAACTAATTAATAAAAATAATTAATTTAAGTAGACAAGTGAGGCCAAATCGTTATTATTGTGTTAAAGTAACGTTTTGTCTAAGGCATGGTCTACATATAACTAAATTTTATAAAGATCTTTGGTATAAGAGTTAATTGTTAACCTTATCTGTAGATCGTCTTCATATGGACTATGAACCTTTATTAAAGATCATGAAGATATAAACAAAAGATTCGATAACTATAGGTTTTAATACAATCTATGAATAAGAATAATCTTAAAATTTATTCAGAAAATCTGTTACCGGTACATATCATAGACATTTGTGTATGTTGCATTTATATGATTATTCTGTCACACATTTATTTTAATGTTTTTCTTTTTTATAATTTTAAGGTTACGTATTTTTTTATTAATTTTGTTATATTTGAAAATGTTATTGTGTAATTTGATTATATAAAAAATAGGATTAAATAAAAATGCGTTATGTATTAATATATTTAATGTGCACCAATATTGTGTTAAATAAATATTTTATAATAATCATTTTTAATATTAAATAACCAACTATCCTCACGTCTATGTATCACCAGGTTCATTTGCCTAGACTAAATACTACAGAACATTATTTTTATAATACTAACTTGTTTTATTTATGCTCCAAGCCGCCGTGCTCATGAGTTTCGTAACACTTTTTAAAAAGTTTAAGTCTAACTCGAAAATCTCTGAAATATCCAAAAAGCTATTAATAAATTGGTCATTAAATTTCGCTGTGCTATTTTTTATTATATTTTTTCAACTAAGTATAAGAGATAATTGAATATCACACCTTAGTACCAAGGTACACAAGATCGAGCTGTTGGATCCTAAATTGATACTACTCTTATATAATGAACACATTAAATAGTATCTAATCATAAATTACACATTCGTAACATTTAAAATATTTCAAAGCAATCCTAACGTTTATTAAATTGTTTTCACGTAGTTAATCAACAATTTTATGTTACGGGGCAACCACTTAAATAAGAATCTTCAAGCCCCCAATATATCTAGAGGTATCGAACAAATGGAGGCAAACTGTAAACTTATGGCAATGTTACTTGATCTAACTTTAGGCTCTAGGAAACGTCGAAATCACGTCACGACTCGTTTTTCAGATACAATAATCGTTAATCTATTTTATATATTAGAGATAATAGACGACCCAAAAAGCCTGAGTGGCCGTTAGTGATAAAAGTGCAAATATAGACTTCCTAGTCTGTCACCAATTCATCATTCATATGGCAATAACCGACATTTCTTTGAAACTCAGTATCATCAGATCGATGGAGTGGTTTCCGAATCTCCACCAGCCGCCTGTCCGTCTCTAGAGCCTGGTTCTTGTACTGCAGTTCTTTGGTTACCCTTTGGTAATGGCTGTGCATGCCGTGGTATGTGGAACTGTAATGATTATAGTCTAAAGATATCTCATAAGAGTAAGAATCTACTAAACGACGAAGTGGTTTCGATTGGGTCTGATAACGAACGTTCATAGAGATGAGAAGTTCGCATGATTACCTTATACATCCAAGATCCTATTATCAAACTTGATGTAAGTATTTTAAAATACAGCTAATTGTATTTGTATAAATCATAGTATTAATAAATTCTTGTAGAGGTCACCCGATCGAGATCACCGAGGAAGGAACGTAAAAATTTTTTTTTTCTTTCGGTTTATACTGGGTGGCGCAAAAGTACTGGCACTAAAGAAAATTTGTTTGTTTTTTTTATATGACATTTCCTGTCATTCTGTTGTTGAAAATTGTGTAGTGAACAAATGTAAAATACACTGAAAATAAACATGGACCGTTTTACTCCCCAAGAACGTGGAATAATCGTGTCAATGTTCTTACTGAATAATTCATCAGTGTTAAAAACACAACGTGAATTTCGTCGACGATTTCACCACCGTCCGGCACCGATTGGTCGCACAATTCGACGCTTTGCCACACGCCTTGAAGCAACTGGCTCAACATTGGATAGACCTAAGTCGGGGAGACCAAGAACAAGCCGTTCAGCTGAAAATGGTGTTTATTTTCAGTGTATTTTTCATTTGTTCACTACACAATTTTCAACAACAGAATGACAGGAAATGTCATATAAAAAAAATAAACAAATTTTCTTTAGTGCCAGTACTTTTGCGCCACCCAGTACAATCAAAATTAATAGTAAATCTCTACATATTTTAAACGTCCAGTACGAAACCTACTTTTAAGTCAGTAAATTTTACAGACTATTTATTATAATTTAGTTAAAGAAAGCGAAACTTACGTAGTGGAAGACCACATAAGCCATGGGATGACATATTCAGAAACATGATGGGAAATACATGGTGGTGCGTCGTACGTAATTAAAGCAAAAGGTGAAGAGTGGCCTTTGCAATTTGGCAAGCGGATGTGGAGCTGGTGCAGGGTGCTAGATATAAAATCAGCAGAATTCAAATTCAAAATCATTTATTCATTAGGTAACCCAATGTACACTTATGAACGTCAGAAAGAAATAAACATAATGCTTCTAATTTTACATTAACTGCCCTTTCTCAAATCAAGGGCGTAGAACCGAGAACGGAAGATATTAACTGGAAATAAACCCTCCGCCACTTAATCGCCACGTTTTTTGTTTTATACAATGTTTATAAGGAGCTGCAACCATTACACCGTGTTCCACATGACATCTTAAGTAATTAATAAAATAAATTAAATACAAAAATTTGTCCTCTATCAGCAGGAGGCATGGTGAAATAGGAGCACGCAATTACATTCTCGTGGGAACAACACGCAAATACATGTTCGAATAAGAATTCATATTGTAAATACTTTATTATCTGAATACAAGGCATTATTATTCTTAATTAGATATATTTAGATAAAAATATCGTCTATGCATTTAGAAAAATAGGATTTAAATAGTAATTGTGGCATGTACTCACAGTGCATCTTCTAGTTTCTTCTCCAACGTACTGGTGCTTGTATGAACTCTCTCGTACTCTTCTATCAGACCACGCGTTGGCTTATCCTAGGAGCAAATACACACAATCAAATTATAACTATAATATTTATCCTTAACTAAGTAATTTTTAACAATTTCTTCTTAGCGCAATCCCTTAGTTATAATTTTTTTTTAAATCAGTGGCGCTACAACCTCTTTAGGTCTTGGCCACAGATTTCTGAACCTGTTTCATGATCATTTTTAAATCTAATAGGCAAGAAGGTGATCAGCCTCCAGTGCCTGACACACGCCATCGACTTTTTGGGTCGTAGACATGTCGGTTTCCTCACGATGTTTTTCTTCACCGTTCGAGCAAATGTTAAATGTGCACATATAAAGAAAGTCCTTTGGTGCACAGCCGGGGATCGAACCCACGACCTCAGGTATGAGAGTCGCACGCTGAAGCCACTAGGCCAACGCTGCAAGTTATAATTTAGGGAATTTAAAAAAATATTAATTTTAGTATTTCATATTTGTATTTAATGTAAAAAAATATATGTGTAAATATATAAAGTAATGTAGTACAGTTTTTAATTACATATATGCAAGCAAAACAGTTGTAACTTATAGGAAGTTCCAACTGCTTTGCTTTTACTAAAGTAGTCCAATATAGAAAGAGCAAAAATATTTTTCTTCAAAATGAATGTATCGTAATGATATTAATAATAACTGATACCTGCACTCTCTCTAAAGCAGGTCGTCGTGTTCTGGCTTCCAGGCGGGTTTCCACCAACTTAGTTGGATTTATTTTATCAGCAACGGCCGCTCGTAGAGATTCAATTTCTCGCTCTACCTTGGCGAGATTTTGCTCTAACTAAAACAACAGTCATTTTAATACCATAGATGCAATGTTTTTGATTATTTCTGTTGTATTTACAGTATAAAATATATATTTTTTTGTAATTCTAATTGTCTTCAAGGATAAGATTGTTTATTATATTGCGATTTCTTATAATATTGTGTGCAATATAAATAAATATACATATATTGTTTTCCTTAAAAAATATTGTGGTTATGAAAACCACATAACTACAGTTTTAATGATACCAACCAGCATTTGAATCTCATAAAAATACAGGTTACGGTACGTATATAAAATTCATCTCAACCAACTTGATAATAAATTTAATTAAATATAATAAATAAAATAAATTGAATATAAAATTATAACTATTCAAGATTTTGGGACTCCAATAAAATAACGTTGGAGACGAGGATTTACCTTCAGTTTCTGCCACTCCATTTCATTTCTGGCCCTCTGTATATCAAATACCCTTCTCCTCATCACCATCTCCACGGCCTGACATTGCGCATACAACTGGTTCTTGACCTGTTCACGACTTCTAAACATAGTCTCTCGTAATGATTTAGATTCTCTCATCAGCTGCTCAGCTATTTTTATAGTATTTTCTATGCAGTGAACGTAGCTTTCTTCTGTTATTGATCTGAAGTCGGGAGATCGTAATAACCTTATTTAATATGTTACTTGACCTATTTTGAAATGTAGTGACCTCATCACGGTGTGAGTAGATTTAAGTCAGTTCTGCCTGTAGGCTTGTAAATAACTTCGACTTATTCGATCAATTTAATTTCGATTAATTTAATTTTCCTTTACTTCAACCTTTTAGTAGAATTAATAGGTACAACCGAAAGTTGAGGAGTACTCGGAAGCATTTTTATAGCTTTCTTCATACTGCGAACCTGTTAAAGCATGCGTTTCCCTGACGCGTCATGCGTTCAAACACAGGTTGTGAACTTGGATTTTTAACGAAATATCTACATCATCTATCATCAAATATCGTTCTACAACGTGTGTAGACAGAAAGCTCCTGCATGCCTATAAAGAATACCAATGAAATAGACCCAGAAATATCTTTGGTGGTTTTACTAGGCGATTCTGGGATTTCGCTATGATTTGTGTACTAAAAGTGATATACATTGTGTTTTCAGCATATACCATTATACTCACTCAGGCGGTACCCTTGTAGGGTCGATCTTAAACGAAATATCAGAACTATATCTGTCCAGCTGTTTCACGTGGCGATCTATGGCCAATGCGTCATCCTTGTTCTGTATCTCTCGCTCTAACCGACAGAAGACATTAGTTAATTCTTTTAATTTCTCCCAGCCCATATGGCATACGTCTGTTAGGACACGTTTGCTGTTCTCTAGTATGTGTAACTCCTGAAATTTGTGACTTAGCTCATTAGTATACCTGATTATAAAACGTGGACTAAAGTAAAGTGTTTGTTACTTTTATTTAATGTAAATAACATCGTAACCATGTTAGATACCACTTACATTTACTTTAATTTACTTTTTATAATAAGGTTTTTGTTACGGGCGCTGGGCAATTGGCTACGTTTAGAATTTTTATGATATACCTAATTATCGGTTTGGGACAAAAAATACCGATGTTACCTTATTCAACTCCTCTCCCAATGTATCCCTGGTCAACTCAGGTGGAAGTCTCTGGTCTCGATTAGTGAGACACTGAGAACTCACCATCAGAGGTACTTGGAGTGATTCCAGTTGAAGTTCAGTCGCGTTCTTCTCTTCTTGTAGCGCTCTACTCTCATCTCTTACCTGCTCTCGAGTGAATCTTTGATTTTCTCGCCATGACTCTACTTCGAATATTCTAAAAATATTTATGAATAAGTACCACTTTTTTATGTTATTTCAATGCTTACTTAGATTTGACTTTTGCAAAAAAACTGAAGGAGTATAAAGTATTTCAAGTTTTTATTTCGTGCTTTAGAATTATTACCTACCTATCTCTTAACAGTTGGTTGTTAACATAATTGTCCCATCTAGTAGTCACCGAAGTCTCGTTTCGAAGTTGATTTGCCCTCTGACGTAGCTCGTATGATTCAAAGCGACGTAATCTCGCTTCGTTTTGCAGCCTTTGTATATTTCGAGTCCAATCTAGGACACTAAGGCGAGAATGGGGCTTTTCGTATACAGGTATTGAGGCATCCATAATAGATTTAAAAAGGGTGTTCAAAAGTAATATTATTTCCAAGTATTATTACAAAAGATAAGTAATTAAAAACTATTTATTCTAGTGAAGCACCTTGGAACCATCTAAACTAAACTGTGTATGGATTAGACAAATATATTGAACAAACAATGAAAGTTTAATCGATAGTCGATACACATCGTTAGAGGTAGGACGAACGTCACGTTTTTCATGAATTAATTAGTAATAAAATAATCTTAAGAATTTTGTGTGGATTTTATTATTAATTTAAAAATATTTTGTATGTTTTTTTGAACAGGTAATATTTGCATTTCTTAGATTTTTGAAAATTTATTTTCTTAACTCTATAGTAATATTGTATGCGTAAATAAATAAATATACCCAGTTCGTCGACCGACAATAGTATAAATTTAAAATTACCGAAAAAATACATAGACGATAGAGACGCGACAGTGTAAACAAATTCTAGAGCGATTGTCATAAGTCAAAACTAAGTAACTGGCGTCTGGACCAGTGTGACCAGATTTAGTAGATTTCTACTTTTTTGGTAGATTTTGAGGTACTGGCAACAGAATTTAGTATGTAAAAATTATTTGGTATATTTTAGTAGAATTCACGTTTATCAGTTATTCTAGTAGGTACTTTTTTGGCACATCGAATAAATGCGGGGTATTCCCCTTTCATCGATTGGGTGGTAAGTTCTATTGAATTTTCGTTATTTTCGTTACTATAAACCATTCGTTCCGTGACTCGTGAGCATATTGTGATTAGTGGGAATACCTTTACTGAGAATTTATATAATCGAGTATATAATGAAACGTAAATATACACAAATATATCGCGATGAATGGGAGCAAGATCCCTCATTTAAAAGTTGGTTGTCTAAATCTAGAGTAAACACTACGAGTGCTCATTGTAAAGCATGCAACTGTGAAGTACTAAGTAGAGTGGCATCTTTAAAGGAACATATGGCTACATCAAAGCATATAAAAAACATGAAAGGATATTCCGGCATTTCTAAGGTACGTAAGGTACTTACATTGATATGTGGAATGTAAGTCTTAGTTAATTATTTTTGTTAAAAAAAATTTAATACTTTCATCGTGAACCCGTATTATGTTCTAAACCTTATGATTTCCATTCAAAAACAAACTTTCGCTGTTTTAAGTATGTTTATTATCTACACATTTACATAACAATTATTATTATACAACTATGTGTGTTTATGCATGTTTATTTATTTAAATGATATATTAAAACTAGCAGACTCGGCCAAGCGTTGCTGTGGCTAAGGTTTTTGTTATATTACATAGTAGTAAACTATTCAAGGGAAACGGTAGGAGAACGTATGTGAAAGGTAGCTTATGTGAAACGTTGATACTTTTAACACAGCGCCATCTGTTAGGGGTAGGAGAACTTATCTTAAAGGTAGATGAAAGCTTATGTGAAACGTTGATACTTATAACACAGCGCCATCTGTTAGAATTGTATCAAATAATAAACAAATATTTTGCAATAAAATAATATTGCGACTATAATTTGAGATTTAAACTACCTTTTAATTTGGATCAAACTACACACGGTGTGCAAATTTGATTGATATCGGTTCGGTAGTTTAGGAGTCCATTGAGGACAAACATTGTGATACGAGATTTATATATATTAAGATTGCTTAGTTTTTGACTTTTTTTTTTTGTCCTGCATACTTATTTTTAACTTTTTTGTTTACAGATTGATACGATTTTTAAAACATCAACTATTTCGGAAGAAGTAAAAAAGCAGAAATCAGCATTGTAGCTGCATTAGTGGAACATAATATTCCTTTTCGCGTAATGGATCACGTAAGCGAAGTTATTTCAAGGGCATTTCACGACTCTGAAATCGCAAAACGTTTTTCCTGTAGAAGAACTAAATCTGCCGCAATTGCTTACAACGTCTTAGGCAATAACTTCGAAGAAAAAATGCTTGCAGAATTACGTCCAAGGCTGGAAAATGAAACTGAGAGAAGCCCAGTATTTTCGCTCATTATCGACGAAAGCACAGATGTCAGTACTACCAAGGTACTTGCAGCAGCAATAAAGTACTACTCAGAAAAATTGCAATCTCCACAAACAAAATTTTTGTGTATGGTGGACTTAAAAGGTGAAACTGCGCAGTATTTGTTTGATAGTTTAACATGTGCCTTATCTGAAAGAAACCTTAACATAGAAAATTTAATAGGGTTCGCTGCTGATACAACGAATGTTATGTTTGGCGAAAGGAATAGCGTGGTATCTAAAATTAGGGAAGTCAACCCAAACTGTATTTTTTTAAATGTATTTGCCACTCAACAAATCTTTCAGTAAGTTATGCATGCAAAAAATTACCTCGTTCTATAGAGTTGTTTGTCAAAGATGTTTATTCATACTTCTCTCACAGTAGCCAACGTCAAAGAGAGTTTGTCGAATTTCAAAATTTTACTGACACTCCAACTCACCATATGCTTCGTCACTATGATATCAGGTGGCTTTCTCTACATCAATGCATTCACCGAATTATAGAGCAGTGGTCAGCATTAAAACTTTTTTTCAAAATGAGTTTTTAGGAAATAAGAATGCAAATGCTACTTGTCAATTTATATTTGATCACCTTAACAGCGATGAAACAAAACTTTATCTTTCCTTTTTAGATTTTATATTACCCATAACTACAAAATTTAACGTTATTTTTCAAAGTGATCAGACGCTCATTCATAAAATTGACACAGATATACAAAACATGATGAGTTCCATTTTGAGTTGTTTTATGAAGATAAATTATATTAAAACTACTTCGCTTCAGTCAATAGATCCCAGTTCAAGTATGCATTTCCTTCCTATACAAAACATGTACCTGGGCACAAACGTAGCCATAACATTGGAATTATTAAAAGATGATGTTCGAATGAAATCTAAAATTGAAGAGTTTCTTAACAGATGTCAAGCATTTTTGATCGAGCTAAGTAAACAATTTCTCCAAAGACTGCCTGTACAAGATAATTTCTTGCAGGATTTGTCGTTTATCGATCCCCAAAAGGCAGTGTATGGTGAATTTCGAACTCTAATAAAAATACTACAAAGGTTTCCTAACTTAGTTACAACAGAAAATATGCAAATTGTTGACAACGAATATAGGGAATTAAAATTAGATGTTTCCGTGTCTAATTTATTGTCAACTTCGAGTTCAACTTCTGAAAATTTTATGGTGGATAAATTTTGGAGTGAGGTCAGCCAAATTTGCGATGCGAATAGCAAACCAAAATATGGCAATTTGGCCCGGTTTGTGAAGCAAATGACAATACTACCTCTGTCTAACGCCAAAGTTGAAAGAATATTTTCCGATATTAATAGAATTAAAAGTCAAGATAGAAATCGTTTTAATAACAAGAATGTTGCTGCAATTATGCATGGAAAAGAGGGGCTACGACAGTTGGAAGGAGGATGTAGCAGATTTGATCCTGACAAAAGTATGATCAAGCTAATGGACTCAAAACAGCTTTATGACAATATCCAACATAACGACGAAAAATCTTAGCTTTAAGTTTCATTTTATTATTATTAATTTAAAAAAAATTGTAGTAAGAATTAAATTAAAAAAACTTCGCTTCTTTAATTAATCTTTACTACTTTTATTATTTTATCGTTTAATCAAGAAAATTCATGTTTTACGTTGTAAACCAACAGCAAAAAAATATAATAGATTTTTTGTATTTTCTCGTTCCTTTCGGTAGAATTCAGTAGTTTTTAACCTCCACGAGCAGTAGATTCGTCAAATGAAATCTGGTCACACTGTGTCTGGCGTCTGGCATACAAAATAAATATGGCGGAGGCATTTTAGATTTATGGACTTAGCAATAATTGTCGGCGAAAATCAGATTTATTGATTAAGGCTATACCATTTTCAATAATATTTATTACTAAGTGACTAGTAAAAAATTGGTTTGATTTTCATAAGTTTTAAATAGTGTGCACCGAAAATGTAAGTAGTATTTTGTCTTTCTTTGAGTTGCGTTGGCGTTTTTATTGTATCCTAATGCAATGCAAATTTTAATATCACTTTATCGTTTAACAAGGTACGACGACAGACGCGGAGGGCGCGGCGGTGGACGTGGTGGTCCTAGGGGCGGTCGTGGAGGCAGGGGTGGGTCTAGAGGAGGTCGTTCTAGTGATCGGTCCCAAGACAGGGGAAACAGATTCGGCGGCAGTCGAGGGGGACGAGATGGTGGTAGGGGAGGCAGTCGGGGATTCGGTGGACGTGATCGAGGTGGCCGAGACGGCAGGGATGATTTCCGAAGCAACTTCAAGAACGAACAACCAGGGGGAGCGCTTCGTAAAATTCGTTGGGATACTATTACGCTTACTCCATTTCAAAAGAATTTCTACAATCCTCACCCTAATGTTCAAATGCGCTCGATGGCAGAAGTGGAAGCTTATAGAAGCCAGCACCAGATTACAGTTAAAGGTCGTGATGTCCCTCCACCAAGTGTATATTTTGAAGAGGGTGGCTTCCCTGACTATGCAATGAAAGAGATTCTAAAGCAAGGCTTTCCACATCCTACACCAATTCAAGCGCAAGGTTGGCCAATTGCTTTGTCTGGAAGAGACATGGTTGGGATTGCACAGACGGGTTCAGGAAAGACTCTTGCGTACATTTTACCAGCTATTGTCCACATTATTAACCAGCCAAGATTATTAAGGGATGAGGGACCAATTGTTCTAGTCCTAGCTCCTACTAGGGAGCTTGCTCAGCAAATTCAACAGGTATTTTATTATGCTTAATTGTGTTCTGAATATTTTTTAACTGTATTCTTTTTCTAAAATAAGGCATGCCATTAAAATAAATGGGTCAATTAAGTCTTACAGTTTTACATGAAGCTTTAATGTTCTGGTTCCTTATAAATAAGATAATAATAAAGTCTGCATGCTTAACAACAAATATACTAAAATAATTTATTTTCCATTGTGCCGCCAAGGCTTTGGTATCCATGAATGGGGACACAGTTGACCGAGACAGAATGCCAGGCCCCATGGACGTTGTAAATTGATTTATATATTTTAGTAGATGGTAGTGTCACTGGCAGGTTATGTTCAAGAACTGTTAGGAATGTTAAAACTTTGAAAAAGAAAGCATAAGTTTTCTGAACATATCCTAATTTGCACTGTAGTTATTTTTTTAGTTTGATGTAGCTTCCATTTATCACTCATATATTTCTTATTAATATTCATGTCATTATTACTAATTACATTCATAACCACTTCATCTCTAAATTTAAGTAGGTACATATAATTAGTACTATTATTAAGTTGGCAACTAACCCCTGACACATGTGTGACCTAGATTGAGTATTGCAGCATAAATATACAATCTCTTAATAGCGACTAAACTTCCAATGTATTATAATTAATTGTTGCTAGTTTTGTAAATAGCCCTTTTTTCCATTCATACTTAATAAAATTATACAATTTCAATATTATCAATGTTGCATGATAATTCTACATAGTTTTTTTTACAATATTTTTAATTAAAAGTTATTGTGTGTCCATGTTATGTTCAAGGCAACTTATGCAAGATAAGATATCTCCTAATTAAATCGTAATGTAATAACAAAAATGGCGACTATATATGTGTTTAAAAGTACAATTCAAATATTATTATTTTACCATTATTTTTTTTTTCTTCAGGTGGCAACTGATTTTGGTCAAAATGTGCAAGTGCGCAATACTTGTATATTTGGTGGAGCTCCAAAGGGGCCACAGGGCAGAATGTTGGAACGGGGAGTCGAGATTGTCATTGCAACGCCAGGAAGACTTATTGATTTCTTGGAGAAAAGTATGTAAAATCATTAAAAATGATCTTATGTATTATAATTTAAGCTTTAAAAATTTATTAATAAATAAGATTTCACAATTTTTATGGCCATTACAAATATTAATGGTTGTTATTAATTTATTATTTCAGACACAACAAATCTGCAACGCTGTACCTATCTGGTGTTGGATGAAGCAGATAGGATGTTGGACATGGGTTTTGAGCCGCAGATAAGAAAGATCATTGAGCAAATACGGCCTGATAGACAGGTAAGCAGGTTTTTTTTACTTGATTATAAAGATTATATGTGAGAGCCAATAATGTATTTAAATCTATCTATAATATAAAATGCGCCATTGCAAATTAATTATTATTTTGTATGAAGTCCTTTGACTTGAAAAGTTTTGGATTTTGATGTTTCTTCATCATACAGCAAGTGTTTATTTGCACACATTACTTGTAAGACAAAATAATTTATAGATGGTGTTCATAATAATTATTTTACTGGTGTTTTTAATTTTTGTGTCAAACAGGTTCTGATGTGGTCCGCGACATGGCCCAAAGAGGTTCAAAACTTAGCTGAAGAATTCCTCGTAGATTACATACAGATCAACATTGGTTCACTTTCTCTCTCTGCTAACCACAACATTCTACAAATCGTCGATGTCTGTGAGGAATGGGAGAAAAATGATAAACTGCTTACTCTGCTTAATGAGATTTCATCAGAAGAGGAGACCAAAACCATTATATTTGCAGAAACAAAGAGAAAGGTAAGGTTTTAGTTTGGGATTGACAAGGTTCATAGTAAAAACTTAAATACAGTAGAATGTCTAAGGGAGCGTTCAAGTATTACGTCACGCAATTTTTGGAGATTATTGACCCCTCCCCCATGTAACGCGCCTAACGTTTGTCTGTACCCAATAGTAAAACGTTTCGTGACTCTTTATAGCTAAAAGTTACCATTATGTGCTGGAAAGTACTGGAAAGTCGAAAATAAAATTAACAATAAGGCCCTTTCTCCACTGCTCCGGTCCGGCGTCGGAAACCGGAATCAGTCATGAGAAAAATATCGGAAGGCCGGATTGTGCTTCTCCACTTTATCCGTAAGGCCATGCGCGAATTATAACATAAAATATTATATATATATAACTTATTTCTGTATCTCACAAGGAAATACATTTTTTTGCAATGTTATATTTGTATAGCATAAGATTTCTAATGTAGGTGGACGACATAACAAAAACCATCAACCGGGCGGGTTGGCACGCGCTCGCCATTCACGGCGATAAAAACCAACAGGACAGGGATTACGTTTTAGGACAATTCAGGCAAAACCCGGGTGCGATATTAGTCGCTACCGATGTAGCGGCTAGAGGACTTGGTAAGTGAAAGAAGTTCGGGACTAAAATCACATAGTTTAAATGAAGAGTTAGGAAACAAGTTCAATGTGAAATTATTTCTTGTTTCTTACAAACACCGAAGGTCCCTTTATGTTTTTGTTAATGAATTGTATAAATGTACTTGCCCAGAAGTCATTATCTTATGTTTGTGCCACCAACAATTGAAATAACAGGGTGGTGAAATAAATCCCGCCATAAATATATAGCATACTTTGGAATATCTGTAAACCTTTAAGGTGAGTAGCGTAAGGGCCAACGGTAGGTAGGATGTGAGAAGGTTTGCAGTATTTCGATGTTAAACAAGAGAGGCATCAAACAAAAGATTCTTATGAGAACAGTTGCGAGGTTTTTTACCCTTATTACGCCATCTAATTTCGATAAATCATCTCGCTCTGTACTACCGGGGTGTTATTCAGGTCAAAGAGGTGTCAGGAGCGTAGCGGGGATATTGTTGTCCATTGCTATACATAATAAATAAAAGAGGCCACAGTGTTGAGCCCTGTGATACGCTTGATGCCAATGAAGGAAATGAAACTATTTTTCTGTGGATACCTTTTCTATTGCTTTCACTTCTAATTATGATGAAACTAGTCTAAATATTTTTTGACAAAATATCTGTCAGATTCAGAAAGCAATAGATTGTGACAGCACATCGTCTGATTTTCATATCCTGTATATGTTTCCGCACTCAAGTCCACAGAAAAAATTAAGCTGAAGCTTTTTCATTGGTGCCAAAAACACACCTTCCAGTATTTACCATTTAGTTATTTGATTAATGCTGGATACTGGAATGCGGTTGAAATAAAGCAATGGATCAAGTGAGCGTTGGGCTTTATCGTAAAGTTCATTGCGCCTCAAGAAATTTCCATGACTGACTCAGCATTATTCTCAATTTTCATTGCAGAGGCGCATGCGTGCAGAGAACATGGCTAAATTAACGGTGTGTTGCTGACTTCAGTTAGATTGATAGAAATTCGATTATTGACAGCGTAATTAATCTGTCAGCGCACACTGTAGTAGCATGCTGCCTCTTAATGGATAGTGTTATAGGGTTCTTAAGAACGGTTTCGATTTAAACAGCCGAGCAATATGCTTTGTTAAATGTCATGCGAGATTTGAACCCTACGCCACCTGACAAAGTAGTAAATAAAGTCAGCACACCGTTAGTTGCTCTTGGCCGACAACACTCCGGACACTGCTGGGCAATACAATCCTCAGTCTTCGACTCCACGAGCACTGAGGTAATTATTTGCTTTGATTTTTAGTTTGGCTTGAAGGACGAGTTTTTCTATAAACGCATGATTATTTTATTCGCGGTTATTATTTTTAGATGAGGGTAAAAGGTAGCCTAAACTTGGATTCCTTTTTTTAGTTACACTTAGAAAGAGAACCGGCGGGGCGTGCGAATTATTTATTTCCAAGAATTTAGTAACTTTTTCATATGAAATATCAAAACGATTCGACAATAATAAACTATGACGCAACAGTGTTATACTACATAAAAAGGTGATTTAGCACTGCAGCGACAAATCCCACCCAGTTCTCTTTCCACACAGACTACAAAAATTTACAAATTTACACAGCCGATATTAAGGTAGGTAAAACAGACCTACTAACCTTTATTGTAAATCTAATTTAACACGTGACAATAATACTTCTTTTATAAATTTTTATATTTGAAACTCTTCCTTCAAAAACGATTTTCTATTTATTTACTATAAATTTAATAAATGCTGGGTCGGTTAGACGTCGAGGATGTGAAGTTCGTGATAAACTACGACTATCCAAACAATTCTGAAGACTACGTGCACAGAATCGGACGTACGGGACGCTCGCACAACACCGGGACAGCGTACACGCTCTTCACGCCGAATAATTCGGCCAAGGTGTGTAACATTCGGAAAATTGTTGAAGCATGTCGCATCCATCTAGTTTAAATACATTATTAGCATTAAAGCGAGTTCCTTACACTAAAGAAACTAACTCTAGTCTAGTTTCTGAATGACCCTAAGTGATATCTGGAAATAGTTTTGTTTCCAAAACACTGTCTTTAGAAGACCTACTTTATCAATCACTTAAGAAATTGCAAGTTCATCGAAACAAATATAGTTGCGTTCTTACTAGGTACGGAGGCGGAAAGGCATTTATTATATAAGGTAAAGTAATTCAGAAATGTTGACAATCATAAAATATATCGCTTTCAGGCAAAGGACCTAATGTCAGTGTTGTCAGAAGCTAATCAAGTGGTGAACCCTCGATTGTTGGAACTGGCACAATGCGGCACAGGTTTCAAAGGAAAGGGGTTCAGTAAGTCATTTAAAAATAAAACAATAAAATAGTATTTTTTCCTTTCGTAAATGTTTGAACCTTGTTGTATATAGTTTTTGGCTTTAAATACAGAAAAAAATCTTTAGTATAATTGTTTTTTTTCTCTCTATATACATAATATATATTATATTATTATAATAGCTGTAGACTGCTAATTTTAGTTATGTCATTACTACATTATTGGCTTAAGAGATTTTGGATTTTCTCGTATTGAATTTTATCTCATAGACGGCACACTCGAAACGAATAGTTTTAAAAGGTATATTCACAGGTCGTGGCGGCAGTCGGTACCGTGACCGTGATAGTGACTCTGGGCGTGGTCGCGGCAGGGGAAGGGATGGAGGCAGGGGGAGCAGGGGAGGTAGACCGGAAACCAGAGGTATGGGCCTATTTTAAAACCGTAAATAAATTTGAAAATCAAATATGTATTATGATATTGCTTGAACGTCTAATTATACAAATATTTTTATTTAATTATTGTTTTACAGGCTCCAGGTGGGACAACAACGACTCGAATGGCCAATCCAGCTTCAACAGGGAAGACGGTTTCCAGCGCCAGAGTTTTGGACGTGACCAGAGCCGGGAGTCATTCCGCGGGCGTGGCAGGGGGCGCGGTCGCGGAGGGTTCGGTCAGGGCTTCGACCAGGGACAGCAGGGCTTCCCCGATCAGACGCAAGGATACCAGCCGAGTAGCTATTATAATATGTACGGGCAGCAGGCTCAATAGATGCGAATTTCTAAGACATTTTCAAGAACTTGCCAAATGAAGTCCCAAAAACGGTGAGGGCAAATTGGTTTTATTCATAATTTTAAAATTTACGGGTTCCAATTGCAGAACTCCCGTTATTTTTTGTATAGAGAAAGGGACTGGCTAATGTGTTCTCTAAAATGGACCCAATTTAAGGAATATTTATCTCTTATCTACTCTAGGCTTGGCCTATAATATAATAATAATGCAATGTAAAAAACATCTTAAATGAGAATATGTTTAATTATACATGTGATGTATGGGATCTGTTTTGATGCCAAAATATTGAACATTTCGTAGATTTCTAAGGGTTGTACTTTAAAACAAAAAAAATAGAAAGAGCTCAAGCTGTCGATTATTTTTTCTTGTGTTATACATTAGTGACAATGTTCAAAACTCGATTGTATCTTCAGATTCATATTAGAATGTGGGCCTAGTGTAGTTTTATTTAGCACCCATTTAGGAAAGAATTTAACTTTTTTTTAACATTAGGGTTAGATACTTTAGATGTCATATTTAAATTCTCAATTCTCACATTAACAATGTAATAATAGACATTCCTGCTGACTCAGTATTGATAATGTGCAATTAAATTAATTATACCGTAACAGTGTTTTATTTCATTTTTAAATTACTTCAAAATCCTTACACATAGACAATATGAGGTGTAATGTTTTTATTGAGATTTGAGTTAAGACTCGGGAATACAATCCCGATCTCGCGAATCTCGAAGCGGAACATGACGAGATCTCATAGGATTAATAAGATTAAGCGGCAGTAGTATCAGAAAAATGGTATTTTCGAGCAAGCTTTGTCTAAGCGTCAAATAAATGCAAGTGCGGCGATTTATATTTGAAAAATTCGAAAATATGACTGAACAGTTGAAAGTGACAAAAAGTTTTCTATTTGCCTAGGAAATATATCTTACCGAAAGAAATAAAATAACAATCAACCTTATATCGTCATCAACCAGATGCCCTTTTAAATGCCTCCACTGCTGGTAATGAGATAAACAGATTACAGAAGACGAAGATAAATTGCCTTATCAGTGATTGCAGAGGATTGGAATTTACGTGTTTAAAAAAACCAACAAGACTATACAAGAGGAATATGAGACACTCCAAGCAACTAATAGACTCTTGATACTTTTTTGCTTCTTAAGAAGGTATTTCCAAATAACTTGGATAGGTAATTCTGGAAATAACTCTCAATTCACCACTGCAAAGGCTGACTTATTTTAAATATTTACATAGCTACAGTAAATATTTTTCTTAACAATAGTGTTGTATCTTAATTTATGATAAACAACACATTTTAGCAGTATTCATGGAGTTTAATTTGTTCTACTACTTGGGAGATTGTAGTTCATTATCCCACAAGATTGCATTCCCTAGTTAAGACTCATCATCATCATGTCATACTTCTACATAAATCAATAATAAAAACACTTGATCTCAAATCATTTTATTCCTACATCATAAATAAACATGATCTTTACATTTATTGTTGGAAAATAATCTAAAAAATTATTTAATGAGCTGGTGCTGCCTTTGTGCCCTCTGGGTCAACATAGTCAATCTGGTCTTCAGGTTCGTGGGGCCAGAAGGTAGGCTTGTTGATGGGATCAAGAGCCAATTCAGGGTAAGAATCACGGAAGTCCTCCATTGTCATTTGGTCAAATGGCAATAGAGCCTTGGTTTCAGCAATTTCCTTTTCATACCTGAAATGTTTTGTATAAATCAATTATTTATTAATAAAACACTGTTATACCAATTTTATATTGCAGAAATGAACAAAGAAAGTTTTAAGAACTATCAAACCATTTTAGCTCCTTTGATATTATTGACAGGACAGGAAACTTGAAGTGAAAATAGAAGATAAAAAATTAACAACAATAATGGAAGAAAGAGGAAAATTTTAACAGTACACATACTTGGCAATGTTAGCATTAGATTGGCTGATAAAAGCTGCAATATCCTTTTGAATCTCAGCCCATTGACTATCAATCTGAGAGGTGTATGTGTCCGCAGGGTAAGGAATCTTCAAAGCTTCATATTGTTTCTGGAAGTTGTCTACCATGCCAGGGACAGTGATTGCAGCTTTGTATTGTGACCAATTAATCTTAGGCGGCTCAGGAGGGTTAGCCAAAACTCTGAAATTTATAGAGATTAAGAATAGTTTAGTTACAGCTAATTGCCAAATTTTTACAGTAGATTTGGTACCAGGTTTATACTTTGTCAGTCTATTGAACGATTTGCCTGTATCAATCACTTATGTTTTTTAAATTATCTTCTATCTATATAAAAGAAAATAACGATAATAGTGTGATCAGAAAAATTATGTAACAATCCTGTCAAAACTAACCTTCTGAGGTAAGAGTCTGACTTCATTTTAAAAGCAGACAGGTTGACTTTTTGGTTGGGCGGCACTCTTTCTGCGATAGCAGCCCAGTTAACCGAGCTTTGGGTAATTCGTTTCGCCATTATTACAGAATTATAGTGCAAACTCAGGCATACACCAAAATTTTACTAGTAGTTGGACGTTGGTACTTGGTAGGCGACAGCCATTAAGCAACTTAAACCCCGCTGTCAAAATTAAAAATATGACAAGTGAGTAATGACAATCAACCGCTGACGTTGACGTATTTCCACAGCTTAGAGTGGAGATGAAGACAAATCGAGATTTAAAGAATATAAACTTATGACATTGTGACTGTGATAGAGAACAGCTAATCTTTGATAGTACTAAATCGGCTTTGAAAATAATTTTGCTTGTTCTTTGTAGATATGTTTCAGAGCCTAAAAGGCCTATTTATGAAATTTAACGTAAATTATGTTTGTGTGTATGCCCGTACAATACTATTTAATAATGTACTTATAAATTATAATATCTCTTAATCTTAAGAAGTCATAAAGCAAGAAACATATCTATTATTATTCTAGTAACACTGTTATTGAAAGGCATTTAAAATAAAAAAAATAAAATATACCAACCTATTAAGGGAAGGTTAAAGTAAGGTAAATAAAAACATCATAATTTCAATTGTTTTAATTGACTTTGGTATATTAAAAATATAAACATTGATTGATATTTGATACAAATAAGTTATTAAACATTTACATATTCATATTCATAGACGTGTAAAATGCAACTAAAAGTAATTAATTTCCTATTCAGTCTATCATCAGAATCAGCTGTCGTAAATTTATCGGACTTCAGCCATCCTCAGTCAGATTTAAATTTGTATCTAGCATTATTCCAGACCCCGATACAAAATATCACACAGTTGAAAGTGAAGATAAGTTATATTTTTGATATAAAGTTAAGCACACACATGGTCCCATTAATCCATATTCACAATCATCAAATCATTTTACAAGGGAATGTTTTGAAAAACTTTAAATTCCAAGCCACTGGTGCAACCGTAACCATATTTTAATATATCTTACAAATAGTTTCATATTACGTTAATGAGTATAAATTATACCGATAAATAGACTTTGGTGTCCCATTGCTTGTAAGTAGATATTTACATTTAAAACTAATACACAAATAGATATTATATACATTTTCCACACTGCCATCGCCTAATATTCAAATGCAACTGTTTGTCTATGAATCTATATTCATCTGTCAAAATCCGACAACTATTTGACAGATAGGAGAAACGTATACGTCCCTACTGCCTAGCATCAATCGACTATTTAAATTTTTTATTCGTCGTTTTTGACGTGCGATCTAGATATGATTTTGTTTATATTAAATTTCAAAATATTCATTTAAACACAATAATAATCATGAATTCAAGATAATCGCAATTATAAAATCCAATCTCTCATAATATGAAAAGATTTTCAGTCCAAGTGTTTAAACCACTGTAGATTTTGTAATAGCCTCGACACGTAATTTGGCGCAACTTGTATGGCAAATCTTTTGTGCCTGACAGATTCATAACAATTGTTTATGTTGTATAAATTATGTCATGTTATAATTTAGTCGGTTTGTCTTTACGTTTTTCAACGTAATGCGGAGAATTCGACGACTGTCCGACGGTTCGGCTTCCCCAAGTCGTGCGTTTCGTCACAGGGTTATTTCGGCAAATTTTTAGAAGGTTGCCATACGCCGCTCTATATTGTCTATTCGTTGCTGCATATATTAGGGGATTTATGACACTGGAGGCCCATGCTAAGATAGATGCAATGATGTGCAGCCAAGGGAATCGGATGCCATCATCAGCGACATTCATGATCATGAGAGGAAGGAAACAGGCCAAGAAACAAAGGAAGATTGTCAGCATAAGGGTCGTCAGTCTCGAGTCCTCTTCCTTTTCTTTCGCTGTCTGGCCGCTAAGTTTACTGAAACGAAGAGAATTTAATTTAATGAACCGTATTATACTAGGCATATATTATAACAAATCAGTATCATCTGCCTCTTTTCACCACAGCGTAAACACAGTTTGAAAGAAAGAGACAAAAAAGTATTTGGAAGAGTGCAATAAGGCTGCTTTACTCTTCATGTATAAGGGGCATAACATCCGTGTCTCAAGCAGGTACGATGCAAGTTTTAAAGTGATTTGCGTTTTAAACTCGCAGAATTCAAACACTAATTTCAATCTTATTCTACTCAAAAATAAGCCATTATATAATTTATTAATAACGCTATTTACATCTTTAAAAAGTTCACAACATTGTGACGATGTCTTTACACGGAACAAATTCTGGGGATGAAAAAAAAGAAGAACTGAAATCAGAGATGCCAATATACTTTAAGAAGAAAGTAGACACGTGTATATTGCCATTATATTCTTTCGGTAGCCAATCATGGATACGAGGAATGGAACTTAGAATACTTAATTTAAAATTAAAGGGCAAGATAAGAAGTATAAATATAAGAAAGAAAACAAACTATCCCATTGCACAAAAAAGAACAAAGTGGAAAAGTGCACAAGATACAAGGTAACAAGATGGAAAGGGCCACCAGGGAAAAGAGAGACCGCCCTCTTGCACGTTGGGATAACGAGCTTAAAAACGTTGGTGGGAAAGATTGGAAGACTGAAAATGCTAAAGATTTATTAGAAATGGAGCCTGTTGGAGGAGGGCTTTACTAATAAAATTAGGGATGTGTACATATCTAGTTGATTGTATTGTTTCAAGAAATAAATGGAGATAATACGTTATTTTGCGCTTATACCGACCGGAAGACCTCTCTTTCTTTTCCCTGATGGGACTATCCACCTTGTTACATCTTGTGCCCTGTCATTATTATTATTATAATATAATTTTTCTACATTTTGATCTAGTTTGACACACTTTAAACCAAGGTGAACAAATAACAGGTAAAGTTATATAAAGCCATGCAATACACACCCACATACACACCTTCGTCCCTCCAGCTTCCGTTTGCTCTCACGTACGCGCCAGTAGATGCACGAGTATGATACAATTATCACAACACAAGGCAACGCGAATCCGAACACGAACAAGTACTTCTTGGGACTCCGACCATCCTTCGGGAGGATTGTGCATGAAAATGTGTTTTGATCTAATCCCAATTTACCCCACACTTCGAGTAATGATGGGACCTGGAATAAAAATAACTCATAATTAGCTTTCTAAAACTTTATTTCGGAAACCTATAGACAGGAAAGAAAGAAAAGCATCGTAAGGAAATAGACATGGCTTAGATCACCTACTCGTCTTAGACACAAAAGGGTGATCGATCACCTACTTATCTATTAGAAAAAAACCGAAATGATCACCATAAATAGATACAGAAATCTGAGGGGGTAGCGCTAATGGTTTTTTGGGTCTTTTACGAACATTACATTTACCTGTTTTCTACTTAACCCTATATACATTGTAGTATCATATATAACCCACTGATATTCAACAGATTAAATAGTATAGTAATATATTTCAACTCTAATTTATTCAAAACTGTGAATATGTTACACAAAATTACTTTTCAATTAATTTCTTATAATTACTTTAAGTTTTTTGCATGTATGGCTATCTTTTTATTGAGCTTATTTTAAGGACGAAAATGATGTTATGTTAATCATAAGTATTATTCTCATGTAAGTGACATTTTTATCTTTTTTGAGAAATAAAGTCTTTAAACCTAACTTCAAAAGTACGCATATACACAATTCTAACTTAGTAATCATGTTTTAGCTACTAAGTACCATAAATTATGTATATAACATATATATACCAATGACGCAACCACCTTTTAGGTCTTGGCCTCAGATTTCTGTTCCGTGAATTTCTAATAGGCAAGTAGGTGATCAGCCTTTTTTGCCTCATACACACCGTCAACTTTTTGGGTCTAAGGCCTTCTTAAGTTTTCCTCTCAATGATTTACTTCACCGTAAGAGTGTTAAATGCATTGGTGCACAACCGGGGATCAAACCTTCGCACTCCAGGGAGTAGCACTCTCAAACTCAACACTGCTCAAAGTACCATACATTTTAAAAAAAATATAGGATTTCATTTAGAAAATATTTGGCCTATTTAAAGGCATTTATGGCCATTCCCAGTCTTGTTCGACTCTATATACTAATAAGCAAAAGTCCCACGTTTTAATAATTCATATCGGTTAACATCTATTAGACAAGATCCAAACTATTAAAGTTTTCATTCACTTGTAGAGTTGACAAAGGACCTCACATAGTTAAGTCGTTAACACGTAAACGCCCATTATATTAACACGAATAATAACTTGGGCAACGGAAACGTACGCTACGAATCTAATGTTTAATAATTAACTGGTGTCTCAAAGTAGAAGCGGTGGCGGGTGCTTAGTAGGCCATTACAGTAGTTTTGACAGATTAGAGTAAAATGAATTGTTGGAAATTCATTTGTTTAATATTCAAAGATAAGATTGATGTTCGTTTGTTTTGAGTGCAGCTATATTTATTGACAGTTCTCGAATGAAATAGGTCCAGTACTGTCAAAAAATTAATTACATTCGCCGGACTGTAATAAAATAAAACCAGAATAAATAATTCCTTTTTAAAAAGGTTATCTAATTGAACCGACTTCAAAATGCACTATATTTCTATTGATTGGTCTTGTATTGTCTTTGTATATCAATGATCGTCTTTTTGACACGTCAAACCAGATCAGTCAATAGACTGCGTAGCTATGCTTGAACATATGTACACAAAACATTACAGGGCAAATTGAACCTCCGAAATAAAAAGAAAGAAAGAAAGAAACCTATTCTTGAAGTCAGTTAAAAATTCAACTTTACCTACTGTTTATTAATTATTTGATAGTAAATAATTTAAATATTAAAATACCTTACAATAGCTCAACTAAAAGGTGTATTATATAAAAGTCACCTCTGTGCTATAGTCTAGCTATGAACTTTTACCAAAGTCGCTGGTCGCCTTTGACTCAAATACGAAAAAATAGCGCTTCCTAATTCAGTACAATTAAACGTGTATCATAAATGTGGAAGTGCAATGAACTAATACTAATTTCTAACCTCGTAATCCATCATTCGTTTGCTGTTTAATTGTTTCGTTACGGCTGTTATGAATAATTATGCTGACACAAAATTATTGGTGCTTACAATGCTAGTGTAGATTTCAGAATAGTAATAGTGAATTATTCATTATTATTAATTTTTAATTATTGTTATTACTATGTAGGTTAAGAATATTGTAAATATTGTATAAAATGTGTGCTGGAAATATATATATATATATATATATATATATATATATATATATATATATATGATAAATAATTTTCTCTATACATATTTTAAAAACTAAACAAGCTTTTTAGCTCTGTGCCTTTTCGAGATTTCTGAATCTGCTTTGTGAACTGTTGTTTTCTAATAAACATGAAGGTGATCAGCCTGTGCCTGTCACACCTGAGTTTTGGATGTAAGGCATGCCAGTTTCCTCACGATGTTTTCCTTCACCTTCACAGTCGGAGTAGGATCGAACCTACGATCTCAAGAGCAAGAGTCACATGCTAAAGCTACTATGCCAACATAGATCTGTTTAAAAATAATACATTATTGATTATTTTGACCATCAAACGTTTCCTTAGTTTAATGTCTAAACAATAATTACAAGTCGAAAACAAGTTCATTTCACGTCATTCTGTTAGAATAAATAGTATTAATAAATAGTATTAATAAATAGTAGGGATCAATTATTTTAAACTAATAGTTTATTTTGTCTAACAAAAAAACATTAAAATTTAGATGTTTTCATAAGCATAATTCTTAATCTCTTAATAAATCTGTTGGTGCAACGAACTAATTCTAGCCTCCCTCGCTTTTGCGTTGTTTGTTTGTGAATTATGCCCGCTACATGCATTCTGAATATATGAAAAGGGTGGCCATCATTTTAATAAAAGCCAGTTCTGTATAGTTTATAACTTACAGTAGGGACTTTGAAAGATCACATTTGACATCTGTCATTGGTCTGTGACGTTCAGTTTGACGTTTCTCTTTTGAATATGAAATCGGAATGTAACAACCGACAATAAATTATAGATTTGTGTGTTATTTGTTAAATTACTTTTATTATTCATTGTTGTTGTTTCTTTGCTTTTTATTTTGTTTTTTATTCTGTTGTGTAACTGTGAAAAAGTTTGTAATTGCTGTATTTATATCTTATGTCTTCTGTTTCTTGCCTGTTGTTGTACTGTTTTTATTATTGTAAATATATTGTATATTTAGTCATATAGGTGAATGTTGTAATGTCTTTAATGAGAAAATATCTTAAACCGTAAATTTGAATTAGTCGTTACTTAAATTACCGCTAAATAATAAAATAATCATCTGCCAATTTAAAACGCATAAAATTATGGACTTTTTAAAAGAATGGTAATAAATAATTTCATAATTAAGCAATCAAGATATACATCTAGCTTAATAATGAAGTTCTGTAAACACCGTATAATGAACAGCTACTCAAAATTGTATTTTACGGATTAACATAATATGTAGTTTTATTTCTACAGTAGTAGAGCAGCGTTTGTGAAAGTTAGAAAGTAAATTGGAGTTTTGATAATTACGGAAGATTTTCTAGAAACTGGAGAATCAAAATTGAGTGATAATTGAGATATGTAAACCATTTTTGTCTATTCTTTGAGAAATCGAAAGTGGAATTTATTTTTTTAAAGTTTTGCCATTTTTAATTTTATTTGAGGTGTGTGGTGTGTTACTTTTTTTGAAGCTCAAGATATGTATTTATTTCTAAATAAATGATACGTTATTAAATTAAACATGAAAAACTGTTTTAAAGGATGTTGATATTTAGTACATAACCTTTACACATTTAAAGAAAAACGCTTTTTACCGGATTAAAGTTATGTTTATTATTATAAATTTACAACTGTTTGACATAATTTTAAATTTATCCGACGTTTCGCGTGCTTTACAGCGTGCGTGGTCACGGTGATAAATTTAAAATTATGTCAAATAGTTGTAAATTTATAATAATAAACATAACTTTAATCCGGTAAAAAGCGTTTTTCTTTAAATGTTGATATTTTCCACCTTACCGAAGAGGATGTGAGGAAATATTTAAAGAAGCGGGAAAACCTTGACTATGTTTAACAGTAATAATTTAGTTTTTTCTTTAAAATATTTTTATTATTATTGTCGTTTGTTTGAGTTTTAATTTCAGTTTTCTTTTGCTTTTGTCTATAAATGTACTTATGTTTTCTGTTTCATATATTTTGTTTATCAATGTAATCTCTAGTCTACATGTTTTTTTTTATAATATGGATATTTGTTAGCTGTATATAATAAATAAATAAAGTGTTTAAAATTGATTAAAAAGTCCCCTATTTTTATAAAATGGTGGTTCCTCTTTGCTTATATCAATATCAATGGATCTGTTGTGCGTTTCTTCGAACCGTAGAGCTCATACAAAATTGTTATTAACATGGTAGGGTTCAATAACTAGGGCTAGCAGTAACGTAAAATATATTATTTGGCAATATTTACAAGTTCATAAAAATGTACGGCCTTGATTCATCTACAGTAATATATATTTTTTGTATTGGATAAACTTAACAACTGAACCGTAGCTACATCAACAAGGCTAAATTTTACGTCATCAAATTAATTTCGTTAGTAATCTAATCAATTTTTTTTACGTATCGTGTAGCCGTATAACGCGATATCAATGGAGTCGAATACTCTATAATATAAAATATAATTTATTTATCTGTTGATGAATTAATTTAATATTTATGGATTGATGTTTCAAGGAATAATTGAGGTTTAATTATAATTATACTAGCTGACCCGGCAAACGTTGTTTTGCCATGTATATTATTTATAGCAAACATTTTTTTAGTTCAATAAAATTAACTAATCTAATCTAAATTAAAAAACTATCTAATAAAATAAAATGGGGGTTGATCGTAGTGGGGTGAAAATTAGGGGTATGGGTATGTATTTTTGTATGCTGTATCATAAAAAATAAAAACAAAAAAAATGTTTAAAAAATAAAAATGTTTTGGGGTGGACACCCCTTATCACTTAGGGGTTTAAAGATAGTAGCCGATTCTCAGACTTACTGAATATGTATAAAAAAATTCATAAGAATCGGTCGAGCCGTTTCGGAGGAGTATGGGAACGAACATTGTGACACGAGAATTTTATATATATAGAGATAAGACTTAAAGTTTGACTCTGAATCTGAGGGTATGTGTTAGTTAGTTTTTACTATATACTAAGTACATATGTCTCTATATAGTACGAAAAAATCTTTAAATAAGGAGTTCAACCAGGCTTATACACAATAACAATTTATTGCCATAAACTGATTACATAAAAGACATGTGTTCCAGGCTGACGTAGTGAGAGTGTATTTCAGGAGTCTATATATATATACATTTGATGTGTGGCAATAATTTAATTGTAAATTAATTTATGATTAGGTTATAATAAAATTTAAAAACCAACCGAGGTAGACATCTTTTTAAAGGGTACTTATCCCTATTTATCCCTGTGGTAGCCCTACACCCAGGATGCGTTGATAAGTTTAGTAACACATAATTTAAGAATAACAATGGATCTCGTCAAATGTAGAATGCATTTCTATTTATAACTTTACGAATATAATATAAACATAATCATAGTGAAGCGATGTTATTAACGGTTTATTTATATTTACGTTAACATGACTGATATATCGTTTTACGCGGTTAAAATTTAAACTTAAGGTTAGGTTCGTGTGTATAACCATTTTTAATAACTCAAATTAAATTTTAGACAAATAAACAAATATAAAACAGGCAAGGCTCATCCTATGTTACGTGAAACCGCCGTCATGAACACTCAACGCCAGAGCTCGCGGGTGCGTTGCGGGTCTTTTAAGAATTGGTTCGCTCTTTTCTTAAAGAACCCTAAGTCAAATTGGTTCGGAAATCCGCTACAAGAACTGCCTTTAAAACGCTTAGTAGTGGAAAGACAGACGTCGAGGTGGAACTTCGTATTCTGCCGCAAATACGAAATTTTACAGGTGACTCAAAATTCAAGGGATGAAAACCGTGCTCTCATACTTGAAAAGGTTTTCATTTGACAGGTCTTGAATGTATTCTTACCATAAGTCCAAAGGAGACGAGCCATATGGTGAAGAGCTGGATCCAGATCTTGGTTGTGGTGTAGATCTGTGAGTACATGTCATAGTACGCTATCAGGGTGTATCTGGAAAAACATAACATTTTTAACAATATCTAAAAATTAATATTATTAATGGCTAAGTACCGTAAAATTTAGTAAATTTTAAGTAAAACTAAAATATAAAAATCGTCCACAAATAGAGAAGGCGAAAGAGAGAACTTTCTATGAATTAATCTATCTAATCTATTGACTTAATTTAGTACAAAGACATTCCATCTATAATTCATCATACCAATTAGTGTTCTATACCGTTTTTGGTAATTGCGTGTTCAAGATAATACGTAAACAAATGATTTATATATGTGGTTGTAAACGTTTTTTAAATTAGAATTTAAAAATCCGCAAAAGCGTACGTAATCAGTGATCAGTCAAAGCTTATCAGCGTTTAAAAAGCACTCAAACCCTCGTGGGAAAGGACCGTTTGCCTATGATTAGATAAGATTAATATGATGTTATTATAGTGATTTCTCTTTCACAATATTTGGTTAATAGGATAATTACTGAGTCTAATAAAATAATACTAAATTGTTACTTAGTTGGCATACAATATTTTTTTGTATACATAGGAACCCTAATAGCCTATCCTAATGCTTAAAAAGAGTGGCGGAGAGTTTATTGCCAGGTCTTCTCTTCCGTTTTACACTCTTGATGTGAGAGGCAGTAAATGTAAAATTAGAAGCATTTCATTTTTTTTGACGTTCATAAGTGTACATTGTGATACCTATATGAATAAATGATTTTGACTTTTGACTTTATCAGGCCAGATTTTTGGCCAAGAAGCTAGGCAGTAGGGTAGCGTTAAATCTCCCCTTTGCTAAAAATGGACTTATTTGCTTCTTCGATTTCTTTTGCGATATGCAACGGTTACAAGATGTTTAGTATTATTTGTGAAATTTCTGGCCCTCTATTTTTTGTAGTTTACTATTTATGTCGACTTAAAAAAACTAATTAGAAGGTTATCAATGTAACGAATATTTTTTTACTTGTTCAGTTTTTATTGGTCCTAAGTGACAGTACAAAAATAGCATATATGTAAAATAGAAATAAAAACATTCTAGAAAACAAAATATTGAAATACTTCTAGTTAAGCTTGAGAAAGCGGTCCAAATAATATATTTAAAGATTGAAGATAAAGAATATTCCTCAATAACACAGCTGAATCTCATGAAAAGGGCATAACATGCAGGGCCACGAACAGTGCACCATTGTACTTCGGCTACTGACCCTGATATCGACACGGGAGTCGAACTCATTTTATTTCGTAAGTGATATCTTAAACACATACACGTTTAGTACATCTTTAATAGAGTTCTTTTTAGTTAATCATATACATAGTTCAAGACATGGGCTATTTGATGAGATCTTAAAAAGCATTTCATAAGTGGCTATGGAACCAATACAATTATATATTTAATTCTGTTAAATATTTATCAATTCAAATTAAATATTAGAATTTTAATAACCCGCCAAACCGCTTCTCTATGCAAGATGGGGCGTCGTACTTATGACGTACCATAATTGTGCAAATGTAAGCAAACGTCAAGTTTAGTAAGTCAATTGTCATTCAGGCATATAATCTGTGACCGAAGATTACTTGAATAGGACTTTTCATAGTGTCGAATAGCTCGTTGTTAGGTCTTAGATTTTATATAAAATAAACTGCATTTTTATAGTCAATCACTCATTATAACTCCAAGTAAGCTGTTTAAAATCTTGAATATATCATAAGGACAGTATCTTTGATGATTTTTAAAGTATCAGCCTTCTATTTTTAAAGTATCTTCTTCTATAATTATTAATATTCTTTAAAGTAGATTAATTCAGATGAAACTTAGATTAGTGGTAATTAATCTAACGGTCTATGTAATAATTCATCTCGTCATACATTAGTGCACATTATAATTGAAGTTCTTTTATGTTTTACATGAATAAGCTTTACGGTACTCTGTTCCGATGAAGCCATTATACGCACGTTACTTGTTGGATATTTTCACCACTGGTCACAAGATGTTTTTAAACTTATGACACATAACACAAGAGCGTAATGGGGGAGGGGGGTAGAGGGAAGTAGGTACAGAGTATTGTAATATAATGAGTTGTAAGCATGTGGAAATTTCATCACGGTTTGACTGTACATTAGACATAGTGGCTAAAGAAGTTGGTGGTATATTAACAGGTCTCAGATAAGCAAGCTGTCGGTCCTGCATCTACATAATTGTATACTCTGCTATTGTTGCTCTCATTATAAAAGTTATCGAATAGAGAGTGCTCACTACACACTTTATCATATTCCATATAATATACAGTCATTAGGCATTAGGGATCATGGACGAATACTTTTTTACATTTCTAGGAAGTCTAAAAATATAGCTAAACTGTCCCGGCATTACAGGATTTGATATTTCATTTTTAAAACGTTTCGGTAATAATAGCCTATATTACCCTGGGATTATGTAGCATTTTAAATTTGGAAAGAATTATAATAATCGAGCTTTGTTTTAAGTTTATTCCTTATTAATATAGAAAAAGAACATAATTCCTCTAAATAATATAAGGATATATATAAAGATGTAAAAAAACGCATTCCAAAACTTACTTTTGGTTCTTAAAAGCTTTTTGAAAGGTGTAAAATCATCATAAACTCTCAACCAATTGTTAAGCTGCGAACAAAGTGTTTTAGCACCTGACATATTCACACGAAATCACGGCCCCATTCAATTCAATTTTACGATTAATTGAAGGACAATAGTCTCTAGTTTTTATAGTCACAATTAATATGCGGGAATTTTAATTTTATTACGATGCTCTTAACTTATTTGGTTGGAGAAGAATGGTTGGTTGATTTATTAAATAAATACACTTTTAAAGATTGCTTACGCTTGGCTGCACTGATACATGCAGTCGTAAAGTGAAAGTTATATGGGTCATTTACAAGAATATATATGTGATATGATTTATACTATAGTCTTTAATATATATGTGATAGAGGAATTCTTGCCAGTTCTTCTTGTCCCATGATTTCATTAACTGGCAATAATTAATGTAATTTTTTTCACGTTCATTAGTGAATCATATATATAATTATGATGATTGACAAAATTAATTTTTCTAAAAGTTTAAAAGGAGAAAAGCAAAGGATAAGATAGTAAAAGATAATGTACAAGCGACACAGTGTTATTTAATGCCGATGTCAGCTACCTACTAGCCTAGTAGGCATTTACTTTATGCTCATTTTGTTTATGTAATTATCATACAATGTCAGCACTTACCTATATTTAGTATTATTCTAAATATCTTTTCGCTGCAAAATTCTCTAAAATTATCTATCTAATATATAAAATTCTCGTGTCACAATGTTTGGTCCCATACTCCTCCGAAATGACTCGACAGATTCTTATGATGTTTTATGCATATTCAGTAAGTCTGAGTATCAGCTACTATCTATCTTTCAAACACCTAAGTGATAAGGGATTTCCACCCCACAAATTTTTTTTTATGATACAGCATACAAAAATACATAAACCCCTAATTTTCACCCCTCTACGATCAACCCCTATTTTTATTATTGTAGATAGTTGAACTAAAAAAAATGTTTCCTAGAAATTATATTGTACACGGCAAAGCAACGTTTGCCGGGTCAGCTAGTTATATTATATTAAAATATCTTCATAAAAATATATATAATTTTTAAAATTGACAATTTATATGTTTTTTAATGTGAAATAAAGTTCATTAATGGTATAAAATGACATATGTCGATCTATGGGCCGTACACGCCTGAGTCTACCACAGAGTTGAGAATCGCTTAACTACGCCATGCTTATAGATAACCTATATTTCATTCACTTTCCTCACAGCTTTATATGAGTTACGTCAAAGGCACTCAGTGCGTTTTATTAAGCTTTTACGTTTTATATCTTCCGGGCGCTGAGTGGGACAGATTCCTGTTTTTACTAAGTGTTCCAAATTTTGCATATTGTTACTGTTTACAATTGTGTGTTCAGCGGGTTTATGTGATTATGTTTACTTATATAAGCTGAAAATGTAGGAATCTTGCTTGTTTGGTAGATATACTAATATGAGATAGCTATTGAAATCCAGAGCCCGAAATCTAGCGATTTTTCTGCTCTTTTTTATAAAGATTGGTTTAGTGAAAGATCGATTCTGAGTTCAGATTCTTTTTGACGTTCATAAGTGTACTTGTTTACCTATATGAATAAAGATATTTTGAGTTTGTGATTCGGGTAACAAATTTTAAGTGCAGCAATATCCCTATGATGCATTAAATTGGCGTAGTTAGCGTAATCAAATGTACTTATTAGGAAGTTCCAGTCTCACCTGTTAATTGTAATAGCCACCATAGACAGAAGAGAAACGGCCTCATTGCCGTAAAAGACGAATGCAAACATCTGGCAGAGGCGAGAACCCAACACCCATTCTTCATTTATGTACCTGCGTGATTAAATACATAACAATTTAGTTTCGTATTAAATGTATATGTTTAGCATTAAATATAGTAAGGGACAAGATTGTCGTTTAAGAATTAAATAATCAAACTCGAAATAAACAATTTGAAGGACAATCTCCGATATTATGATCATCGCAAATTCAGCAGTCAGCAATTTGTAAATTGTGTCAATTTAACTTAAGGCACTATTAAGAAACCGATGAGTTATTGGATTACTTTAAAGTTTATTACAAAATCTATAATTAGCTGACTCTTGGGCCGTCGGGTTCAAGTGCACAAGCGCTAATTATAGATTTAAGTTGGACCTTAGTGGTGTATTCGAATAAGTAAGTTTATACAGCGAAGAAATGCCATCATTAAAGGTACACTGCCACAGGGATCAAACTTTTAAAATTTAATTTAGTTTTCTAGTAAATTTTTCATTATTATTATGATTGCTATGTATGTTAAGAATATTGTATATGTATATATTAATTGAAATCATGATACATTAATTCATACAGTGTTCAGTTCTCTTTATAACGAATTTCATTTTCATCGACCGAACATTTTTCTTTATTATAGAGAATTTTCGTTATACAGAGAAATGACAATGGTGCGTTTAGTACTAACACCAAAATGTTCTACAGGCAATGTAATCTAAGAATAATGGCACTAATGGCTGTTTATGACATCAGGTGTCTTTCTTAGAAATTTCGGCACAAATTGATATATATAATTGATATATATTGATAATATTTCTTCGTAATAGGGAATGGCTGTGGCGTTATAAAGGGTGAATGTATGGGTTTTGTGTTAAACCAAACAAATTTAACTCCTTTTTACTTTATAGGGAGTTTTTCGTTTCGGTTATAAAAAGTTTACGCTATATTTTAAATATTGCATTTCGTACAAAGGTTACGACTGGATTGACCTGGGTTTATGACAATTCAAATATAAGTTCCATCCATCTTTCATACGAATTAACACTGTCAAAATGTAATTGTTGATGTTATGATAACAATTAGTGGCACGCGCACAGATGTTCTTCGACTCGAATTTCATTCTTCTAACACATGTTTCTTTGAATCGATACAATTGATTACTTCTATGGAATGTTGATAAAAATTCGGTTCGACTTTTTCACGAAACAATACGTAAAAATATATGTTTGTACAAAAAACCTTGGGCAACTGGAGTATTAGTAATTGCCGCACACAAGTCGTTTGGATAGCTTTGAAGATGTATGCTGACAGCATTATTGACGTATACAAATACCGAAGAAACAATTGAAGAGTTTTTAAGGTTAATTTAGGTTAGTTTGTGAGCAAGTATTTAATGCGCATATAGAATGTAAAGGTTGCACAGCCGGGGTTCGAAGCTTCGACCTCATGATGGGTTCACGATCGAGGCACTGGGCCAACGCTGTTCACTAATGATAATGATTGGGCCTGATGTCCTATCATACCTACTTAAAACGTTTTATACAAAACTCTGATGATGAAAGAAGGTCCCGGGTACCATTCCATCGCTGCTCTGATAATAATAAAACAGATCGTCTTGCTAATTAGTATCTATTACTAAAATATTTGAGCTTAAAAGTATGTTAGTAGAGTTTTATTAGTTTATCATTATATGTATCCTAATATGCATTCCTTTTCAATGTATCATAAACCTAGTGATGTATGTGATTGTATAAGCCTCAGGAAGATGTATATTATACTGTCTTGTAAAAATCTAATATGTATATAAAATTCTCGTGTCATCGTTTTTTAAACTCCTACGAAATGGCTAAACTGATTTTCGTGTGTCGGTTAGGTCTGCGAATCGGACAGCATCTATTTTTCATCCCCCTAAATGTTAAGGGTCCACCCCCTTAATTTTTATTTTTTAGACAACATTTTTTGTTTTTATTTTTTTATGATACAGCATACACAAATACATACAACCCTTAATTTTCACTCCTATTTTTTAAAGTTATTTTTTTTCAACTAAAAAAAATCCTTCCTAGAAATAATATTTATGGCAAAATAACGTTTGCCGGGTCAGCTAGATTTAAGAAAAAAGCTTTGGGAACGAAACTCTATAATGGTTTAGAAACATTGATTCGATATTTCCGTTAGACTGCATTTTTATTTCCGGAATCATTTATTCTATAATTGACACGTTCTAACATTGAAATTAATAATCAAGGAGTTACAAGCTTATTTTATAGCATTGATAAGTATTTATTATGTTTCTGAAGACAAGTTACTCTTGGTTTAATGATATTCAATGTTACTTCTATAGGAAATATTGTAATTATTATTCTAAGTTATTGAACACGAAAGCTATAGGTAAAGATTGCAATATGTATTTTATTTTATTTGTGTCAATGACCTTGTAACATGACTCATTCCACAAATTATGTTTGTAACGTTAAGTCTGATAACTCAGTTGTCCAAAATTACTTGCATATAGTTGCAATTATAAAATTTAGTAGAAATTGACGTGAAATATATTAAAACGATTATTATTATTTATTTTTTATAGAAAACTACAAACGGGCAGGTGGCTCAAGTGATGTTAAGATGCCCATGGACTCAATATTAGAGGGCTGGCGAGTTATAGCCAGTTAGTTTAGTTATAGCGCCGGCCTTTCAAGAATTGGTACGCTGTTATCTAAGTCTAATATTATATCATTTTTTTTGCGTCTGAATCGCAAACTAACCGTTGTGGTCTCTGGCAGAATGGCCAGCGCTGTGGAACACGTGTGCTCCACAGCATAATGCTGAGCCAGAGCCAGTTACAACCACAAGACACACACATTACACACTTAAAATGTTGTTATTCCTTTTTTTTTCTTTCCATAATTCTGTGTGTGTTTCGTTACTAACAAATGTTATGTCTGTCTGTCTGATTAAATTGTATGTTCGACACATACAATTTAATCAAATTATGATATTTTTTTTATGGATTTTAATTGTAGTCGTAAAGTAGTTATATGTTCCGATGTAATGCAACGTGAAGACAGATTGTGCGTATCCAATATTGTAAATAGACTCACCTGCTAGCTGTAAGCGGCAAGTTGATACTGCAGAAGAGAAGATCAGAGACACAGAGTGACAATACGAACATTGTAGTGACATGACCACGAAGCTTTGGATGCATCACGAGCGCCACAGTCGTTATAAGGTTGCCTGGAAAAAAAATAAGTGTTATTGGGGGGTTGCAGTGTAAAACGAAATACGAAAGCGCTTTTCGGGACTAGATAAACTGATTATAATCGCCGCCTCCTTGGAGATATGCCCACGTGTTCGTGACATTATTTAGATTTTAATAGGGCATGAAGTAAAAGTTAAACGTAAATTAATCAAAAAAGCTTTTTATAAATTTGACGACTATTTAAATCATTCTAATCTTTGGGATTGATTTGCTCCAGTTCAAACAAATTGTATGACTCAAAACTTGGCGATTAAAAAGATTGGCGGATGGTTTCTTGCTAGTTCTTCTTGCCCGCTCTACGCCTTTGACTTACGAACTGGTAGTAAATATAAATTTAGAATCAATTAAATATCTTTTCTGTTGACTTAAATAAGTGTATATAACTATACGAATAAAGTTATTTTGAGTTTGAGTTTGAAGTTCTGATGTTCAGTGCTACAGCCTATGGACTATCAGAATACGAATATAAATACAAATACATTTACCAAATTTTGTTATTTGTACATTAACTATTATTAAGTACTTAAGTGTGGAAAATCTGAAAGCTAAGTTTCATTGAATATAAATAATTGAATAGGGAATTCTACCAATGAAAGTGGGGGAAAACATGTGGCGATACAACCTAGGTCTTGGCCACAGATTTCTATATCTCTTTCGTGGTATTTTTTTCTTAATAGGTTTTTAGTTAATCAGCCTTTTGTGCCTGACACACGCCGTCGATATTTTCTCACATATACATAAAAGTCCAGAGATGCAGCCATGATACACAAAACACAAAAAGGGGGGGAAGGAAATTTTACTTTGTGTCTTTGGGAACAAAGGTCTCGCAGTACTCTCTTCATTAGAAATTTTTATATAACAGGGGGGCAAACGAGCCCATAAAGGACAGTCATAGCAGCCCATGGAGACTCATTTTTAGTGGGTGCGTTGCCGGCCTTTGAGTACTAACTTTGAATAGTTAAGGTCGTATTTCTCTGGAAAAACACCCACCGGGAGTCAATTCCACAGTTCGCTAGTTTATCTTCACGGCAACAACTCGGGTGGGTGGTCAGACATACAAACATCTATCTGCATAGCAAATTAAAAGCTATTGATCCCACGGGCAATTAGAAACGGGCATTAACTGGTTATCTATTACGTATCCATTTAATTCGTATAAGTGGTAGTCTGCCGTATACCACTCGACCGTCTAGTGTATTATGTAATGTGAATTTAGGTATTAAGAATAATTTGTTTAGGGAGCGTTCAATTATTATGTAACGAATTTGAGGGAGGGGGGGTCTTCTTGTAAAATGTTACGAAGCGGGGCGGGTATTGTTTTCTATGTTGACTTTCTTTCTATGTGCGCATTTAACATTCGCTCGAACGGTGAAGGAAAACATCGTGAGGAAACCGGCTTGCCTTAGACTCAAAAAGTCGAAGGTATGTCAGCAGGAGGCTGATCACCTACTTGCCTAGATTCACAAATGATCGTGAAATAGATGCAGAAATCTGAGGCCTAGACCTAAAAAGATTGCAGCGCCACTGATTATTTTTTTTACTGAACGGAGTCTCTTGCTTTAACTAGACAAAAGTCTTTTGCGTGGGTAGGCACAGAAGGCTGACCTTAAAAATACGGATACATGTTTTGCCCCATTGCCCCCACGTAATAAGAAGCATGATGTAATTCTCTCAGGTCCTTAATAATAATAATAATTTAAAAGCATTTAGTAATTTTTTTATTAAAAAGCCATTTTTATTAACGCCACTGATTTTTTTTATTTTATTTGATACTTGCTAAAAGTATTTACAACCGCGGTTAATAAATGACCTACCTGGTCAGTTAACATGTGAACGCTAATAAACTCAAACCTTAAAATAATGTGAAAGAAATACTAATACATATTTAAAATTCTCGTGTCACGGTGTTTGTAATTAAAATCCTCCGAAATGGCTCGACCGATTTTCGTGAAATTTTGTGTGCAAATTAGGTCTGCGAATCGAAAAACATCTATTTTCACCCCCTTAAAGAAATTTATAAATACATACAACCCTTAATTTTCACCCCTCTACCATCAACCCCTATTTTTATAGTAATTTTTATTGAATTAAAAAATGTTTCCTAGAAATAATGTGTAGGTATAATGTATATATATGTAATATAATAATAATATATGCAAAACAACGGTTGCCGGGTCAGCTAGTATTTTTATATGCAATTGTCGCGCTCTTGACAAGACTGCTTGATACCTTTTATAAATAATTGTAAAATCGTAAATAACTTTCTGGTGTAGTTTCACGTGATATATCCAGTATGCTTAATAGAACGATTGGCGCCGCTCAGCCTACGAGTTATAATCAATCAAATTCGTCAGTATTTGTTTACATGCTATTAAAAACGAGAGCCAGGCCAATGACTCATGGAAACTGTTGAGCATTCATACCAAAAACTTAATGAGTACTTCAACCACTCAAAATTAAATATCCCTTCCGCTTGGAAATTAAAACAGAAAGATTGCTTATATTTTTCTTGGAACAGCACTTACTCTGTAAAATCATTGATCAATACTTGGTTAGTAATTTGAAATCTAATATTCGTTGCGGTTATTGAAAAAAATTTCGTATGAACAATATGTAGTATGTTATTTTAATTACAGTGTAAACTCTTTATAACGTCATTAGTTATAAAGCTCTCTATAACGTAAACATGAGTTTAATTTATTTGGTTTAACTGTTACGTTATTAAGAAACTCTTTATAACGTAACAGCCATTCTCTATTACGAAAAAATATTTTCATATTTAGACATCAACAACATACTTAAGTGTAATTATTTTTATAATCAGCTTACAAAACTAACCTTTTGAGGTGCCGAAAATTCTAAGAACCTGAGGTCATAAACAGCCGTCTCGCCTTTGTTATTCTTAATTGCATTAACACGTGTGCCATTATCCTTAGATTACATTGCGTGTAGGAAATTTTGGTCTCAGTTACTATACGCACCATTATTACCTATCGTGTGTTATCAGTTGTAAATTTGATTTGGTTTTCTCTTCCCTCTGTATAACAAATCTCTCTATAAAAACAAATGCTCGGTCCCTTGAAATTTGTTATAAAAAGTTTACACTGTATTTTTATAATGAGTTTGACATTGAGCTTTTATAGAAATAACCATGAAGTCCAATATATATACTATACATTATACTGCCCACATACAGACCAAAACTAACTTTAAAGGTTATTATTATAAAGGACAACTAACATTATTACAATTTAGTAATGCATATAATTTATAAAACTGTTAGTCTACTATGACCTTATAGGTTTCGGTTATTTACGTGTCCCATGTGTTATAAGCCTTAAGCGAACTAAGTTTTTCGACAGAATTATAAAGTTTACAAGTCCTCTTACTTAATTTAATCTACTACTACTTAATTTACACGTTTCACATATTAAACACACAAAAAGGTGATACTATACAAGAAATAAAAATAGTTAAATCAGGGGCGCTACAACCGCTTTAGGTCTGGGCCTCAGATTTCTGAATCTGTTTTATGATCATTTTTTTTATTTAATAGGCAAGTAGGTGATCAGCCTCCTGTGCCTGATACACACATCGATTTCTTGGGTCTAAGACATGTCGGTTTCCTCACGATGTTTTCTTTCACCGTTCGTGCGAATATGAAACGCGCACATAGAAAGAAAGTCCATTGATGCACAGACGGGGATCGAACCTACGACCTCAGGGATGAGAGTCGCACACTCAAGCAACTAGGCCAACACTGCTCTTAAACACAAGAAATGCCAATATCTGTGCATGCATAGACATAAAATCCGTCATTTGCATCTATAGAGTAAAACCAGTGAGCATTGGTCATGGAACATTGTAAAATTCAACATTTTAACAAAGTTCCATATTTAAATATTTGACAGTTTGTAAAATAACTAAACTATTTATTCCATTCTCTTTGAATCTAATTTAAACATCGAAGTTTCCGAGATTATCCCAGACAAGCTCAGCCCAGTTCAAGTGTATATGAATCACGTTGAGGGCATGAATGAGTGACGTAAAATAAATATATCTTAGCATAATTATTTTTAATCTGCGAAAAATGTCCCATTAATTAACACAGCTGTCAACACTTGACAGATTGCGTCCGGGTGAATGTACTTTAGAAAAATACAGATTATGTGTTTTTAATAATTCAATTCATTAATAAAAATATCGATAGATTTCGTGTACACAAAGTAGCATTTTCAAAGGGATTTTGAGACTCTACCCCACATGTCTGCCCCTAAGCGTTTATGGCCTATAAAATTGTCACTTACCCCAAACTAATGGAGGTATCGATTTTCAAAATAGGGACCCTATTGATTGGGGTCACTTTTATTTATGAGCTACGACTGCGAGCTTTGGAAAAAAAATAGCATCTGCTTCCTATGATACGATTCAAAGGCCAGACTTCAGGCGAACCCACTACCATTTTTCCGGGATTACCGGGAGTGATACTAAGCGCTGAGTTTATCGTTACTGTTTTGATGATATTGGATTTATTTATACTACTCAAGAGTTTAAATTAATATTATTTTATAACCCGTCTTAGCCAAGTAGCTAGGTGCAATCAATGATGTTTTCTAACTATATGCCCAAGTAATACATGTTCATACGGTGAAAGAAAGCATCACGAGTCTAAATTTCGACGGCGTGAGACAGGGACAAAAGAAGATGATCACGAAACATACAGATTTTTGAAGCCAGGAGTTGTAGCGCCACTGTTTCCTTTTTTAATTTTACTGGACGTAAACAAAATTATAAACAAGATTCTATATTCTATGCTATCTATCTATCCCTTAAAAGTGAAATTAATAATAAAAATTACTTTTATTATATAATATAATGTTTTACTACGTAAGAAATCCAACCATTTTATATCAGCGTTTTGCGTAATCAGTTTATGTAGAATAAAG